ATTGATCATTGGACATTTGGTCACTGGGACAATTGATCATTGGGACAATTGATCACTTGACAATTGATCATTGGGACAATTGATCATTGGACATTTGGGTCCGGAAGGGGGGAGGGGGGTAATTCGAAGGTCAAAGTCTAGGTCAAAGTCTAAGGAAGCCTATGTCTAGTGCCCTACTGTCTACACCTATTGAATAAGAACCCGTGCCTTTGGATATAACTGGGAGGTATGAAAGCCTGAACCTATGGAGAGGTCTTTTAAAAAAGGGGGGTCGGTCATTTTTGGTGCCAGATTTTCAGTGCGGGATTTTTAGTGTGGGACAGTCAGGGACAATTGATCACTGGACATTTGGTCCTGGAACAATTGATCATTGGGACAATTGATCACTGGGACATTTGGTCACTGGGACATTTGGTCACTGGGACAATTGATCACTGGACGATTGATCATTGGACATTTGGTCACTGGGACAATTGATCATTGGGACAATTGATCACTTGACAATTGATCATTGGGACAATTGATCATTGGACATTTGGGTCCGGAAGGGGGGAGGGGGGTAATTCGAAGGTCAAAGTCTAGGTCAAAGTCTAAGGAAGCCTATGTCTAGTGCCCTACTGTCTACACCTATTGAATAAGAACCCGTGCCTTTGGATATAACTGGGAGGTATGAAAGCCTGAACCTATGGAGAGGTCTTTTAAAAAAGGGGGGTCGGTCATTTTTGGTGCCAGATTTTCAGTGCGGGATTTTTAGTGTGGGACAGTCAGGGACAATTGATCACTGGACATTTGGTCCTGGAACAATTGATCATTGGGACAATTGATCACTGGGACATTTGGTCACTGGGACATTTGGTCACTGGGACAATTGATCACTGGACGATTGATCATTGGACATTTGGTCACTGGGACAATTGATCATTGGGACAATTGATCACTTGACAATTGATCATTGGGACAATTGATCATTGGACATTTGGGTCCGGAAGGGGGGAGGGGGGTAATTCGAAGGTCAAAGTCTAGGTCAAAGTCTAAGGAAGCCTATGTCTAGTGCCCTACTGTCTACACCTATTGAATAAGAACCCGTGCCTTTGGATATAACTGGGAGGTATGAAAGCCTGAACCTATGGAGAGGTCTTTTAAAAAAGGGGGGTCGGTCATTTTTGGTGCCAGATTTTCAGTGCGGGATTTTTAGTGTGGGACAGTCAGGGACAATTGATCACTGGACATTTGGTCCTGGAACAATTGATCATTGGGACAATTGATCACTGGGACATTTGGTCACTGGGACATTTGGTCACTGGGACAATTGATCACTGGACGATTGATCATTGGACATTTGGTCACTGGGACAATTGATCATTGGGACAATTGATCACTTGACAATTGATCATTGGGACAATTGATCATTGGACATTTGGGTCCGGAAGGGGGGAGGGGGGTAATTCGAAGGTCAAAGTCTAGGTCAAAGTCTAAGGAAGCCTATGTCTAGTGCCCTACTGTCTACACCTATTGAATAAGAACCCGTGCCTTTGGATATAACTGGCAGGTATGAAAGCCTGAACCTATGTTGATCGTTGTTAACATTTTTTGTTTAAAAAACTCTGAAAAAATATATAAAGAAATTAAAAATCACGGACAGCAGTGGTGGTTTATTGAGCTGCAATATTGTAACAGAGAAATCAATATTTTTATTGAATGCCCATAATGTGCAAAAAGAACTGAGGAAAACAAAGAGCAAAAAATTCAGTATACAAAAAATGTCTGGGAAATTGATATAATAAAGAACAGTGAATTTCATTCGATTGAAATCACATAAGGATTTTATCTATTCATAGATTGGATTAGTAAAATGAGTATACTGAATAAAAATGCGAAGAAATTTTTATAATTGAGAAAGTTCATATACAAATTACCCTTAGAAAGTTCATATACAAATTACCAAAAAAAAAAATTCAGTATACAAAAAAATTCAGTATACAAAACTCATTTCCCTCTTCTGTTGCGTTACAACGGTGATTAAGATAGGGATATCGGTGGATTAGGGTGGATATAGAGGTAATTTAGATGGGATAAGACGGATATTGATGATTTGTGGGATTACGAGTGATATGAAGTGATTTTGGGGATTAAGATTTGACTTTAGATTTTTATAGGGATCTTCGACCTTAGTTGAAGTTTAATTGTAGAAATGACAACATTTGGATTAAATTCTAATTTTTTGCATTTAACTGTAAGTTTTTTTTAAAATTCATTGACTCTTTAACAAGCATTTTTCTCAATTTCTTTACTCTTTCCTTTTTATATGCATAGTAACTTAACAATTTTTGCGTAATACTAAGTACATGCTTGAATGCATCATTTTATATCCTGAATTTTCACTTTATGAATGCGCCATTTAGCTAAGGAAGTTACTTTCATTTACATATAAAGTCAATATGTTATGTTAAAATAGAGGTAACCGCTTTCGGACATGTTCTAAATTGATTTATAATATTCATTTTTTCAAAATAAGCAATTTTTTATCTTCTTGTACATAAAATCGTGTAGTTTTCGTACCTAGAAGGTATAATGATTTAATTGCTATACTAATATTTATTTGAACCTCTTTTTAGTTATTAACCGTTATTTCTAACATTTAGCAAGTCTTTCCAAATTTTTCATGTTTTAAAATTTTCTGCTTTGAATTCTATGTGATATCCTGCGTTTTTGCTTGACCATAATATTTTCATTTCCTTTTTTACACATTATCCCAAAGAGAATCCTTTTAAAACAGAATTCATTTACCATATTTAGCCGCTTGCTTTTTTTGTTAGAAACAAGAGGTTGTTGCTATGAAATGAATTATCTCCTCGGCAATGACCTTCTTTCCTTTAGCATTTTATGTACGTTAATATTAACTTGTGTTTTTGGAGCCATTATTTTTTTCATCTAATAACTAAAATATTGAAAATTATTTCTAACCTTAAAAGTTTTCTCTTTAGTTTTAAGTGGATCTTTTGATGTGGAATATGAGATGACACCGATCATATTTATTGCAGATATATTTATACAACTGTTGTGGTTGAAAGCTTTATTTACTTATTCTTAACCTTATTCTTATAAGTTATTTTTGCAAATATTATAGTTAATTTGCTGATTTAACCGCATACATTTTAATTATTTAGCTGAATTATTTAATTTTCTACATCATTATTTTAAAATCCACTTCATCTTGCTTTTAAATCTCTTATTCTATTTTAGTTTTTATATACTCATAGCTTATTTATATTCTTTTTATAAATAATAAAATTTTCACAAGACATTGCCTTATGCACCTGCATGCTAGATATTAATGTCAAATTACTGCCAATACAAGAAAAATGTTTTGCTTCTTATTTATTATTTATTAGTAATCTGTTATTTTAAATTAACAACGGCATCGTAATCACATTTTTTCCTAAGGAAAATTCTGCTCTACAAAATTTTATTGCTACTAATAAATGCATGGATTCAGACAACTTAGGCTTGGCGCTTCCAGATTTAAGGTTGGTCAAAAGCATTTTGTTATATGCTTCGACTATTTTATATAAATATTTTGTTCTGATTTTTTGAATATTTTATTTTTATCTCTCAATTATTAGATTTCACTACATTTATTCCTACTTTATTACATTTGTTACTAATGCTTTTAAAAATCTAGCTACTATAATAAAATTTTAATTATTTTAAAATATTGCTTTTATTTTACAAAACCTCATAATATTTTTATTTTTATTCGCCCTTCCTTTCCTAGAAACAAATTCTACCTCATTGAGTTCCCTCTCTTTTAACACCGAATATGTACAATTTCCACTTCCCACGACCTTCCCATCCTTATCCACTACCATAATAAGTATGTAGCACAACCGGAATGCCACTTTGTAAACCAATTTTGTGCAGCTTTTAAAACGCCTGTGGTGTCGATGGGGCGGAAGCGTGCGAAATTCCGTTGCCAAAAAAGGCCAAGAAAGATGGCTTACGGCTACTTTAAAGTGCTCAATATATTGTATTTACAGCTTTTTATCAAATAGCTCCTCTGTTAACTACATAGTATTTTAAATTTATTTCCCATATTTATCTTAATAATTTTGTATAATCGAGCATATATGTAATTAGGAAGAAATTTTATCATTTAAATTATAAATGATCTTCAATTTACTTTTCCATTTATTCCATTAATATATAGTTAATATTCTATTTTCTACTTTTTATCTTATTTACCTTCGTCCCCCTATAATAAAAACCCTCTCGGGATTATCTTTTTAAAATTTCATATAAAATTGGAGAAATTTCCTTTAAATTTCAGTGTACTTTATATTTATATATACTAATACATTTTTGGCCTTAAGCTACAATTCATTTCTTGTTCTACTTGTTTTTAAAGTGAAGATTCTCTGCCTATTTTTGTTCATCCAATTTGCTGCAGTCTCCCAATTTTCTCATTTAGCCTTTCACAAATAACTAATTTATTGTCCTCTTTCTTATTATTTTTATGTAACAAATTTGATTAAATGGACTAGCCTAAGAATTTAGATTGGTTTAGAAGGAATTGTCTAAAATTTAGGAGGGCTTGCCTATTTATCTAAATATTTGACAATTTTTTAAATGTTTCTAGACATAATTTTTAATTCAAAAATTTTACTTTGCATTCCTCCTTTAATGGTTACAGGCTTTTTAAAATACATATATGCTCGATTATTCTAAAAAATGAAAAGCATCCAGCTGCTAAAATGTAGAAACATGTTTTCCATTTATGTGAAAATGGATTTCGATTTTTTAATTACTATTTTTCCTAAATTCATGGACATGAAATTGTAGCATATTTCAAGCTTCTTAATAATTTTTAAGTCTGTAATTTTATTTTGAACTTTAAGAAAAAAATTCTGTATTTTTAACTGTATCGGTATTAATTGGATATAACTGCAAAGTCATAAACTTCTTTAATTTGGTTAATAATAGCTAAATAACCACCTTAAGCATCAGCTGTGGAGCAACAAACACCAGATAGAGATCAACAAACTCAGGTTCAACTATCTTCAATACAACAACGACTTGCAGAATGGTTATCTGAACGTTTTTATCATCGCAAAATCATTGCATCAAAGATTTCCCAGAGTATGTGGATAGTAATTAAAATTCTTTCAATTTGATCATATTTCTGTTTGAAATTCATTTCCATACACAAAGCATTGTATTTATCTTTTTGTAGATCATAAAAATTACAATCCTGTCAAAGTTTACAACAGCACAATACAGGACGAAAGTGTATTCACAGCTCATCAGGTATAATAACATTAGTTATCAGAAATGATAACATTAGTTATCAGTCATGTATAATAACATTACTTATCAGTTAACAATGTGTTGACTATTTAGTACTAGACTAGTATCTTCATTTCTTTAAAAGGTTTATTATGAAAGCTGCCCGACGCTCATTAATGAGTGTGACTCGTTTATAATGAGAGAAAAAGTCCTAAATATAATAATTCTGTCCTACTTAATTATTTTGGCAATGCTTAAAACCGCTTCTTATATTTTTCTTTTCTCTTATTTCTATATCCTTATTTAATTTTCGATTTTTCATTATCTTTAAGTTAAAACTTCCTTTAGCTCTAAATTAAGAAAATTATTAATGTTGCTAATATTTCTTGTTTTGATTTCATAAATGATTTAATTAAATATGCCATATTATGTATTATAAAAAACAAACTGTCATATTATCATAGTGCTTACATAATCGTAATTGTCATTTTGTTAATACGTTTTATTTCAGAGGGTTCACTTAGATAGGAGTAGACACGTTGATCAGATACCTAATTATCAGGTATATCGATTCTTAGTTATTTTATACTTTATACTACATAATTTAACCAGACACACAAGCTATTGGACGGGTCAAATATTGGTTCACACCATTACGGAGCCCACGGCGGTAATCAAAGTTTATTTAATATTTATTGCTTATGCATTCAGGGCACGGTGCTCACGGCCACCAAGGCACTTCACCTGGTAAAGTCTCTAATGTAATTTATAAGATTTTCTGACTTTAGCTATGATTCTCTATTATTTGGCTTCCGCATTTCGAGTTTCATCGAGGATTGGTTCTTTTATACCTGCTATTTTGGTTATCATTATCTTTTAGATGATGATTTTATTGACAAAATCAACTACTTTTACACGACAACAATACGTAAATTTTTTCTTTTCTGATCCTTATACTTGTTATTTTCTTAAAGTTGCATCATTTGCACTACTTGTCACTGCTAAGCAATATGTACATAGCTTTTAGTATATTACCTTATTATTCTTATCAATAGGTTGGCTATCCCATCCAATGCTGGGTTCCTGCTACATTTACAGGCTTGTTCTCTTTATAAGACGGATATACAAAATATTTTCTGATATATTTTAGATGCCATGGAACAATATACTGAGAATTATTGGTAAGTAGGTCACATGTACTTATTCGTTTTTCAATTTTTCATTAAGTTATGTGCAAAATACCTATTGGATTCCCATGGAAGAAGTAAATTTTTAACTTTCATCATAGTATCTTCAATATTTAGGATATCCCTCGTGAAGTTTATTCGAGGAGAAATCGACAGATTGGTTACTACCAATGGGTAATTTTTTATTTATCCGATTGAAAATAATTTCATATTAAATACGAAGGTGCCTTTCATTTTGGCACTTCAAGCGCTCTTCTTCTACATCCCATGCATTATTTGGCGTGGCCTTCTTTATTGGCATTCAGGCATTTTTTATTATTTATTCGAAAAAAAAAATTTTTAGGTTCTATAGAAATAAGATTTTATTTTAAGGGATAAACCTTCAAGGACTTGTGCAGATGGCATGCGATGCGCGATTAATGGATCCAGAGATTAAAGTAAATCTATAATTGGTTTTAGCGTCTCATATCTTTAGATTTAAACATTGTGATATAAAATTTAATTAAAGAAATCTCATCTATGTAGTATAATTTTATTACTTACGTTTTTAATTTAAGTCGAGAACTGTTTTCACTATGGCCAGACATATGCAGGATGAAGTGCATGTAAGATTAAGCTTTTAATTGAGATCATATAATCACGTTACTTTACATATTAGATTTACATTCTATTAATAACAATTAATATCAGGTTGGAGCACAAGTTCAGCGACAAAGCCCAAACCGTTTAGCAATTTTACGAATTGGCAGACATTGCGGATGTTATATTACTCTTCTTTCAATTGCAATAAAAGTATTTTTCAAAAATTTTGTATACACTTTTGTGTTATTAACGTGTTTTATTGAAATTAAACGGCATTTAGTTATTAAAGTTAAAACGATATGAGTGTTTATAGGTATTTTATAATTGTACGTTTTCAGATGTTATATTCCACCAATGTCATTGCACAATTCTGCCTGCTCAACCAAATCCTTGGTTCTAGAGATTTTACTTATGGTTTCACTCTTCTCAGAGATATTGTTAATGAAATAGAATGGGAAAAAACAGGTAATAATTGTTTGATTAGCATTATAAGATCCATGCTTGATACATTTTAGGAATGTTTCCTCGTGTTACACTTTGCGACTTTGAGGTTCTGCTCATATCTTTTTTATTGTTTGAAATCCTAATTTTTAAGGTTCGAGTGCTTGGCAACATTCACAGGTTAAACTTTAATAACAATAAAAATAAAAAATACGTCATGATAACATTTATATGGATTTACTTTTAACATAAGAATTTTATTAAAATATTATTTTTAGACATACCGTCCAATGCGTGTTGATGATAAAGTATAAAAATATTGCTTTTATGACTTAACTTATTTTTATAAGTTTCCCAGTATGTTCAACGAGAAGATTTTCCTCTTTCTGTGGTTTTGGTTCTTAACTGTCGGTTCAATTACTGTGAGTTTTCTTAAATATACATAAGATAATTCTACTAAAAATTTCATTCATAAAAAGGTTGCCAACACATTCTATTGGATCTATACAATGCTTTATCCCAAAAAGGTCTAAATTCGTTTAAATTTTATGTCAAATTGTTACAGAGCATCTCGTTCATTCGAAAATATCTTCGCGTCCTTAGTGAGCATCCATTAAAACCTATGGCTGACGATGTTTCATTACGCAAATTCGCCAATAATTTTCTTCGTAAAGACGGAGTTTTCATGGTATTTATTAAATCTGAATTTCTGATTTTTGTGTTTAGTTACGAATAATTTCAACGCATGCTGGTGAACTTATGACATCTGAACTGATACTTGCGCTTTGGAACGACTTCAACAACATCGGCGAGTGGATGGAGCATTGAGAATGGCAATTGATATATTATATTATCAATTTTAATATGCCAAAAAATCGTAGATAATTTTGACTAAAAACTATATTTAGATCGTTGCGCATGGGGGCATGAACAGCTTGACGATGATGATAATTCTTAAAGTTCAATGTTGATCTACTTGTTTTACAGCCAATCACACACATGTAGAATAATACTGCCTAACATTCTATGTATGTACTTGTTTAGATTTTCAAGATTTGTAAAATTGTGAATAAAATGTTAATATTTTATTGCACTATTTAATACTATAATTTGGCAACGTGATTTTCTGATCTTCAGTATTGTTTTCGACAATTTAATAATTGATGCTTCGAAAGTAGTCAGCCAATGCGCCCGTTGTTTTACTGCACATTTCTGGTTGTACTCCACTCTCATAAACGCCAATTATAAAAGCTAGAATTAAGTAATATTGAACCCTTGTCCGTAATTATTTGAACCTTTGTCCGTTTTATAAATGAAGAAACCATTAGCAGTTTTTTTGCCTGCATTTAAATAATGTTGAAATTTATTTTTCTATTTACCTATTATCCGCTCAGAGTCAGCTTGTAGCACGAAATATCTGTATTAAAATTTGTCGTTAATAATTGTTCTCTTAAGAGAGCTCATGTCTTATAGATATTACATATCCTATTTCTTATCAGCCTTTGCTATTTCCTATTTCTTATCCTGATTTTTTGCTATGTATAATAATATAATTAATGGCTAAATTTATTTAAAACAAACTTTTCGCCTTCAAACCGCAATCCGGAAGCTAGGACACCTTCTGAATCTAAAAATACGAATTATTTTTAATGAATAAATCTAAATGTAATTTGTTATTATTTCCAATATTTATAATACATCTATCATGAAATTATGTAGATTACTTTTAAGTCCATTTGCCGCAGCATTTGCTTCCGATTGATCTATCTTTATTATAAGGAATATATTTTCATATATTTAAATTTTAATAACCTTAAAATTGTCTGATTTCCCCCAAATAGAACCATCGAGCCCACAAATTGCTGCCTTTGAGACATGGCCAGTTCCTATATTAAAATCAAATTAATATTTCTAAAAGACATAATTAAGTTATTTCGACTTTAATTTTGCATTATTCAATGCTTACCAATTAGGTTGTTGTTAACTAGATCTTGCCAAGACATTTATCTTTTGTCCAGGAATAAATTTTTATGATACCTAAATTATTTTTTTAGATAAAAGGAGAATCTAAAGGGTAACAGAAAGATGACGTAACATTTAGGCAGTGAAAATTTTCTTGAATTTATGAACATTATCAAGAAAACATTTTAAGATGATAGAGGTATGTAGGTCATTTAAAGCATTTGTCAATTTCCTGCCTAGAGTGAGCAATTGATTTGAGCCATCGATTCGATATTTTCTGCTTTACCCGTTCTTGAGTAGAGGAATGGACAAATCTCTGACTGATCCGTTTGTATTCAATTTTACTGGCGACTGCTGTTATGCGTCTCTGTTTAAAGCACTGATCGAAATAAGAGTTTTAAGCATATTATACATACATATTTCTCTTCTCCTGGTTTTTTCTTCATTGTGCAAACTATAAAGCACCAAGGCCAATTACTTAATGTTGGGTAGAGGATATCTCAGCTCATAATGCTAAGTATCAATAAAGAAGAAAAGCATGTGTTGTGAACATTGAACAAGGATAGGTCAGAAATAAACTATTCTCAATATAGAAACTTAAGATCAAAGTGAACTATATCAAAAATATTCAAATATTTAAACAATAAGTCTTAACTACAAACACAGAAAAAGTTAGAGAGATAAGTATGTGTTTTTGCGTTTAAATAATTTATTATCTCTTGTATATCAACTTGGATTTTGTTTTGTCTTTTGTCCTGAATGTCCTTGTTGACATTTATCCTGTGTGTCCTGCCTCTTCTGTCCTGCAAAATTGTGTAAATTTTAGAACATAAATACAAGGAGTATATGATAATGACACAGAAGTTCATCAATATACATTACTGACATTACATTATAACTGTCATTACGTTATAAGGATCATTATAGGTACAAAAAATAATCCAAAAATTCTGAATTTACCACTTTTAGGAGCTGAGCTAGTACTACCAGACATCGAAGCTAATGCTGCAGCTAAATAAGAATATGCAGCATTATTAAGATCAGTTGTGCCGTTAAGCGAGTTTAGCGCAAGAAGGGTTTGAAGTTGTTGATTTTGGAGCGATGTGTCATATGTCGATGAGGTTGAAGCAGGAGAAGCAATGAGCGAATTCATCAAGGAGTTCATTCCTAAGCTTGAACTGCTATCAGTACTGTAACCCATCATTGATAATAATTGAAGTAGATATTGAGGATTGCTCATCTGTACGAAATTAGAAAAATATAGATATGTAATACTAAACTAGACATTATTAATTAGAAACCAGTTTAGTGTATTCGCTCTGACCAATCAGTGATTTATTAATAACCGATGTAGATTTTGCAGATGATGATTGCGTAGTTAATGCGTTTGAATTATTTTGTTTAGCTATATTCTGTTGTTTTGTTGGTAAAGGTTCTTTCGTTCGAGCAACTAGGTCACGGTTCTCCAATTTCTAAAAGTGAAATATGTATAAAGAAGTTCATTGACTCAGAGAATATGAAACAGATTGAAATACCTTAAAAGAGTCAGATTTCCCCAAAATTGTGCTATCAAGACTACCAATTTCCGTCTTAGAGGCGTGACCAGTTCCTGAAAATAATCAATCTGGAATTTAAGAATAAAGTTAGTAAGAAAAGACACTAATACTGATTCTTCATTCTAGATCATGTTAAATAAAAACATTTCAAAAACTTAATGAGTTTACCGCTTTTAAAAGCTGAGCCTGTACTACCAGACATTGAGGCTAAAGCTGCAGTTAAATAAGAATTCGCAGTATTGTTTGTATCAGTTGTACCAAATGAATTAAGTGCAAGTAGTGTTTGAAGTTGTTGATTCTGAAGCGTCGTGTTATACGCAGATGTTGAAGGGGAAGGAGAAGCAATAAGTGGATTTATTAGGGAGTTCATTCCCAAGCTTGAACTGCTATCAGTACCATACCCCATTAATGATAACAATTGAAGAAAGTATTGAGGATTGCTCATCTGTAACGAATAAAATAATTATTTTTGGTTTTTCGTATGGATTCATTGGGGAGTTCGTTTATTCTGACAGGCTCTAGCGATAATAAAAAACATAAATTCAGAAACCATTTTTAAATAATCGTTCTGGCCAACTAATGACGCTTTATTATTCACAGATGTAGATCTTTCCGACTGCGTATTTGATAACGTGGTAGAAGTGTTTTGCTTTTCAACATTTCCTAAATTCAGTTGTTTTGATGGTAAGGATTGTTTAGATCGAGTGCTTAAGTCAGCAATTTCCAATTTCTAAATTAAATAGAATTAAGTACAATTAATAAAATTAGTGGCCGAGACCTTTAAATCATCAGATTTTGGCAAAACAGAACCAACTGATCCAGAATTTGAGGCTTTAGAAACACTTCCTATAAATAAGACGGTACATTTTTTACATCTTAAACTTTTAATAATTTTATAAATAAGGTCAGTTTTCATTAAAAATTGATATGAGGCTCTATTTAAGCTCACCAATATTAGCTGACGAGCCAGTATTGCCAAACAACGATGCCAACGCTGAAGTTAACGAAGAATTTGTGCTAATACTTGAATCGGTTGACCCGGTGAGAGTGGTCAGCGCAAGAAGTGTTTGTAACTGTTGATTTAATGTTGAGCTATATGTAGATGAAGTTGAAGGAGATGGGGAAGTAATAAGTGAGTTCAAGAGTGAATTCATTCCTAAACTTGAACTGCTTTCTGTGCCGCTGCAACCCATCATTGCCAATAATTGCAACATATATTCAGGATTATTCATCTGTTTTTAATTTTTAAATGATCATTAATTTTTGTTTATCATGAAATTAATTAGTATGTCAAAAACAGAAAGTACTGCGAAATTGGCACACCCTGTAAAATTTAGTAATAAAATTAGAAACCAATTTATTAAGTTCGCTCAATGATGATTTATTATAAACAGATGTGGATTTTTCGGATGAATTTATATTTGAAGAAGATGTAGTTAAAACGTTTTGTTTTCCAGCATTTACTTTAGTAATTGAAGGTAATTTTGGTTTGGTGACAATGTCAGAGCTTTCCTTCTATAAAAGATCGGCTTATTAATTAGGTAGACAAATTAGAAACCATTTTAATCAGTGGTTGTTGTTTGTTTTGGCAAAGTGTTTGTATTGTACTGGTACCAGATTCAGAAGCTTCAGAATGCTGTATTGCTGAAGTGCCCTGTTTTCCTTTATCCAGTTCTTTCGTTTGAGTAACTTTATCACCAAGTTCAAGTGTCTAAAAAGTGCGAATTCAAGTTAAACATAAAAAAACAAGCCTGGATCCTATGGAGTAATTTGCTTGCATTCCTAAAATCATAAATTTCAAAAATTGCTCTGACCCTTTACCTATGTAAATGTCTTTGGAATATCATGTCGACGCAAATAAATGGTGGCTAAAATTAATAAACATAAATATTTTTAGTTAGTTTTGCAAATAAAAATCATACGTTGTATTCTGGTTTTTGCGCCCAGCCTTGATAGAATTTAGATTTAGAATCGCCGTCTGTGGATGCTTTGGTATCATTCTCAAGCGCCTCAGATTTCTCGGAAATTTTGTCTTGACACTCAGATGGAGTGATTAAGTTCCAAACGAATTCTTGAGTTTTTTCGTCACCTCGAAATTCTCGAATACAATGCAGCAATAAAGTCCTAAAGTTATAAGTCATCGAAATGCATTAATAATTAGACTACTACCTTGAGATATGCTCAAGTTCTTGTTCGCTCAGTTCAGAGAACTGTTTTAGAGTAGACCATCGACCCCACCCCCATTGCATGAGAAGTTTTTCCACCTAAATTTCATACAAAATAAAAACTATAACAACGAAGCTCTATATATCTAGTTAATAAATTGTTAGTTAAAGGTACCTTTTTGAGTTGAACAATTGTACAAGCGAGCTCAGGGTGCCGATTACTTGCAGAAGCTTTGTGTCGTTGACGCACTTCATCCCCTTGACTATGCGTGTCATCCTCATTGAATGGATATTTATAGTCATCCTCTGCACCAGCTGATGCCATTCCTGTAGCACGTCTCTTCTTGCGAACGCTGCGACTTTTGACATTCTCTGCTATTCTAGAAGAACCTTTAACATGTCGATCATCTAAGATAAATAAAACACAATATAATGAAATTTCTATTTCTGAAGAAATGTAAAAAATTATTAGAATATTACCATCATCGGAAATTGTATCGTCTGCACTCTCAGAATTTCCTTTAAAGTTGTCCTCCTCGAATCGCTTCTTACGTGCTCGTGGCTCATGCACAATCAAATGTTTTGATGAGAAATCACCTTGCAGAGCACCTACATCTATATTGGCCTTTTTAGCCCATTTAGACCAAAAGTCAGGATCACTATGATAATTTAAATAATTATATACAAAATTAGCTTTTCCCCAACATATCCAAGTAAACATACCTGATATCGATATCATCACGGTTATGCGACAATGTAAACGATGCTTTCGCAAAGGTAGAGCCTTTTACTCCAGGCTGAAAATAATATTTTCGTTTTAGAAATGTTTAATAAGGCATACTTCTAGTTTAATCGTTTGAGCACGCCGCTCCAGAATGGTATCTATATCCTCCTCGCCAAACTTTGCATCTTCATTATCTTCATCCATTATTGCACCTAGAAGATTGCTTATATAATTTGAAAAATAATAATTCGATACCATATGCTCCTTTTCGTAACAAGTCCTCTACTTCCTGACGGCTCAATTGATGACTGCTTTGTAAATTGCATTCAGTTCTCCTGTATATAGAAAATATACTTTTACTAATCAAGTTCTTTAAAAAATACATTGACTGGAGCACAGCTTTATCCAGACCTGTAAACACATAGCATGAATTTAGTAGTTTAAAAAGTAAACATACCCAACTTCAGACTAGCTTTATCAAACATCTCACGTTCGTAAGTATTAGCAGTTATTAGCCTAAAAATAATTAGAAAACATGAAAATTATTTGAAAAAAATATTTCAAAATGATTATAAAATATACAGGTTATATAGAATTATAAAGGAAATATACCTATAGATTTTAACTTGTTTAGTTTGACCAATACGATGACAACGAGCTTGAGCTTGCAGATCATTCTGGGGGTTCTATTTTTAAATATAAATTATATTTTTATTGTAAATATATGTACCCAATCGCTATCAAAAATAATGACTGTATCAGCTGCTGTCTAAAAAAATAGTAAAAGTTCTGATAAATATTCATATTTTCAATAAATTACCAGATTAATGCCCAAACCACCAGCACGTGTACAAAGTAGAAAAACAAAGCAATCTTTATTTTCCGGTTTAGAGAATCTGTCAATGGCAGCTTGACGTTCACTCCCACTAAAGATAAAAAAATTTTTGTGATCAAGATTTTTAACCGTATGTTTCCATCAATTCGCTCAAATGGGTACCCTTTGATATTGAAATACTCCTCGAGCAAGTCCAGAACTCTAACCTTTAAAATAAAAAAAGAATTAAATACATACAATGAAATTCAAACCATTTGCGAGAAAAGCAACACCCTATGTCCATCGGCGCGTAATTTAGGAAGCAATTTATCAACTAGGACAACTTTGCCTGAACTGGAAATAAGACCAATAACATGACGCTCTTCTTCAGATTTCTCCGGATAAATATGCTTAAGCTCATTAAGAATCTGCTCTTCAGCACCATTAATTAAATAGGGATGGCTATAAAATAAGGAAAATTTACGAAGTATTTTTAAGTAGGAAAACGATCAAAAACCAACCAACAACATTTACGCAATTGCATCATTGTGTTAATTAAAGAAGGTGTCGTTCCTTTCATCAAATGCGTAAAATTACGTTCGAGAACTGCTCGATAATATTTCTTTTGAATGTTTGATAATTGGACCTAGGAATTAAAAATAATTTTAATAATTAAAGATTTTTTGATTGACAAAAAATAATTAAACCTCAATAATAGTTTCTTCTTTCGGTTGAAGTTCTTTTTCAACGTCTTCCTTCAAACGGCGCAACATCATAGGTTTTAGAATCTCTTGTAGCTTCTGAACCTGTTCTTCAGTCTGACATTGGCCAAATTGTTGAAGAAACGCCTCAGAATTAGCTAAATATTTATTAAATTTTTAGAAAATTTAATCAACATTAACAATAATGTTACAAAATTTATGATAACGGAAAAACTGACCAAATTGTTCCGGCTCGAGAAAGTTAAAAAGAGAGAAAAGCTCTTGGATATTATTTTGTAAAGGAGTACCCGTCAAAAGTACACGATGGTTCATACGAAGGGAAAGTAATCCTGATTGAAGAAGTTTACAATTTCTATTTTTAATTCGATGGGCTTCATCTAGAAATAATCAATTACAAGTTTATTCGATGACAACAAACCAATTATACAAACACAGAAATTGATTCGTCGGAGTACTTCAACTTCTTGTACAACAACTTAAAAGAAATAAGAAAGTTATTACAAGTAATCTTGCAAGTAATATACCTTCATATGTAGTAATTAATGCATCAAATTTTGGCACATTCCGTCTCCTGCCATCAACTTTTTTGTAGAAAAATTCATAATCTCTTATTATTTTGCGGCTAACGGCACCTCCGTGGTAAACAATTGCATTAATTTCTACAAAACAGTACTAGTAAAATACATAATTATTCATACCCGGAGCCCATTCGTTAAATTCACGCTCCCAATTTCCAAGAGTTGAAAGAGGAACCTGAATATAAACAGTTTTAATAAGAACAGATATTCCATTTTAAGAAGAGAAATTTAAATTAAAAGTAATACCACAATGAGGAATGGTCCATGAACGCCGATGTCTAAACAATAAAAATATATGTATATTAGCAAGGCTCAGTAATTTTTCAAATATTTACCATAAAGAGAAAGAAGAAACACAATCTAAAATATTTTAGTTGAAATAATAAAACTTGATCATACTTACGCTTTGAACTGTTTTTCCTAATCCCATCTCGTCTGCTAGAATACAGTTTCGACCATTTATCCATGTCCATAGCAACCAATTTACACCCTCGTGTTGGTATTCACGCAGAATATTGTCATTATTGTAAATTTTATCTTTTGGGATGGCCAAACGTGAGGAAAATTCCTAAAGGATATTTCTTAAAATTTATGAACGCAAAAGCTAATCATATTTTTAAAGTATTATGACAAAATAACTGACCTTAGGGGAAATTTTAGGATGTTCCTTCAATTTAAAGAGATCAAACTCAGAGCGGCGACGAAAATCCAACAATTTCTGTCCTGGTACATCCTCTTCCAATTCCCATGTACTGAAAGAAATAACTCTTAAAAAATATGCAAAATAACATAAACCTCTCTTCATAAGGCAATGACTTCCATTTAACAAAAACCTAATAAAATATAATATAATGTCAGTGTACATTATTGATTAAAATATGTACATATTGTTGCTGTTCCTTTTTGTCGTAGGTTTCATCAAGAACACGGGAAACAACAGTGTAATCCTCATTGAAAAAATCACGTTGTTCCTCGTCATCCTCCTGAACATCCAAAGCAGTAGTGGAATCATTCCCAAATTTTAATTTCCATCGATTCAATTTAGAAGCCACACGTTTGTCTCCCAAAGCTTCGAGCTCTTGGATCTTAATAAAAAGAAATTAATATGAAAGAATTTCCTATTTCAAAGCTTAAACAAAGCAATAAAACACTAGAAAGATTTATCATATCTTAATCTTATATATCCCTAACCCCTTTGTTCAGGGGGTTAGTCGGCGTTGGGCCCCAAGAGTGGTAACCCACCCTTGGGGCGCGCCGATCCACCTATTAAAAACGAAGGCCTTCTTTTAACTTTTTTATTCAACAAATATAATTAATAAAAGGGAGAGAGGACAGGCCAACTTTTGATCGGGCCCAAAACTAATTAAGTGAATGAATAAGTTAATTTGGCCTATTCTCTCTCGCCTTTTATGAGGCGCTAAAATGGGCGTTTCATAAACTTAACTATGACATTCTATACGCGGGGGTGGGGGATACAACAGAAAAAGCGGATAAATAAAAGTGCGGAAAATGTGAAATGAAATTCTTATTTTCTTTCATCACATAATCTATCTTTTCTTGTATTCGTCATTTCATCCTAATTCTTCGCTTCCATTCTTTTAGCAGTCGAATCTAGCCCGCGCAAAACGTAATTTCACTTCAACAATTTCCTGCACTTGTATGTATTAAATCAAGAAAATTTTGGCGAAAACGGAAAAAATTATGTATGTGTCAACGGAGGCCAATCCAAGAAAATGTCAAACGATAAACGCCAAAATCCACTTTCTCTTCCTCTCCTGGGGGGTCAGCAAATAATTTTATTTCGAAAAATGAATCCCGTCGCCAAATGTTTTTTAATATTCCTCAAAATCTGTTCCGTCAGTGGGCCAGTTCTGATATCCTTGATCCTGATAACCTTCCTCTCCCCAGTTCTCATTGCTTTCATTTGGAAACCATTGGCCTTCATCATCATAATATTGGTCATTGGCATAGTATGGGTCAACATTTGGGTCCATCTTTTCATCATCCCCGTTCTCATTACATCCGTTAGACTCCTGGAATTGCTCCTCATAGTAATATTGGTCATAGTTTTGGTATGGATCCCTGACTTCATTAACCTCCGCTAGCGCCGCCTTAACTTCTATTTTCTCCAGTCTTTTTCTCGTCTCATCTTTAATTGTCCGATTTAATTCATCAACCCTTTTTGCTTGCGCTATTGCTCCTGCCAATTTTTCTACAAGTGTCTTCCACCGCGATTTTTCATCCACGGGCATTGATTCGTAAATCGCAAGTGCAGACCCTTGTAGATAAAGCGGTAAAATCTGCGTGCATCTCGAGGGAGTCCAATTGTGTGCCGTTGCTATTCGGTTGAAAGTCCTTAGATAACTCAAAAAATCTCCATTGCCATTAAAGAAGGTAGGGTATGGAAGTCCACTTGAGCTCGTACCAATAGTATTATCCCCTTTATCCTTTGTATTATCCACTTCCAATCCTGAAATGTCCTCTTCTTTCATCACAAGCCTCTATTAATTCTTTAGTCAGTCTTTGTCCGGACTTGATTTATTTTATAATTTTTTTTCCAATTTTATTCCAATGCTCGACTTTTCCTAACACTTCAAATAATATTTCCACTTTTAGCTAGCTTTTTGCCCACAGTGGGGAACCAGAAGTGATTCTGCAGTAATCACCCCTGGTCTGTTAGGAAAATGATCGAGCTCTTATTTCTCAATTTGTTTTTTCCACGTGCACGTTTTTTAAGCTTTTATTCCAAGACTGGCTATAAAATTTCACTAGAGGCCTGTTTCAAGAGATTATATCCAGAATTTTCCAGGATCTTTGTCCTTTATCCTTCCCAACCTTTATCCTTCTCTCACTTCAAATGCTACTGACTTAACAATCAACCCAAACTAAAATCTTCCGCTCCAATTGAACTCCTTCGCTTTAGCCTTTTCCCTCTTATCTTTATTGGTATTATCCTCAGAATATCCCTTATGTGTTTATCTTCCTTCTGCTCCTTTTGTTCCCTCCGTGTATCTTTTGAATGAATCCGTCTGTGTGAAAAAATCCTTGTGTATCCTTGATGAATGAATCCGTTTGAAAATTCCCTCGCTCCTATTCGACTCTTCAGTAATCAAATGTGAGCCAAATTGGTAGATTTTTAAACTCCTTTTTATATTAATTTCTCCCTTTCGGTCACGCCTAAAACTTGCTCGCGCAAAATTTCTTTGTTGTAATGTCACAAGAGATAGCTGTAATTCTTGTGATAAGAAATTTTGGCGTTTCCCAAATTCTTTCCTATTTGCCCACTTCCGGCCAATTTGCGCGTTGCTGCAAATAAAGGAGTCCAAAAAAAACTAGTTTAATAAATAAGAAATATTTTTCCGCTCGCCAAAATTAAGTTGATTGATGGGTTGAAGAAATAATTTTTTTAAATAAATATTTTTGGAATATTTTTAGAAATATTTTTTGGGTGGATTAGGAATTTTTTTTTTAGGTGGAGAATTACAGGAGCGCCATCTTATATATCCCTAACCCCTTTGTTCAGGGGGTTAGTCGGCGTTGGGCCCCAAGAGTGGTAACCCACCCTTGGGGCGCGCCGATCCACCTATTAAAAACGAAGGCCTTCTTTTAACTTTTTTATTCAACAAATATAATTAATAAAAGGGAGAGAGGACAGGCCAACTTTTGATCGGGCCCAAAACTAATTAAGTGAATGAATAAGTTAATTTGGCCTATTCTCTCTCGCCTTTTATGAGGCGCTAAAATGGGCGTTTCATAAACTTAACTATGACACTTAAAGATTTTAGCAGAAAATTACCGTCTTCCATTCACAATGCAAATAAGATAAGCCTTTGAATTTTACATAAACTTCTTCAACATTTTCAGAATCTATAATTTTTTCAGAATCAATAATCTGCAGATCTTCTTTATTTTGAATTGTTTCGCTATCCTGAATAGGCAATTTTGTTTCACTATCATCCTGTTCCTCAGAATTTTCAGTTTTTGTTAGTTCATCTGTGATTTCTTTATTTGATTCTTCAGAAACACCAACTACTTCCTCATTACATTTTAAAGGAATTTCAGTGTCCAATACTTGTTCATTATCATCTAACTTTTGGTCATCTTTTTTATCCGTAAGATCGCTATTCAAAACCGCCCTTTTTGCAAATCGAACACCCAAAATCCTCTCAACAATTCGGCTTTCTTTGGTTTCCTGAGTACATATTTGTTATAAATTTAAAATGAAAAAATTATCGATTATTTGAAATCTTATATCGAAAAATATATTTAATTTTCTTGAATTTTTTTTTCTTGAATAGGGTTGTCGGTTCCTGGAAATTCTTCGGATATCCGAAACCGAACTGAGGAACCGAACCGAAAAATCCTCTGTTCTTCGGTTCGGTTCGGCTCTGTCCAGAACCGACAAACCTATCCTTGAGTATTAATTTCTAAAGATACTAAATCACCTTTTGTTCAGGCAAAGGATTTCGAATTTCATATTCATTGTCACTTTCTTCTCCATAATTTGTCTTTTTATCAATTTCCTTTTTACGTGATGACCTTTTTTCAACAAAGAATTCACTATCCAACTTCAAATCATCCAAACATGCTTCATCTGTCGTAAAAGAAGATCCAGACTTTCTTTTAACATTTGCCCTCTTGTTAATTCTAGGTCTTTTTTCACTTCTACCAGTGACATAATCCTCATCATCAGGTTTGTTCCAATCCAAAATTAAACGCTTCTTACGTCTTGGTTTTGTATTCTTCCCACTTTGGCGACTCGCAGCAAAAGAATTATAAGAATCATTACTTGTAGTTTGAAATGAAAATGCAAAATCATCAACAGGAGTAGTTTCATTTGTTGAAGAATCGCCTTGTTGAAATTCCTCAACTGTAGATTCTTCAAGCTAAAAAGGCAAAAAAAATTTTTTTTTGAAGTACTAACATAAGTAGATTGGGCAAATACCTTTTCAGCAGTTTCTTCTTCCAATTTAGTCTCAGACGTAGATTGAATTAAATGTTCACTTTTTATTTCAATAGTTGTTTCCACCAATGGTTTCTGTATATCCAAAACCTTATCAGCTTCTAAACAATCACTGTCATCTGTAAATCGCCGTTTGATTCCCCTTTTTGTTTCTTTTTTGTTAATAATAACATCAAAACCCGCAGTTTCGTCATTAATATCTTCTTCATCAACAAGTGATTTATCACTTAAAAGTTCAGATTTTTTCAAAGAACTTTGTGGCTGTAAATGTTTTTCTTGAATTTGTTCAACAATATCAGTACATTTATCATTGCAAGTGACTTCCGTTTCTGAAAGTTAAACTTTTTTTTAAAAATTATCTTGATACAATGAGGAATAGCCGAAAAGAATTTACTTAAAAATCATAGAAATTATGTAATAATAAATTTTTGTCCCTCCCGTTTTCTCTTACAAGGAGCATAAATTAAATAAGACCTTCTGTAACAATATCACGTTGTTCTGCTGATGTAGCTTCATTGTCATTAAATTCAATGGTTGTTTCCACTTCTAAATCCTGCATGTTCTGTTCCGCAATTTGAATGAGAGGCTTTGACGCTTCATATGTAGCCTCAACTACTTCAAGCAAATAAATAGGAAACGTTTTGGAAAAATTTGCTGTTGTTTCGCAAGCGAGAAAGCTCAGACTAACGCTTGTCAAAGACATAGGGGGTGAAGGAGGTGACGGTAGTCTATTTTCCGACTCTAAAATAAATTCAATGCAGTAATGTAATAAATTTCAAAACCTGGTAAAATATTCTGTCGAATAGTATCAGGTGATTGGAAACATGGTTGATCGAGACATTTTACTTGTTCTTCTTGTAATTTTTGTTGTTGCTGACGTCGCTTATGTTCACGTGACAAATTCGGTGGCAAAGGTTCAGGAGGAATAGAATCCTTGGCAGACGAATCTTGCTGTTGATCACCATGATTTGGAAATTGATACTGTCTTTGTGAGTCATAATTCATCGATTGCTGCATATCTGCTGCTACAGTCGATATAGCAGGTTGTGCTATGTTTGGCTGTAAATCTTGACCGTGGTAGACACTGATCAGAGTGCGACCAGGGACTTCAGGGCGAATGTTAACCTTAAAAATAGAAACATGAGACTATACAGAAACTTTAGACTTGTTTTCGTTATATTAGGTATAAAAACAGACTTGCACTTGATTAGATGCAGACATAACCGCTACTGATGGCGAGGACATACTTGGAAGAGGTGGAATGTATTGCTGAAGCGATGCAATCGGTTGTTGATGTTGGTGCTGACGTGGTGACAACGGCTGCTGAACCACATTTGCATCAACAGTGTTGGAGTGATAAGGAGCCGGAGGTATTGGAGGCGCTGGATGATATTGTTGCGAAGAAAAGTGGGGCTGGATGCAATTTTGCTGCTGCGAGTATGGATTTAAATTAGGATTTACTAGTTTCTGTTGATGACCAGCTGAGAAATGATGCTGGGATGATTGCCCACTGTAATGTGGTGAATATTGTCCAGCTATCTGTGGTGGTATGACAGAATGAGAAGTCGTGGACAAATGCATTTCTGTGAAATTAAATAAAAATATAAAAAAATCTGCTTAAATCCACCTGTGGAGTGCAGTTGGCCATGCGCTGTTTCAGAACCCATTGCAGCAGATACTGCAGTATTCATTGCGTAATTAATTTGCATTAATTGTGCGTGCAAATATTGCCTTCGAATTTGAATCTTTTCCACTCTTATTGCTAGCTCTGGATTCTGCTGCACTTGTGGTATTAAAGAAGCTAATTGTTGATCGCACTCGAAAAGTTCACGATAAATGTGCTGGTGTTGCTGCTGTTGTCGAGTTATATTATACGGATGTGTTAAATAAGGCTGTTGTTGATATGGTGATGATATTCCAATTGAGCTATTACTTGGTCCTGCAGAACAATCTGTCATGAATTTGTAAGTTTGATTTAACGTTATTGTGAAATACTAATTTAATTTTATAAGTTGGATAAAATTCAGACACAAACTACCGTATTTCCTCAAATAGTACGGCCCCCTCAATTAGTACGGCCCCCTCTATTAGTACGGCCCTTTAGATGAGGGTTGAAAAATAGTACGGCCCCCTCAATTAGTACGGCCCCCCAAATAGTACGGCCCCCATTTAAAAATATAAAAAATATTACAAAATTTGCTCTTCGAATTATAGTAACAATCCTCATCTTTATAATTAAATATCTGACCGCTTAATCCTCCCAGATCCCTCCATTTTCAATAAAACTAGCGGAGTTGGTCGGCCTTCGGCCGCCCCACCCCGCTAGCAAAACAAAACAAACCAAAAAAACAAACTCCAAATCAACTTGTCACAACCTCAAAATTGGCCCTAATCAAATCATAATCAGAAAAACCCGATTATCAAAACATTGACCAGCATTAAAACATTACTCATTACCAAAACATTTAACAAAGCATTATCAAACAATATCTAATAGGTGCACCTGATAGGATACAAACAGGCGCTCGTGTGACTCCGCTAGCATAACAAAACAATTCAAATTAAGATCCGTCAACAGCAATATACGGATCTTGTCAATATTCCGCCTGCTTCACAATGCCCCTTCATTCCCCCAGCTTCAATATTCCACCAGTTTCACAATTCCCCATGTTTCAATATTATATATACACATGAACGTTGATATACTGAGTACAGTGGCTATATTTGAGACGCCACTCTGGGTCCTACATCTCTGGGTCCTAACTGGGTCAACCATACAAAAAAGTGACTCTATTGGATTTTTTATAATTCGGTCATATTTTGAACTTTTAAGATTCAAATCTACTTTCCCACAAGAAATCCTTCATAATTCCTATAAATATCGAATACCCCAGATATCCTAATATTCGTCCAAATCCTTGAATATTTCAGATATTCAATTAAATCTTCGGATATCCACTCAAATCACTCTTAATTCACCTAAATTTCTCTTAATCCATATCAGTGTTTTGGAATGATATCGAGGGAATTTGATGGATTAAGCGGGATTAGAAGAAATATCCGAGGATTTGGATGGATCTCAGGGAAATTCCTCGATATCTCTCCTAAATCTCATCAAATCCATTGATAATTCATAACAACTAAGTGCATGAGTCTGGATTCTGGGATATTTTGGTATAGGAATAGAGAACGGAAGAAGATTAAAGAGGGTTAAATTTAACCGAATTGCAAAGATTACAAATTAAAAACTGAGATAAGGCTTGTTGGAGATCTCAGATAATTTCGAAGGATGGTTGAAATATAGTACGGCCCCCTCAATTAGTACGGCCCCCTCAAATAGTACGGCCCTTTGGAAGAGGGTTGAAAAATAGTTGATATATAGTACGGAATGAATATAGTACGGAATTGAAATATAGTACGGAATGATATCGAGGGAATTTGATGGATTAAGCGGGATTAGAAGAAATATCCGAGGATTTGGATGGATCTCAGGGAAATTCCTCGATATCTCTCCTAAATCTCATCAAATCCATTGATAATTCATAACAACTAAGTGCATGAGTCTGGATTCTGGGATATTTTGGTATAGGAATAGAGAACGGAAGAAGATTAAAGAGGGTTAAATTTAACCGAATTGCAAAGATTACAAATTAAAAACTGAGATAAGGCTTGTTGGAGATCTCAGATAATTTCGAAGGATGGTTGAAATATAGTACGGCCCCCTCAATTAGTACGGCCCCCTCAAATAGTACGGCCCTTTGGAAGAGGGTTGAAAAATAGTACGGCCGGCCGTACTATTTGAGGAAATACGGTACCTTGCTTCTGAATAAAATTTGACGCATATCCAGCTTGATAAGGTGCAGGATAACCAACAACAGCCGGATGAGCAGTATTAACAGTTCCTGTTTGCAAAAATTGTTGCCTGTTAATGTATGAGCCTTCAGATTGTTGCTGCTGATATCCATCTACGGAATGAACGCTCACTGGTTGTTCATGCTGATATGGTACAAACACGGGACCATTCTTTTGTAATTGTTGTTGCTCATCAATTTGAGATACTGATTTCACTGCCTGTGTTTGGAATTTTTGTTGAGATTGGACTTGTGCGAATTGTTGTTGCTAAAATGTTTAGAGTATAAATAATCGTATTTTTAAAAATCGACTTTGAACTGCTTATTTTAAATAAATTATTTAACAATTATTATTAAAAATTTCTGCCTGTCTCGATGCAGGTTGACCATATTGTGATTGCATTTGTTGTAAAGTACCATAAACTTGTTGATTTTGTATATTAGAAAATCGATATTGATTAGCTGAAGTTGATTCCGAGGTCGAAAAGCCGGCAACTAAATATGAATATTGTATCTCAGTATTCTAACTATACATGTTTCACATTTAAATTTTTTAATTTAAATTGTACCAGACTGATGCGGTGCATTCTGAATTGATGCCTGACTGAGTGCAGAAAGGTTTGCAGGTGGACCTGGACCTTTGAGATTACCCAATTGTGACGCGTTCGAAATATCATAGGGTTGGTTCGTAATATGCAATTGATTATGAACTTGCATATGCTTTGTCGACTGAATTCCTGGAATTTTTCTAATAAGATACCCAGAGAAGTTTATTAGCTTTTCTGGTTCGAAAACGTGAACCAGAAAAGTTCACTATTTTGACTTTTTCTTATACCGGCCTAGTCTAAAATTGGTATAGTATATAACCTTGTGGTTCTAGCTGATGTGAAGTTGAACACTGATCAAGTGCCATAACCTTTTTGCTCTTTTTTGATCCTCTAGCACCTTTAGTAGATTTTGTATTAGCTGCAGCGGAAATCTTGATTAAAATTAACAGTATACTCGTTTTTATCATAATATTACTATGCCCTGTTGAAGCACATTTTGACGCGAAGGGTCTCCTGCCATATAGCTGGGATTCATAGTATCAAAAGATCTAACAGGTTGACTCTGCATTTGATAGTTCATCATCTGAGATTGAGGTCCAGAAGACACGAAATCGTTCGTTTGATAACCCTATATTAAGTTAAATTTTTGAAGGATTCAATACTTAACGAATATTTATTTTGACCTATCCACTGATTTAAATATTTTAAATCGCAGACTTTTGTCATATGGAATTTTATCATTTACTTGATTAATAATTGATTAAACAGATTGATAATCCATAAATGAACCTGTCCTTGTCCATATTCGCCAACGCCAAAAGGTTGTGTAGGCATTATACCCATACCAGGGAAGGGACGCTGGTGATGCTGACCCCTTCCAGCCACTGGAATACTTGCTCCAGCCACACCATACAAATAAGATCCAGAACCACTAGGTCCCATAGCGGAAGCCGAGCTTTCAACTCTCATCTGACTACTTTCATTATCTTGTCCTAAATTTTGCCAATCCATTGTGGATATTTGTGGCACGTAGTTGTCGTAGTCGTCGTCCATAACTTATTGATTTTAGGATATCGATTTAAATATTTACTGGCAAATAAGGGATAATTTAAATTTTTAAAATAGAAAATTCAACATTTTATGCTTAAATATTATAAGGAGAAAGCTTTAAAAATCTTAAGGAAAAAAGCGCTTATGACGTTTGTTTGACGGTATGCTGGGTGGTGGTGGCAATCGATTTAGGTAGGATGTTGTCAAGGCGGCGGTATGAAGAGGCAAAAATTTAAACTAGTATTTGATTCGAATTTAAAATTATTTATGCCGAGTTCAATTTATAAAAATATAAAGGTTGTTCAGAAAAGCAGAGTTATGGAAATAAACACGCTAGTTTGTAAAAATTGAGAAGAATTTTATAATTAAGATTTCGATAATAAAGTAAAAAACAAACACTGTATTATGGCAAAACAAAAGATTTTTGAATTTTAAATTATAACCGTATAAGCAAACAGTTTTTTGAATATTGTTAGAATTTTATCATGTCCGCAATTTTTGTCAAACTATCACACCAAACAGTTATTTCACCTATTTTTCCTCTTACATTTACTATTCTGATTCAACAACAATGTTTGTACGTGTATTTTCTACCTTAAGATCAACATTGTGTAAATCAACACTGTCAAAAGCCACCTCCCCCAATGCGTGTAATCTTTTGTTCCAATCAATTTTTAGTTGTCAGTTCGTGTCTTAAACTGTAAATTATGGCGAGGAATGCGAGCGTTTTGTTATGGGGAAAAAGTTCTGCCAACGTATTTCTATAAATATTTGGAGGTCGTCACAAATTAAACATTCACAATCTTCACCGCAATCAAATAGTGCGCACACCAGTATTTCGTTATAGATTTGATTTGTTAGTCATCCTTTCATCTATTAAATAGTTTTTCTTGATGCCATTGTTATAAATTTATTGTTCTAAGATCCTTAATAAATTTCAGCTTTCGAAAGAAAACGATACATCTCATTTATCAACTACAGTATTCTCTTTAGGTTTAATATAATTTTATCCAAATTTTGTATAATTCGATTAAACAGGCAGCTTAGTAAAAATGTAAGTTTTAGAAATAAAACATTGGGGAAGTTTAAATGTTCAGAAAATTCGACAAATGAATTCAGGTGATAATCAAAAGGAACAAAATTTTGAGCCAAAAAATGCGTCCGTGAAATCCGAGCATAATATCCTACCAAATTTTGAGCCAAAAAATGCGTCCGTGAAATCCGAGCATAATATCCTACCAAATGAAACGCGAATAGGCCTTAATCCAATTTTAAGGGAAAGAAGTGATGTTAACAGACCCGCAGGTAGAGGTCTTCCACGTAGATCATTTACCGACGATTTTTTTAATGATCCGTTTGACAACTTTAATCCGATATCTCATCCACGTGGATTTCAAAGACGCTTCACGGAAAGGGGTCTGACTTGTTTCATATATTATTCTAGCCACCTTAAAAAACTACAGGCCTTTTCGACGATGATGTTGACACTTTCTTTGACAGATTTTCCGGGGAAAGGGAACATCAAATTCCATTTCGCGATGAGCCAAGTCTCTTCCGTTCTTCAATGCCTAGAAGACATTACAAACCACAAACAGATTTCCATGGTAAAAATGAACACAACAGCAGTGTTGAACGTCCAATCCCTATACAGCTTAAAAAAGCAACATCATCGCAGCCTAAATGTTCATCCCCAATTTTAAAAGAAGATGTTTGTTTGAAAAACTCTTAATTAAAATTTTTAAAATAACAGGATGAAATACTCGAGAACGTTCATCGAATTCCTATTCGACAAATGAATTCAGGTGATAATCAAAAGGAACAAAATTTTGAGCCAAAAAATGCGTCCGTGAAATCCGAGCATAATATCTTGCCAAATGAAACGCGAATAGGCCTTAATCCAGCAGATAAAAGGCGACGGTTCTCTAATTGTCAACAACAAAATGGTAGTTTTAATTTTTTCCAAAAATTTCATAATTAATTTTTGAGAACACAATTATGCTAACAGCAAAAGCCAATTTAAATCCGTTCCGGATATTGTAATTGATGATTACAGTGATAGAAGTGAACTGACGAAACCTGTTGCAATTCCATTACCTGCACCAGCCATTCCATTGCCAGCCCCTCAGCATAATAACGCTAAATTGGAAAATGAAAAAGATCCAGATCCGGAGAATTTAAAACGGTCCGAAGTAAATGTGTCAGAGAATGAATTTACTACGGTAGGACAATATAATGCTGATTGTAAAGATGGAGAAGCTGAGACGTCTAATATTCACATTGTTCCCTTAGCTGATAGTGGCGAAGACTTAATTCAATTACTGGATGATACTGAACGAAAAGTGGAAAAACTTAGGTATGCAAATATAAAGGATTATGCTAACAGGAACATTCTTCTATTGTAGAGAGAATGCTACATCCTTGGAGCAGGAAAAGGAAGCGATTTTAGACATGCTCAAAAATATTAAACTGACGAGTTCTCTTCTAAAATTGAACCATGGTTTATTTTTAGAGTAGGAAGTTAGATTTAAAAATTATATCAGGTGACCGAGATGAACTAGCATTGAATGCTGACAGGATTATAAATCGTTGCCGCTCCGTTGAAGTTTGTGTTAATACTCCTCGAGATGAGCATCAGGATCGAGCACTTAAGCTCGTTAACGAAGTAATAAGACTATTTTAAACTTGAAAAACTTTCTAATCTAAGGTCATCTACATAGCATTAAACAAAACAGATGACAAACTAAAAACACAGGCTGAAATTCAGGGATTTTTAAATGCTTGTATGCCTGAAGAAAGTGGCCATATTGGTAAATAACAAATTATAATAACAATTTGCTATTTCTCTTTATAGATGATAAATTTCAATCTCTTATTATTGCCTGTACTGCAGATGACCAAAAGGTACAAACTTTTAATAGGATTAATAAAAAAATAAGATCTCCAGAAAAATTACGGAAATTCCCTCAATAATTTTTAACAGCAACAAACTTAATTATGATCCTAAAGAAAAAACATTCAAGAATCGAACTTATAAATTTAACCTTAAGAAAATCCGACGACGACTTGTAAAAATCATGGAAGAATTTGAACAGACTCAGCGACTCCCTCAAACAGATTTAAGCAAATAATATGAGAGTTTAAGGTCTAAAACCCCCATAATCATTCTAACGATAAGCATATTTTTAAACATCCTATAACTCAACCATCGTTAATTATAACTTAAAACATGTTATTAACATTGTACTACTTAAAAGTAAACTAATAAATTTTTAAATACTTTTTTATAATTTTAAAATACGAGGTAAATAATCAAAAAATAAAGCAATCAAAAATTGAGATTACCTCTTTTGAAATAATAAAACATAAATTAAAGCATTGCGCATTTCCTCATCAGAAATAAAATTAAAATCGCGTAAAACAGCACAATGGTGCACAAAGTTGGAGAATAATCCATAAGTTTTTAAACGTTCACCAAATTCAAAAATAAAGCGCTTCTGTAAAATAAAAGGATTTTCGGATTAAAAGTTAGGAAAAAAAATTTACCATCAACACAGGCATTTGATATTGAGCAAGTTCCTTATTAATCGGTTTTCCAATAAATTCATTCCAGTAAACAAAAAAACGCTTTTCTTTGGGTAAGAGATCAGTAATCTGGTTGAAGCGCTATATAAAAAAATTTTTTCCATAAAAAATAATAAAATTATAATTGCCTGTTTATAACTATCCCGAATCCATCCTCTATCACAGTCAACGCTACAAAGACCCACAGACGAGAACTCAACATATTTAGATCCGTTAAAAGGTAAAACACCTTTGAAACTTGAATAAATTTTTTTAAAACTATTTCAGAAATTATTAAGTTTACTTTATTCCACTATTAACTGGCATAGACACAGTTATATTGTCCTTTATAGAATTAACAGAAGATACAATTGTACGTTTATCATCTACATCCAAATTAGATAATTCTAGAAATGATGAACGCATAAAACGAGCCTTACTTCTGAATTAATTAAGATTAAAAAATATTTATAAAAGTTCACACCTGAAGACCTATTGATCCTAAAGCCCTACAACTTTAAAAGAAATACATATCGAGTGAGTAAGAGGGTAAATACCCAGCTTGTTTTCTTGGAACAGATGGTTGGGTATTGTTGAACCATAACTTTAGGTAAGTATAGATCCCCCCTTATAATCACACAAAATCCATTAATACCCCTTTAATCCCTCCTAATCCTCAATATTCCCTCTCAAAAGTTGTAGGTCTTCAGGGCCTACCCCATTTTAAAACTTTAATTTAAACCTGAAAATTAAAATTTGTCTATTTGCTCCATTTTTTCCAAGCTCATTTGTTTCATTAGAAGTAGAAAATCTTATAATAAATGAAGGATCCTGAACACGTTTCTCTGAATTTTTATTACTTGAACAGTCATTCGCATCGTTTTTGGCATCAACATAAAATTTGAAAGTTAATGAGGGATAATTAGTCACCTGAAATATTATCAAATAACCGAGAAAAAAATTAGATTTACTAAATGAAATGCTAAATGCCAGATATGATTGAAACGACGAGAGCAAATTAAGCATTTGACTGGGGCCTTCCAAGTTTGAGGTAATTGCCTGAGATCAGCTAAGGAAAGTGCAGAATTTTGAATTACACTAGGATTTGAACCGGATATAAAGTAACTGAAATTGAAGAGGTAAAATTAAAAGTTACTTATTGTTAGACACAAGAATTTTGTTCAATAAAGGACTGTTAGATCAGGAGATTCCCAGAAAAATTGTGAAGTTTTCAAAGAGAAAATCTGTATAAGGCGAAGATAGACCAAAGAAACAAACAACATACCGAACTGGCTTATTTGTTTTGTTGTTCAATTTGGTAGAAGATAAAGGACTGCGATTTCTAGCATTCACAGTTGACTCAATATTGACGCTTAATTGTGCATTAATTGTTTTCGTCGCAAGTCCAGGAATTAATTTTCTGTCAGAAATTGATCCATAACCATGTTCATTGGAGACTTCCATCGGAAAAAATATTTTAATAAAATCTCGTAGTAAATTTTAAAAAAATACCTGCAGTATTGAACAAGAATCTCTAGAAGCTCTCTGAAAAATGTTATATTTTTCATTAAGAAAAATTTTAATGAAAACCTTTGAAGATTCAATATTAATATCCTCAATCATTTGATAGCTCAAATTTTTTAAATCAGCAAGTCCACTCATGTCATTTTTATTTATAATAGAGGTACTTAATTAAAATAGGTAATTATAATAAATAAATTCAAAAAATTACTTTAGATATATTCCTTTTGAACTAAAGATTGGTGTAAAAAGTCTGCTGAATTGGTTCGAATTCCCAGCTTCATTTTTATTCAAAGTTTGTTTGTTTATCCATTTCCCAATAAGTCTAGTTCCACGAAGTCTAATTTTAGAATTAATAAGAGTTGGAAGATATGAGGAAGTTTTTGTTTCATCTTTGGGGGAATTAACTAAAATATAGAAACTAATATCAATGCTTACATTAGAAGGACGTATCCAGGGGGCTGAGGAACGCCAAGGTAAACTCCAAAATGTTTGGCGCATACCCCATGTTAGCCCTCCCCGAAATCGACCCCCTGGCTATGCCCTTGATGCTTACATTAATTTTTTTAATATAAAAAATAAAAATTTTGTACCAAACTTTGTTCCAGAATAGCTACTTCGCAACATTCTAATTCTCCTTTGTTGATGTTTTCCGGAATCAGAATTAATTGAAAGATCCATATTCTCATTATTTTCATCATTGGCCACGTTGATAGTACCAGAATTATTCATCCCGTTAAAATCATCTTCCTCCATTCGCTGTCGTTTAGCTCCAATAAAGTCAATTTTTGTTTGATCCACTTTAAATACACACTCGTTAGCATTTGGTTGAATATCCAATTGTGTAAATTGATGTAATGTATTGTCGCTTCTTTGACTTTTTAGATCTCGCATTCTTCTCTTCCTTCGTTTTACTCCAATTGGAAAACACGTAAGAGCCTTTGGGCAATTATTTTCTATAATTTGTTGAAAATAATTAAGAACCTAAGCATACCATTAATTACGCAGCCATCCACAACCAAAAGAAGTTGATCACAACTATAATTAAAAATATTTATTGTTATCGAGAAATTAAAATAAAACCAATTTCCAAGTTCAGGAACCCAAATTTCCAATACTTTATTCTGCCGCTTCTTATCATTTACAAGACTAACGAACGTGAGGAGGTGCTCCTATAAAATTTTTTTAGAAAAGTAGAAAAATTTAAATATAGGTAGTTTTTTATACCCAAAAATGCAAACTTCTTTGATCAGAATTGACTCCACAAAGAAAAACGTCAAATTTTGCAGAACAATTACCAACCGAAATGGGTGATATTGTATTAAAAAACTAAAAATAAGTTAATAGAAAAGTACAAATTTTATAAATCAAACCTCAAGGGTAAGAGAATCGCTTGTAAAATGAGTACGTAAAACATGTTTGTCAGAACAAGTTGAAGTTACAACGTACGGGATTTGATTGTTTATAAAATTTAACGAACGCAGATGTTTCAACCTAATAACTGCTTGCTCCAATGGTGGTAATTTAACCTGACAATAAGATCTTCTGCGTTTAGACTTTGGTGGTTTGGTAGAAACATTTTTTTCAAAAAGAGATGAAGTACTTCTGGCAAAAAAATTTTTTAACTCTTTTTTAAATCAATAAACCTGGTAATCGTTTGAGCAACTTTCCGCAAAAATCCAGTTCTGTTATGCCGATAAAACTTTACAACATCGCGAGCATCCCCTAAAGATAATTCTTTACGGTTGGAGAATACTCTAAACAAAACCTGATACAAACGAAGGTGGATTCTCTACATTTTTGTCTTGCTTTTTAACTATTTGTTGCCCGCACGTAGGACATTTTTTTATTTTCATTAAACAAAATTTAAAAACTTTAAAGTTATTATTTATTATAAAATAATAAAATAATATAAACGTTAAGACACAAATTTTACAAAAAATTATTGAAAGATAAACTTTATTAACAGCAGAAAACTTATACAATGCAAAACTTCAAATATACTTGTACATGTTGCATATAATTAGTATATATTCACGATAATTCATGAAAATTTGTACAAATTCAAAGATACCAACTAGAAAATAGGGTAAAATCGGACTTAAAAAGGGGTAAAATTGAACTTCGTTCCCACATTTTCTTTCCTCAAAATGTTAAAAATAGTTACACTATAATGTGGTGCCAATTCTGCTTTTTAGAACCAATGAACCAGTACTGTGTGTGTTCCATAATTCTGGTCGAACAGAGTTTTCCCCAGAAAAAATTTTTTGGAATGGAGCGACCTACATATTGGGAATATGTAGTAGTAGGAACACACCGCAACAAAGGCATTAATTCTAAAAAGCAACCCACATATGTATTAAGTCCGACCATGTTTTTAAGGAAGGAAAAGCTCGAGGAGAAAACAAATTTAGATTTTACCTAATAAGTCTTGTAGAATCTTAGAGGAATTTTCAAAATCTGGGATCAATGAATTTTATACATTTATGTATTTAGAAAATAAAAATTGAATAAGCTTTTCCAGTTAAATATTTAATAAAAACCTTAAAAGTAAAAATATATCCAAATTCCTTGCCATAGCACATATTCAATTTTCCAATTTCGAGCTTATTTGTTTTGCTTATCAAAAACACCGCTTCGAATATTTTGTGGAGGCCCAGCCTCATAACGACGCGGCTGCTGATTGTTATAATAACCAACACGTCGGAGATGTGGTGCTGCCCCACCACGTGAATTTCGTCGATGAAAATTATGCATTCGAACTGCAGCAGGACCAAATGTCACTTCATTTGTCATTCGCTAAAATGGGTTAGTATTTATTTTATAATTTCAATTTTTATATTTTATAAGGGAAAAGGAAAACAAAAAAATTTATAAATTAAAACAAAAAAACCTCTTTCTTCCAGTCGACCCTATTGTCTTTCCTGAAAAAATTAAAAAGTTAAAATACAATAAAACATATTTTAATCAAACCCAGCTTCTCGTTCCGTAGCTTCACAGGAAATGTTATCAAAAAATGAACGACTCTTGTCATAGTAAATGTTGTTTTTTGTAGATTTTTCAAGAATTGCAACTGCTTTATCGTTTGCTCCACCATCGATTTCTTGGGTTAACGATTTATCTAGAAAAAGATTGAATAAGAATTATAATGCAAAACCTTTTGGAGGCGATTGAAAATCTTCATCTAGATCAAGTTCAGCAATATTCTCGATAACTCCATCAACAGATTCAAGGAAATCTTCATTTGCTTTTTCAAAATCAAAATCGCCGTCGTATTTTCTTGTGTTACGCCCCTGGTTGTAATAATACTGAGGATGATGTGGCCGATGATCACCACCATAATGACGCTGTTGCTGAGTTACGTGGTGATCTAAAAATTGGAATAGAGCTAGATGTCAATTTCTATTAAACCTTGCGCCTGGAAGACACGAGGCATTGGCGGTGCTTGTCTCACATTAACATATTTATAAGGTTGACGTTGTCCTTGAATAGTTCCTTGATGGTAATATTGATGTCGAGCAGACTGGCCAAATTTCCCAGATAATTGATTTTCATTTGTGGAAGTATCTCTTTGTTGTTGACGTGATTCTATTTGTGCCCCATATTTTTGTGTTTGTGGGCTTGATGCCTCAGAATCTTTTAAATTAATAAAATCAGGAAGGACGAATCATAAAATTAACCTTGAGTGCCTTTACGCTCCTCTGTGGACACATTAGCTGGCGGCTTTGAAACGGAGATAATCGCTATAAATGATAAAAATCCAATGGAAATCGTAAAATCAAAAACAAACCTGGATCATAAGTAATATCATCAATATCAGGCGTAGGCTTTGGCGTATCGCAAACTAAGAAAGAAGGAAAACTGATATAATTAAAAAAATACCTATTAGATCCTTTATATCACTGGCTTTGAATATAATATAATCGTAAACTTCTTTTCGAGCAGGGACAGTGACATTGGCCAATCTGTCTTCCGTACCAAACGAACGAACTGAAAATCAAAATTACTTTTAACAATGTTCACAAATTAACCTCTCGATAGTGAAATTGTAGACTCCACAGGATCAACTAAAATATTAAAAAATAAAAAAAATTTATTGATTTATGTACAAAAAACCTTTATGCAAAAAACCTTCATATCGAATGTCCAATTGCGAAATCAACGAAATTTTGCTTCCAATGTAAGGAGTAGTCATTTTAATTGATCTAATATAGCTATAAAGTGATTAAAATTTATCCTAGATTCAAAATTAAAAAACTAAATAATAAAGCTAAGTAAATTCTTCAGAAAAATCATAAATAAAAGGTAAAATAATCAATAAAAAAAAATATGATTCCCTGTGATAGATAATCAATAAAAAAAATATGATTAATCAATAAAAAAAAATCAATGATTAATCAATAAAAAAATAATCAATAAAAAAAAAATATGATTTCCCTGTGATAGAAACCCTACTACTATTTGCTACATTCATATTTATCGATTTTAAGAAGGCCCTGAAACACCAAGGACTCTAATGTCGTTTTGAAACTCTGTCCTTTTTCAAGTAAATGGATTATAACAAGTAGAGATAGAAAACGAATGAGATAGTGTGCTAAAAAAAGATAATTCTTTAAAGCTAGAGAAAAATATTAGTCCAAAAGAATTGGCCGGTTCAGTGCAGAATTCATAAAGCACGATAACTACGGTAACTGAAACTTTTTAAGAAATTTTTGAAAGTAAAACGTTTTAATAAGGTCGGAAATTCGATAAATAATCAATAAAATCGATTATTCCTTACTCAATACATTTTCTAAATACCAACTGACTTAAAATGAGAAAGATCGAGATTGGCCAAAATACCAAAGAATAAGTAAATTTTTTAGAAAAATGATAAAAAAAAAGCCAAAAAATCAATACAATCGATACTCCATGTTATCAAAAATAGTACTATTTGGTACATTCCAAAAAAATAAGCTGCAGGGATCGAGCTTATGAAGGCCCGAAACACACCAGGACTCTACTGTCGTTTTATGAAACTATGTCCTATTTTAAGTAAGATGGGATGTTACAAGTAGATATGGAAAATATGTGAGATAGTTTGTTAAAAAGAGATAATTCTTTAAAGTTAGAGAAAAATAAAAATACAAATGATTTAGTCGGTTGAGTGCAGAATTCTTAGAGCACGATAACTACGGTAACTGAACTAGTTTAAAAAATTTTTGAAAGTAAAACGTTTTAATAAGAAGGAAAACTCGATAAATAATCAATAAAATCGATTATTCCTTACTCAATAACTTTGCTAAATTCCAACTCACTTAAAATAAGACGGAATCTAGGTTGGCCAAAATACTAGAGACTAAGTAATTTTTTAGAAAAATGAAAAACTAAAGGCCAAAATAATCAATACAATCGATACTCCCTGTGATCGAAATCTTACTACTATTTGCAACATTCCAATTTACTTGAAACAGGCTGTAGGGATCGAATTTACGAAGGTCCCGATTAAACACACCAGGACTCTAGTGTCGTTTTATGAAACTCGGTCCTTTTTCAAGTAAATGGATTATAATAAGTAGAGATGGAAAATGTTTGAGATAGTGTGCTAAAAAAAGAGATAATTCCGTGCCCGCTCAAAACATCAAACGCTTAAAATATCTAGACGACTAAAAACGCTAAAAATATCTAGACGGGTAAAAACGCTCAAAACATCTAGACGACTAAAAAGGCTCAAAATATATTCGCTCAAAACATCAAACGCTCAAAATATCAAAATATATTTTTCATTTAAAGGGGACAGTTGAGTCCGCGGAAAAAAATTTTGCCGCTGCGGAGGAAGCCGGGCATGTCGAGCGGAACGACGGCCGCCGCTTCGCTACGGTCGCCGCGAGCGAAGCGAGCACGACCGTCGTGTAGCGAAGACCGTCGTGTAGCGAAGCCATCGTGTAGCGAAGACCATGCCCGGCCTACCCTCCGTAGCAGCACAAAAACAGTTTTTCCAGCGAAGATTCAGTTGGTCATAACTTTGTTCACAATCATCCAATCGAGCTGATTTTGGTGTCATTCAACTCAGCTCGTCGAGCCCTTTCTCAACACGTCGAGTTCATGCAAAATTGGTCCTGAGATACTACATTATTCACCCCTGATACAAGGAAGAAATATTGGACTCAACTGTCCCTTTTAATCAAAAAATATTTTGATATTTTGAGCCTTTTTAGCCGTCTAGATATTTTGAGCGTTTGATGTTTTGAGCGAATATATTTTGAGCCTTTTTAGTCGTCTAGATGTTTTGAGCGTTTGCTGTTTTAAAAAAATATGTTTTGTAGGGTAGCCGATAATTCACTAAGGTTAGAGAAAAATATTAATACAAAGATTTGGTCGGTTCAGTGCATAATTCTTAGAGCACGATTACTACGGTAACCGAACCTTTTTTTGGAATTTTTGAAAATAAAACATTTTAAAAAGGTCGAAATTCGATAAATAATCAATAAAATCGATTATTTCTTACTCAATACATTTTCTAAATTCCAACTTACTTAAAATGAGAAATAGTCTAGGTTGGTAAAAATACTAATGAATAATTTTTTACATGCTGTAGTGATCGAATTTACAAAACCAAAATTGATTAAAAGATAGATAACCAAAATTGATTAAAAGTAATTCCAATAAAATATAGATACTAGATAAGGCCAAAATCGATTAAAAGATAGATGCACCAAAATATAGATGCACTAAAAGATAGATAAGGCCAAAATTGATTAAAAAATAGATGCACCAAAATATAGATGTGTACTAAAAGATATATAAGGCCAAAATTGATTAAAAGATAGATGCACCAAAATATAGATGTGTACTAAATGATATATAAGGCAAAATTGATTAAAAGATAGATGCACCAAAATATAGATGTACTAAAAGATATATAAGGCCAAAATTGATTAAAAGATAGATGCACCAAAATATAGATGTGTACTAAAAGATATATAAGGCCAAAATTGATTAAAAGATAGATGCACCAAAATATAGATGCACTAAAAGATAGATAAGGCAAAAATTGATTAAAAGATAGATGCACCAAATATAGATGTACTAAAAGATAGATAAGGCCAAAATTGATTAAAACATAGATGCACCAAATATAGATGTACTAAAAGATAGATAACCAAAATTGACTAAAGATAGATGCACCAAAATATAGATGTACTAAAAGATAGATGACCAAAATTGATTAAAAGATAGATGCACCAAAATATAGATGTACTAAAAGATAGATGACCAAAATTGACTAAAAAATAGATGCACCAAAATATAGATGTGTACTAAAAGATATATAAGGCCAAAATTGATTAAAAGATAGATGCACCAAAATATAGATGTGTACTAAATGATATATAAGGCAAAATTGATTAAAAGATAGATGCACCAAAATATAGATGTGTACTAAAAGATATATAAGGCCAAAATTGATTAAAAGATAGATGCACCAAAATATAGATGTACTAAAAGATAGATGACCAAAATTGACTAAAAAATAGATGCACCAAAATATAGATGTGTACTAAAAGATATATAAGGCCAAAATTGATTAAAAGATAGATGCACCAAAATATAGATGTGTACTAAATGATATATAAGGCAAAATTGATTAAAAGATAGATGCACCAAAATATAGATGTGTACTAAAAGATATATAAGGCCAAAATTGATTAAAAGATAGATGCACCAAAATATAGATGCACTAAAAGATAGATAAGGCCAAAATTGATTAAAAGATAGATGCACCAAAATATAGATGTACTAAAAGATAGATGACCAAAATTGACTAAAAAATAGATGCACCAAAATATAGATGTGTACTAAAAGATATATAAGGCCAAAATTGATTAAAAGATAGATGCACCAAAATATAGATGTGTACTAAATGATATATAAGGCAAAATTGATTAAAAGATAGATGCACCAAAATATAGATGTGTACTAAAAGATATATAAGGCCAAAATTGATTAAAAGATAGATGCACCAAAATATAGATGTACTAAAAGATAGATGACCAAAATTGATTAAAAGATAGATGCACCAAAATATAGATGTGTACTAAAAGATATATAAGGCCAAAATTGATTAAAAGATAGATGCACCAAAATATAGATGCACTAAAAGATAGATAAGGCCAAAATTGATTAAAAGATAGATGCACCAAATATAGATGTACTAAAAGATAGATAAGGCCAAAATTGATTAAAACATAGATGCACCAAATATAGATGTACTAAAAGATAGATAACCAAAATTGACTAAAGATAGATGCACCAAAATATAGATGTACTAAAAGATAGATGACCAAAATTGATTAAAAGATATATTCACCAAAATATAGATGTACTAAAAGATAGATGACCAAAATTGACTAAAAAATAGATGCACCAAAATATAGATGTGTACTAAAAGATATATAAGGCCAAAATTGATTAAAAGATAGATGCACCAAAATATAGATGTGTACTAAATGATATATAAGGCAAAATTGATTAAAAGATAGATGCACCAAAATATAGATGTACTAAAAGATAGATGACCAAAATTGACTAAAAAATAGATGCACCAAAATATAGATGTGTACTAAAAGATATATAAGGCCAAAATTGATTAAAAGATAGATGCACCAAAATATAGATGTGTACTAAATGATATATAAGGCAAAATTGATTAAAAGATAGATGCACCAAAATATAGATGTGTACTAAAAGATATATAAGGCCAAAATTGATTAAAAGATAGATGCACCAAAATATAGATGTACTAAAAGATAGATGACCAAAATTGACTAAAAAATAGATGCACCAAAATATAGATGTGTACTAAAAGATATATAAGGCCAAAATTGATTAAAAGATAGATGCACCAAAATATAGATGTGTACTAAATGATATATAAGGCAAAATTGATTAAAAGATAGATGCACCAAAATATAGATGTGTACTAAAAGATATATAAGGCCAAAATTGATTAAAAGATAGATGCACCAAAATATAGATGCACTAAAAGATAGATAAGGCCAAAATTGATTAAAAGATAGATGCACCAAAATATAGATGTACTAAAAGATAGATGACCAAAATTGACTAAAAAATAGATGCACCAAAATATAGATGTGTACTAAAAGATATATAAGGCCAAAATTGATTAAAAGATAGATGCACCAAAATATAGATGTGTACTAAATGATATATAAGGCAAAATTGATTAAAAGATAGATGCACCAAAATATAGATGTGTACTAAAAGATATATAAGGCCAAAATTGATTAAAAGATAGATGCACCAAAATATAGATGTACTAAAAGATAGATGACCAAAATTGATTAAAAGATAGATGCACCAAAATATAGATGTGTACTAAAAGATATATAAGGCCAAAATTGATTAAAAGATAGATGCACCAAAATATAGATGCACTAAAAGATAGATAAGGCCAAAATTGATTAAAAGATAGATGCACCAAAATATAGATGCACTAAAAGATAGATAAGGCCAAAATTGATTAAAAGATAGATGCACCAAATATAGATGTACTAAAAGATAGATAAGGCCAAAATTGATTAAAACATAGATGCACCAAATATAGATGTACTAAAAGATAGATAACCAAAATTGACTAAAGATAGATGCACCAAAATATAGATGTACTAAAAGATAGATGACCAAAATTGATTAAAAGATAGATTCACCAAAATATAGATGTACTAAAAGATAGATGACCAAAATTGACTAAAAAATAGATGCACCAAAATATAGATGTGTACTAAAAGATATATAAGGCCAAAATTGATTAAAAGATAGATGCACCAAAATATAGATGTGTACTAAATGATATATAAGGCAAAATTGATTAAAAGATAGATGCACCAAAATATAGATGTGTACTAAAAGATATATAAGGCCAAAATTGATTAAAAGATAGATGCACCAAAATATAGATGCACTAAAAGATAGATAAGGCCAAAATTGATTAAAAGATAGATGCACCAAATATAGATGTACTAAAAGATAGATAACCAAAATTGACTAAAGATAGATGCACCAAAATATAGATGTACTAAAAGATAGATGACCAAAATTGATTAAAAGATAGATGCACTAAAAGATAGACTGGGGTAAAATCGATAAAAATATAGACTGCGAAATGGCCGGTCGAGACTGGACAAAAAATTTAACCATCTGAATCTCTCGTTGGAAACTGTTTTTGTGCTGCTACGGAGGGTAGGCCGGGCTTCCTTCGCTACACGATGCCTTGCTTCCTCCGCAGCGGCAGAAACTTTTTTCCGCAAGAATACTAAAAAGTTAGATATTTTTCTAAAGTTGGAGAAAAATATTCATATAATAGATTTGGTCGGTTGAATGCAAATATTGAACTTTTGAATAAAAATATAATCGGTAAAAATTTAACATTTCTCAATAAATTATGTACAAACTAGTAAACACATATCTAAAAATATTTTGATCATAAAAAAGTCAATAATGGTATTAATATCATCTGTACATAAAGATCAGTGTTTGTTCTTGTCTTTTTCCTCGAACACCGGATTTCTAAAAGTATTGTTTGAATTAAAATATAAAGCTACAAAAAATACATTTTGCCCGTATCAACATTTTCGAATTTCGTTCTTCTGCTGCTGTTATCATCGTCAAATGAATCTAATGTTTCAGCATGTTCGTAGACAGGATTTGTAAATGTTGTGGTCATTATATCAGACATTTCTCTACTTTGCGGTAATTTTAAGGGTGATGAATGTAGCTCCTCAACGAGTGACTAAAAAATTTTTTCAATTATTATTCGAATCAACAGAAGCCTTTAAAGTTAGTGAAATCTCTTAAAGGTTGACATGAAGTTTGAAATCTTACATTGTCACGCTGTTGTTGTTGAATTTGCCTATCTGCATCAAGTACAGGATTTGAGAAGGAAATTACATTGCCATGAAATGTAACTACCGAGGCACCGCCAATTGATGACCCTTCACCAGAAGCCAAACGCTTCTTGTTGAGTACACTTTTGCGTTTATAAATTAGAATTGAGAGAACAGTCATTACCTTATAATTTGAAGATTAAATAGATTATAATTTAAAATTTTACCGCCAAGCATACTAACATAGCGAACATTAAAAGTAACGCGTAATATGCACCATTTCCTGGAATTGAAAATTTTTTAAAATTAGGGAACAATTTGGGATAGTTTCCAGGTTTCTGCTAAAGTAATCCCAAATATCCCAAAAAATCTATAAAATTCATACCAAATCTGCCGATCAACTGCCTACTAACCGAAGATGGTTTTTGACAAAATTCCCCTTCAAAATCACCACAATCACACGTTCCGTCCAATAGGCAATGACCACCATTCTGGCAAGAACATTGCTTTGGAATCTATAAAGAGATACAATTTTACTAGCTACATTCGTATTACAAACCGGCAGTTCTTCTATTCGAGCAGATCCACAAGTACCGTCCTAAAATTGATTTATTAATAAGCTCCAAACTAATTAAAAGTTTTAAACCTCAAATTGAGTAACTCCATCAGGACAAAGACATCTAAAGCCATCTGAAGGGAGTTCAACACAAAGATGTGAACATTGTACTTTTGCACAGGCACTATCTGCTCGAAGCATATCTCTAGCGAATCTAAAAAAAGAAAGTCGGCCATTTTTAAAGGTCAAAGTTTAATCTGACCTTTGTTGTATCCTTAATGAGTGAACATCGTCTATGGCACTAGCAACAAGTTGGAGTCGACTTCTTCCAAATTTGTCTTGAATATACAAATTCTGCGAATCTTTGGATACTTGAAAATTAAAATTAAAAGATTTCAAGTTTTCTGAATCAAACCAGAAGTCCCTGTATTTATCGGCTTTCCAGATGTCCAAAAGAGATGATTTTCAAAAACATCAATAGCCCATGGAGTCCTTGTATCTCGAGCAACTGAAATAAATAAAGAATTTATTTACTAAATATAATTTATATTATAAAGTCACTCACTTGTTAGCCTACGTGAACCATCTGGAAGGCAAGAGTCAACCTTGGAAAATTAAAGTGAATTAAATAGGGAACGGACAGCATACCTTGTGGTATTTGGGATCGCTCCAATAAATTCGGTTGTCACCTTAAATAGATCAAGAATTATTAAAATATTCAATTTTTACTTACGTCCTTCATCAACAGCCATAGTTGTTGGTGAATAAATGAGATCACTAATGATTGTCTAAATTTGATAAATCATAAGACAAACCAGAAACACAATTAACCTGTCTTTTATTTCCATCCATATCAGCACATTGAATCTTTGCCTCAAACCCTGCATCTGCAAAGCAAATTCGTCCCAATTTTGGCAAAGTAACAATTGCTGTTGGTATTTGCAAACGTCCAGCAACGATCTAATTATTTAAAAAATATTTATAAACTAGAAAAAAAAACCGTTCGTCTATATCTGCCATCCGATGTTGTAACATAAATTACTCCATTTCCATCTGATGATGGTTGAGGGATAGGTTCACTAAAACGTTTCTTTCGTCGACCAGCTGCCGTTGCAAGTGCTGATTTCTCGTTCAATTTAAGATCGCTAACAGTGGCAGTTATGTATAAATTTCTGAGGGAATTAAGTTATCTTTTAAATAAAGAAAATTAAAAACCCTGTCAAGTAATCCACAGCCATACTCAGAGGTGAAATGTTTTCCCCAAAGTTGACCAACAATTCTTGACCCTCATGCTAGAAGTTGAAAGATTTTAAATATCCTTTTGTTTGAATTAATACCGATTGATTGCCTTTAGGAAGAGCTGAACGGAACAATTTCTAAAAAATATTTTTTAGATTTATTAAATAATTTAAATGTTAAAATACATACTCGTTGATATGTATCCAACCAGAACATCTTAAATTGAAAATATGAGAAGTTTTTAGATGAATGACGGGATACGCATAAAAACTCAATAGAACTTACAAATTCCCGTCTAGGATCAAACTCAACGGCACCAATACTTCTCTGTTGATTTGATGGAGATTTACGAGTGGCTGCGTTAACACGTCCACGAGAACCGACCAGGCTTAACTGAAAAATTTTAAGAAATAGAAAAATAAGGAAATTTTTAAAGAACCTGAAGAACTTTGTCATCTGAAGCGATCATAATAAGTGGGTGCTGGAAATTTAAAAGGAATTTTAAAAAATATTTCTTTAAATTTGTATACTTCTCCATTAGCACGACAATCCTTTCCATTCATAGCGCCTATAACAACACCAGAAGTGTAATCATCGACACATTTACACAAATATGAACCCTTTAAATTTAAAATTAACCTTGTCAAAAAAGTTTAAAATAAACCTTTGTATTCAAACACATTTGAGAACAAGTATTGTTTCCTTTGCATTCATCAATATCAATACAATCAGAAGGATTTCCAGGATCTTAAAAATTTTTTGAAATAAAAATTGAGTCTCTATTATGTAAAAAACCTGTAGTAAAACCATCTCGACAATGGCAATAATATCCATCTAAATTTAAATAAAAGCTTTAAAGCTTTTGAAAAATCCAAGCATACCTTGAACATCTGTACAAAGATGTCGACATCCACCATTATCAGAATGTGAGTGGCAACTTTTCCCGTTTTGTTTAATACAGCCAATCTCATCAGTAGCATCACCACAATCTTTAAAATATTTCATTTTTATCAAAATTTAATTAAAAATTTTTCAATTTCTTTACCATCCTTCCTGTCACACGCCAACGTTGCATTAATACATTTGCCATTGGTGCATTTGAATTCATCGGTCGAACAATCTCCATATTCAGAGAAGGAAGAACACATGGCTATTAGATTAAAAAAGGATTAGAATTCTAAATCCGAAATAAGCTTACAAAGATGTTCGTCTGAGTAATCATGTTCTCCACAATCATTAAAACTAAAACGGAAATGAAATCAAGATAAAGATTAAATTCAAAAATTAATTAATAAAATAATAACCCATTGCAGAGTTGAAGAATGTTCAAGCAAAGCTTTGAATGAGAACAGCGAAAACGTAGAGGTGGATCACATTGCGCAACTTTACATTGTTCGTTGGTTTCATCCGAATTATCACCACAATCTTGTGAAAAATTTTTTAAAATTCAAAAAATTCCTCAAAATATTTACCGTTATCTCCATCACACATAAATTTGCGCGAGATGCAAACGCTGTTAGCACATTCTGAAAAATTTAAAAATTCAAAAAAATTTATAAAGTATTTACCATATTCATTAGGTGAACAATGCCTTCTATTAGGCTATAATTATATTAAAAAATAAAAAAAACGATTCTTATAAGTAAATGTCCTTACATAATCTTCACAGTGAGTCTCATCAGAAGCATTTACACAATCACGCCTAATTTAAAAGAAAAATTATAACCCGAAAAAATAATTATTATAACCTTCGATCACACCATTTATGCTCAAGAATACATGTCCCATCGTCTGAAAAAATATTTACAGAATTTAATTTTTAATAAGTTTAAATAAATAAAAAACCGCATTTCCGATATCCATCAGCGCACTTTCTAAGTGTACATTGAGATTCGTCCAAACCATCGCTGCACTGGATAGTTCCATCACATACTTTTGAGTGAGGAATGCAACGGCCCTCTTTAAAAATAAAATATAAATCTAAAAAAATATCAGAAAAATTTACCGTTACAACGAAATTCTGATTCAGAACAAGGACGTGAGGTACCTTATTATTGAATAATATTTACTGTTTGAAACGAAAATTTCACCTCCACATTGTTCATCAATCTCGTCTGAGTTGTCAACACAATCTATAATTTTTTTAAATTATTTTAGAAAATATTTAAAATTCCCCCTGCCATTTTCGCTGTCGCACATCCATCGCTTAGGAATGCATTTTCCAGAACCAACACATTTAAACTCTCCCTGTTCTTCACACGCCGGACAGCGAGAAGGTAATTCATCAGAACTAGTCAAAAAAATAATTTAAGAAATTTTAAAATAATTTACCCGTCTCTGCAGTCATCCTGTCCATTACAAAAAGCCCAATCAGGTACACAACGATAAGAGTTTAGACAACGAGACCAGCCTCGGGGGCATTCTACTTTATCACATTCAGGCTTTGGTTCGTCACTTCCATCACCGCAATCATCTTTAAAGATTAAGTGAATTAAGAGGAAATGTGCTCTTACCCTCGCTGTCACATTTCCAACTTTTTGGTATACATTTATGATTGGAGCAGCGGAATTCCTACAATAAAAAACATATAAGGACTTTAGAGATTGTGTTAAAAATCTCTAGACATCTCAAAATATCAGAAAAATCAAAACAAACCTCAGCAGTACAGTTTCTCGAGGCATTCTTGCAAATGTGTTCAGCCTCATCGCTTCTATCACCACAATCATCTGTTTTTAATTAATAAATAGATAATAAACACAATTTTAAATTAACCATCTCCATCACATGTAAAACCTTTGGGAATACATTTTCCAGTATTTGAGCATTTAAACATCCAATCATCACATGGCTTATCCTGAAAATATTATGATTAAAATTCAAAAAAATTTTAAAAATATTAAACTTACACAATCTCGCTCATCACTCCCATCACCACAATCATCTGTAAATAAAGTAAATTTTGCTGAAGATAAAGCTAGATAAAAATATGCCTTGTCCATCACACATTTGGAATGGCCGAGTGCTATAAATGTACAAGATCAGATAGATTTTTAAAAAAATTTTCCAAACCAATTATGATTAGAGCATTGAAATTCACCAACTGGACAGATGCGATCGCCTTAAAAATCGGAGATAAAATTTCATCCCAAATAAAAAAAATTCTAAAAAATAACCACAAACATCCCGTCCAGGCTCATCATCTCCATCGGTACAGTCCTTAAAAAAGAAAAAAATAAATATTCTTTTAAACTTATGAAATTACCTTTTCGCCGTCACAATACCACAGCTTTGAGATGCATTTGGAATCTGTCCCAGAACAAGCAAATTGCCGCGACGTGCTATTTTAAAGAACCAGAATTATTCTCTAAAAGGATTCATTACCAATTTGCTTCACAATCACGGCCATTGGAGAGCAAGTAAAACTGGTCTGGACAGGCACATGAAAAGTTACTTCCACCGGCGCCAATAAGGCAGAGATGTGAACAGCCTCCATTGTTATCACCGCAAGGATTCGGCCAACGTGGCTTTAAATTTTTAAAGATACATTAAAAATTAAATAATTAAAAACCTGTCTTAATGGGTGAACAACACGAAGTTCATTGGGCAATTGCAAGGTAGTAACTTGACAATATTAATAAAAAATTTCTTGGCAATTATAAAATCAACCTAAGACACTTTCATTATTTGCTGTCCATTTATCAGCTCGAATAACTTGCTTCAAATTCCAATCACTCCAAAACAAATATTCGTTATAGACAGTAATAGAGGCGACATGTGAGGTGAGTTTTGCTGGAATTCTGTGCCGGCGGTGAATGCCATCCTGAAGGTCCATCCAGTTGAGTTCGTTAAGGTGGGCGTCTCCCCAGAAAAGACGGTCAGAATAATAATCGATGGCTAGGGCATTGGGCCAGCCCAAATCACGTTCAGCGATTTTAATAACTGGATCTGCAGTTCCATATGGCGCTGAACCATCCAAAGCGACTTTAGCAATGTACGGCTGGAGTGACCTGTAAATAAAAGATATTTTCAGGAGTGTTATCAAATTAACAAACCATTCAGTGAAGTAAAGATAACCACGTTTTGGATGTACAACAATTGCCTAAAGAAAATTTTGGAAAAGAAAATTTTGATAAATTTTCACCTTTGGCTGTGAAATTCTGTCTCGAATCAGTGTGCGACAAAATCGACCGTCCAACTCGCAAACACGCAAAGCTCGGTCTTGCCTATTCAGACTGTACAATTTACGCCCAATCCAATCGACAGCAATTCCCTCTATTCCAAACACATTATGGCGCATTATTTGCTCATAACTGCTGGGTGCTTCACTTAATTTATGAAGTGATTTGCGATAGATGCGCAATTTTCCAGAGTCTTAAGGGAAAGAAAAATTAATTTTTGGTCACAATAGAACAAGCAAACCGAGTAAATAAACCATGTCATCAACTGAATCAACATCCATTGAAACAAGATTTTCAAATCCTTGAGCTACAAGCTCATAGCGAGAACCATCTTTAAGAATGTGAGATTATGTTTGAATATTTTTAATAAAATTAAAACCTAGTGATATAAATCGAACATAGTGCTTGTTTGCCAAAAGCAGGTAAGGATCCGGCTTCTAAAATAAATAGAAGAAAATTTTAAAGTAATTTAATACCTCTTCATTCGCCTTACAAGTAAACCCATTGGGATTTAATGTCATCCCTTCAGGGCAAGAGCATTTGTAGCTTCCTTGTTTGTTTTCACAAAAGTGGGAACAAAGCGAGAGTCCTTCTTAAGTCAGAAAAAATAATTTTAACTGGAATTTTCAACAAACCCAAGCATTCATCTATATCTAAGCAGGATTTGTTATCCGCTCGATTTATTTGGAATCCATTTTCACAAGAGCATTTGTAGCCAATAACTTGGTCAACACAAGTTTGTTCACAAAGTGGATGTTCTTTTTGTTCACATTCGTTGACAACTGAAAAAAATAGGGGAGTTCAAGAATGGGCAACATGATAACAAAAATCAGAATTCTCGATTGATTCATAAAAGTTATAATCTAACAAGTTTTTCGGCACTTTATCAATTATAACTTTTCTACCAGTCGGTCAAAAATTTTGATTTTTTGGTATTTTGTAGCGTATTTAATGCTCTATCATTAGACCAAGAACATAAAGAAACCCAAGCATTCGTCTCTCCGCAGAGCCCGGGACTTAGTCGTGTCGGGACTCGGTTAAGGTGTGCCCAAAAACAAGTCATTTAAAAGCCCTAAATATTTTTATAAGAAAAAACACCCACAACAACTAGGACTTTCATCAGACCGATCAGAACAATCATAGTTGTTATCACACACTTTTTGTTTTTCAATACATTGCCCGTTTTGGCATTCAAACTGAGAAGTTCCACAATTTAGAGCTCCCGAGAGTAAAGAGGTTGCCGCAAGTCCAGTAATGTTGTGGGAGGAAATTTCTTCTGTTGAACATTGTTTTTCATCGCTACCGTCATCACAGTCGGCTGTAAATATTTTTTGTTTCTTTTTCAAATTTTAGCTTTAAAATAAAAGAAAACTCACAATTTCCATCACAGCGCCAAGCTGTTGAATATATTAATTAATAAATTATTCAAAAGTAGCCAAAAATTAAACTCACAATTTGGAATACACTGAAATTTAAGAAATTAAAAAAAAATTAATTAAATTTTTAAAAAAAAGTTAGAGTCAATCGACCCCTAGATTTGCTATAAATTAAAAACACACCTTATGGTTTTTGCACTGCCACAGCCCTGGTTGGCACGATTGATATGCTATTATTGTAGGAAAATTTATAAGATCACATTTAAAAATTACTTACTGCAATTTGCGTGTTCATCTGATCCATCAAGGCAGTCCTATAGAATAAAATAGTTTTACAATTTTGTTATTTAGCTTACATTATCGCCATCACAAACCCACGCTATAATTTAAAGAAAATTTTAGAAAACATATTATGTAATAGAGGTGAATCGGAAATGACGAAGGTGCCGGAAATCGGAACTGTCGGAAATGGCTCAAAAGTCGGAACTCGGAAATCAGCCGAAATTTTCGGAATTCCTATTCACCTCTGTTATGTAATAACTCACATGCGTGTATACAATTATTGTTTGAGCAACGGAATTCACCTGAAAATAGTAATAAATCGAAGAGGTCGGATATTAATCATCTGCTTAGTCTCTTACCCTTGTTACAAGCTTTCTTGGCCACACCACAGAGAGCCTCACTTTCGTCTTCACCTCCAACACAAGTAACATCTCCATCACATAACCACGTCTTTGGAATACACTCGTACTTAGGTTGAGCCAAATGTTTATTGGATTTACAATTAAACTTGAAAAATTCCAATTAAAAAGCGAATAAAAGGTAAAAATCCTCACTTCATCCTCCATACAAGTTCTGTTCCCACAGCTCTAAAAAATTTTATTTTTTAATTAAAAATTTAATTTTCCTTCTTACATGAGCAGTAGATTCATCACTTCCATCACCACAATCATCTAAAAAAGGAGTAATTAAAAAATAAAAGTTTAAAGATTAGCACCTTCGCCATCACAGATAAAAGCACGTGAAATACATTTAGAGTTGTCACATTGGAATAAATATTTGCCAACACAAACACGTTTGCCATTGGTATCTGTACAGTTTGTGGATGTCTGAAACAAAAATATTTTGAGACTAATTTTGAAAAATTGGTTACTTCGTCCCATCCTCCATCAGCACAGTCTATATCCCCATCACAGACCCTTTAAAGTTAAATAAAAGCGAATCATTATTTCCGGAAGCTTACCAAGTTTCCGGAATGCATCGACCAGACGGACAACGGGCATAATGCTGTGAACAAGGCTGATTTAAACAAAACAAGGATTGCTCATCAGACTTTTAAAATTTTAATTTAAAGGAAAAACATTAGTAAGATCCTACCAAGTCTCCACAATCATCTGAAAAAAATTTACTTAATATAGGGAAAAAAAGTTTAAGAATTACCATATCCGTCGCACAAATCGGAGGGCTAAAATAAAAAAATTATATTACATAATGCCATACAAAAATCCTAATCAGATTTCTGAATACCTGAATGCAGACGTTAGTTTTTGGACATTTTATACGAACACCTCGACAATCAATGGGTAATCCAGGACAGGTTTTGCTGTTTTCATCGGAAACCTTAAACAAAAAATTTAGAGGATTTAAAGCATTCTCGGGATTTACATTTTCATCCTGACAATCAATATGGCCATCACAAACACGGCTTTGATTAATACAATGGCCGTTTGTACAGGCAAAGGCTCCAGGCGGGCATACAGTGGTAGTGGATGAACCAGATCCGCTACTTCCTGGACGGCTACCCGGTTTGAAGTTGCCGCAATCGAGTTCGTCAGAATGATCACCACAGTCGTTAACACCATTACAACGTCCAGATTCTTGAATACAACGCCGATTTGCACACAAGTAATAATCTTCTGGACAGAAACGTACGACTAAAATTTTGAGGGAAAGTAGGAAAATACGGTAAAAATAGGGTCAAAACATACAGCAATAGCCGGGCGATTCATCGGATGAATCAGCACCTGAAATTGGGAAATTATACAAATACAAAGAGTATACGAACAGTCCATCTTTCCATCACAAGTTCTGTCCAAGGCAATGCAACTACCATCACCAACACATTGAAAATTATAAGGGCCTTCGCAGCTCCCACCAGATTTTGTTCCAGAAGCTGCGTCATTTGGTGCGCATTGAGTGGCTATGTCCTCACCAGGCTGTTTTACTATATGGAATGTATCGTTACAAGCACATTGAACACGATGTGCGGATATAGTTCCTCCTGCTCCACCACCAAGTTCAAGATCGTCAGCAGCCACAACGTGACATATCTGCTCACAGCCTCCATTGTTTTTCGCGCAAGCATGGGCGGTTCTTTCGCTACACCATTGATTTCTTGTTCGAATATCTGCCTCAGAGGCAAAAACTCGGAGTGTTCCAGGGCTGCAATAACTTATTAATTTTGTAAATAAAAATATTTTATTTGCCTTCGATGGTCTGCCACAACATTCTCATAGGAATTCCCAGTAAATTTATTCATTCGGAAAATTCCGTTCGAAAGTGGATCACTCATATAAAGCCAATTCTGCCAGATATCCAAAGATTTTGCCCGAAAACCAATTCCAATCAAGCGTCGGTTGTTTCCATCGTAGTCGATTGATTCAATGCTCTAAAATAATCATACAATTTTGGGAACAATCTTTATTCAAACCAAGCGGTTCACATCAGCCCAATATAGCCTCTGCTCGCGTGAGTCTACAGCCAATGTTGCGGCAAGACTTAAATCCTCGCGAACCAAAACACGACGTTGACCACCAGCCATATTTGCCCGTTCAATCCTGGGTTCATAAGAACCCCCTGACACTTTGTAACCACTGTCAGACCAAAAAAGTAGTCCTGAACAAGGATCCAAAGCCATAGCATATGTCCAGTCCCCGGTAGCAATTGTCATAATGTGATTGCCGTTAATATCGTAAGCGTAAACTTTGCCGCTTCTTCCAGTTGTCCAATAGACCTTTTGTGTAAACCAATCCAAACGCATATCAGATATATGCCGATTTGCTTCCTTAAGTTCAGGTGTTCGTAGACGCTCAGCATTAATTATTTGTCTGAGTTGTTTCGGCTGACTTATTGAGAACCAACTAATGTTTGCTCCACTAGGTGATTCGGTGACAAAGAAAATACGACGCAAATTTACGTCAACATCAAATTGTTGAATGTTTGGCATAGGTGGGAAAGCGTCACGCAGTGGAGATGAAGCTTTAATGTCTGGAACAAGAGTTGCATCTACAATTCTGTCACCATCAATGAACATAAGGAAAGAATCGGGTTCTAAAGGATTAGGATTATTAGGTTCAAAAATTAAAAAAACTAGCCTTCACAAATTCGCCCTTTCGGAACACCTTTAGCGCATGCACAATTTGGAGATGACGAGCCTGGAAGTGCGAAGCAAAGCTGAGGGCAACTTAACAAAAGAGGAATGTATTACTTAAACAATTATTAAAATTACGGTGACTTTCGCAAGCTTTCACTTATGTGGCATGGCGAGTTTGATTTTGGTTGGGCAAGGGGATCGAAAGCAGACAAATCCGAAAGTTCTGGTAAATCGCCAATCATTGTACTTGGAGAAAGTAGAAGTGAACTTTGGTTTGGTTTGCTAGAAGATGGAAAAAATTTGTGAATTCATAAAATTTTAAACACCTTGTTGAGGCAAAAACTTTTTCAAGTCGTCGGTCCGTCCAATACATCTTAAGTAAAAGATAAAGTAAGAATATTATCAAGCAAAGCAATTACATTTTGGCCGACAATTGCAATTCCAGTTGCTTCTGCAATGTCTGAGCGAACCAATTCCGGCTTCAATTCACTGTTTCCATCCGTGGTGTGAAGAGCCATAGGGTTTACCCGGAAAATTCCATCCATACCAGCATCAGTCCAATATAAGTAATGGCTATTTTAGAAGGGAAATTACTCGAAGGTATTTCTTCATTACCTATTCGGATCGACGATCAAATCAGTCGGTTCTTTTAGCTCAGTATGGACTATTACTTGTTTGTGAGTCCCATCTAGCCATGCTCTTTGGATGGTTGGAGTTTGACCCTGATCAGCCCAATAGATGTAACGAGCTAAAATTCATTAACTGTTTAAAACTTTGACAGGGAGACAAACCAATCGGGTCTATAGCTAAAGAAGTAGGAGTTTCAGTTCGAGTTGTTAACAAAATCTTGCGATTTTCTCCATTAAGCTGAGCCACTTCAATGTTTGATCGATCCGAGTCGGCGTTCACAAAGTAGAGGTTGGCTAGAATTTTAAAATTTAAAAAAAATATAAATACAAGCTCACAATTAACCCAATCGACTGCAACACTTTTAATTGTAAAACCGCCAAAATTATTTTTTATGATCAATCGACTTTCAGATTCACCCAAAACAAGCCGAGAAATGCCTTTATTTAGTCCAGCCGCATCTACCCAAAAGATGGATTTTGAATCGTAGTGGAAGTCAAGCTGTGAAAAGGATTTTATACTAAACGATTTTTAAGTTAATTTATACGCTTGTTATGGTAGTTCCAGCCAATGGATCGAAGGCAGTGACCTTAGAACGAAGTGGATCCGTTCTAAAATAATCAAGATAAGTCTACATAGAGACTTTAGTTAATGGAACATACGGAATAGACTTGATGTAATTTTTCCCAGCAATTATGAGGAATGATTCCGCGAAGAGTTTACATTTGTTAGTCTCCTCATCCACAGCAAAACCAGTTCCACAAATACATGTAAACTTATTTTGCTGGCCTCGAGGGATACAGAGTTGCTCACAATTTCCATTATTGTTATGACAAGGATGAGATTCTCGAGTATTTGCTGGGTGGACAACATGCATATTAGTTAAATGCTCAACATTTGCTCTAAATTCAGTAAACTCAGGTGGTTGATCGTCCCCACTTCCAGTGTCCACATCACCCACCATAATTTTATCGAATGCTGTATCAGCATAATAGATGTGATTGTGGAAGAATGCGATAGCTCGTGGTTGCTTTGCAGCATCATTAAGAATGTAGCGTTTGTCTTGTCCGCTATAAGAGACACTCGTAATCTGTAATTGAATTTTCTTTGAAGTTCCATTAAAATATTTCCAACCCTTCCAGCTTTAGCCTCAGTAAAATAAATTCGTCGATTTACAGTATCCAGCGCAAGATGATCCAATTCAGCAAGGTCAGTGCTAACCAGAACTAAAGGGTTGTTTCCATCCAAGTCTGCACCAGCTAATTTAGTGGAAACACCTCCCTTGCCTTGATCCAACCAAAATAGTAACCCGCGGTCAGAATCAACAGCAATAGCAACTGGATTCGAAACGGCGGTCGGTGACTGATCGTTGTGCAAAATGACGGCGTGGAACTAAAGGGAATGTTCATTTTTGTAATTTTTAATGATAAGTGTATTCCCTTCTACTCCCCTTCCTTCAATGAATTCATGTAAAATTCACTTGTTCTCCCTGTGTTCGAACAACTTCAATTGTCTGTGAATGTTTTTTGCCGACATAAATGTTTCGACCATTCCAATCATAAGCCATACAAGAAGGATCATCAGGCGGTTGATTAGCGAGAATAAGAGAGCGGTTGTTGCTCGTTAGGCTTGCTGAAAGATATAACATTTAACGCTTGTTTAAGTCCAAAAATTTGCCAAAATTTAACCCTACTTTTATGGATCATTGAGCTTGACATGAGAGTTGCTGTCATTAAAAGCACAGGTGCACCATGTTCTAGATAGAAAAGTTCGTTGGTCAAAGGGTCGTATTCAGCATCCTAATGAAGAAGATATTAGATTTAGGATCTATCCTAACAATCTCCTTACGTCAGTATTCCTAAGCCCGCTGATTGGCACAATTCCTCCAATTTCATGTGGCAAATGTTTTTTATTTGAACTTTCTCCCTCATTGTTTAGGGCTGCTCCAATGACCATTGATTTGTGAACCTGATCAAATTTAAGATATCTCAATCAATCCTGATAATCTCACTAACCAATAGCATAAATGGCCGTTTATCAAGTACACATTGTCGTCCACCTCCACCTTCTTCAATGACATGACCACTTGGACAGAGGCATGTGAATGTACCATTAGCACCCAATGCACAAATATGGGAGCACCCGGATGTAGAACATGGGTTTTCTTTTATTTGTGGTTGCAAAACTGGATGAATAGCTATAACACCCAAAGCCTTGGAGAAGGAATGTGAAGGATATTCCCGACTCGTTCCATTCGGATATTTGGGATAAAGCTGAAGCCGTTGAAGTCGACGATCGCTATAGTAAATATGGTCTTCGAATATAGACATTGCATGAGGATGTTGTATAAGCTTGGTCGAGGCAAGAACTTGAACACGGCCTTAAGCATAAGTAATTAATTAGTCTAACCTTTACAAATCACCTTTTCCATCATAGTCAACAAATTCAATGTAATCCAGCTTGGAGTCGGCAAAATACACACGGCTAGAAAAGAATAATTCTATGAACATTGCATCAGTTTCTTGATTACCTGACAGTGTAATCGAGCGCTATAGCATTGGGCCAGTAAATTTTTGTATCGACCAAAACAACCCGATTAGATCCATCCATGTTAGCACGCTAAAAGTTCAGCCTAGTTAGGGGTTATCGTTTAAAAATTGCCTCTATGCGAGGATGTTGTCCCCAATCAGTCCAAAACATTAATGCAACTCTGTTTGAATTTGTATTTTAAATGATACAAATTGGATAGAATCACCTTGGATCCACAGCCAGACCTCGCGGTTGATCAATTCCTTCGTGGAGAAGAATAGACCGGACTAAAAAATTTTTTAAATTCTTCCAATTTTCTAATAAAAAAGCTTGCCTCCAGGCTTTTCAAGACTTGCAATTTCAATAGTATTAAGAGAAGAATCAACCCAATAAAGGTTTCTGCCGACCCAATCGACGGCAATACCTTCAGTAATGTCCAAGCCCTGCCCAATAAAAACTTGAACGTCTGTTCCATTCCGAGTGGCACTGTAGATTTTCTTATCGCGGATATCCGACCAATATATACGATCCTGAACTGAATCCCAAGCGATAGCAACGGCATTCTCGACCTGCGCTGCAAAAGTTCGCCAGTTCTCTAATGAGCTATCAGACCAGTATATGCCTAAATCGTTATATTCAGGATTAGTTCAATAGCATACGATTTCTGTTTGAAACATAAACACGCATGTCCTCACGATTCTGTGCAACCTTGCAGGTATGCTTATCTGCCGAAAGAACGTAATCAGTATCACAAGTACATGTAAACCCATGTTTTTCATCAGTACAGTGTTGTGAACTGAATGATAATAAATTGTTAAATACAATCCAATGTTCGTTCAAAAGTTACCATGAGCGAGGATCTAGGCATTCATTCTCAGGTTCACATCTCGTTTTATTAACAAGTTGTTCTCCAAGGGGACAGGAGCAAATAGGTCCGTCGGGCGAGTTGTGACATTTATATTGACATCCTGCTCGATCAGCAGAGCACAAGTCTAAATAAAAGAATGAAACACTTAAACAAGTCGAGAAACGGCCACCTCTTGAACAGCGTCCACCTTCATCAGATCCATCAACACAATGAGGCTTTCCGTCACAAAGATCTTTAAGAATGTTTGGAAATTAGAAAACCAAGTCTAGGTTACTTGAATAATGAATGCATTGTTCAGGAGCATTACGGCAAGAAACCTAATATTTTAAAAAGAAAGTAAAACGCTAAAAACTAAATTATTTACAGTATCGAAGGGGCATTTGTAAAGAAATTGCGAAGCACTGTTTGGGCAGGTTTGCTCATCAGAATTGTCTCCACAGTCATTTACAGAGTCACAAACCCAAGTCTAATTAAATTTTTGAATAAATTTTGAAGACAAAATTTATTAACCGAAAATATGCAACGTCCGTTTGTGCAACGGAAATGATCTTTAGGACACGTGACATGTTGAAGTTGACAAGTTTCACGTGGTTCATCGCTTGCATCATCACAGTCTTCTTGTCTGTTTCATTTTTGTTTAATAAAAAATTAGTTTAAATTATTCACCCATCACATTTCCATGCCGCGGGAATACAAATACCGGAGGTAACACATTTAAATTGGTCAGCGGCGCAATTGCCTTCACGTGGCAAACAACTTTCCTCGTCCCTTAAAAATTAAAGTAATGATTTTCTAAAAATCTGAATATAACTAACGAAGCATCATTGCAGTCATCTTGTGAATCGCAATGATTTCTAAAGGGGAAAATAGTTAAATTATCAAGAGAATTTTTTAGAAAGTACGCTAATGGTATGCATTGCCGACCACTCGCACATCGGAATTGATCTGGCCGACATTGTACTGGAGGACAACGTTCTGGGTCCTCATCAGTTGCATCATAACAATCCTGAATGTAAAGAAAGGCCTAGAAAATTTTTAAAAAATCCCAAACATTATCCCCATCGCAAAGCCAATAAACAGGAATACAGCGACCATTCGCGCAAGTAAATTGATTAGAAGAACAAGTGGCATTGTGGCAAAGTTCGAGCTTTTCGTCACTCCCGTCTCCGCAATCATCTTTAAAATTAATTAGAGGGTAGGAAAAAGTATGGTTTGACACTCACTATCGGAGTCGCACCGCCATTGTTCGGGAACACACCTATTATTGTCACACTGGAACTTTTTGGCACCGCATTGTGGACGTTGGCCATCTTTACAAAAGCGTTGATCTTCCTAGATAAACAAGCGTTACAAGTCATTAAATGAAAAATCTAACATCAGAAAAATCTCCACAATCATTATCCCCATCACAAGCATACTGAACTGGAATACACTTCTTGGTGTTATTACAACGAATTGTTGCTTCTGGACATTCCACTTCTTTGAAACAGGAATGCCCGTTTTCATCTTGTTCGTCTGAACCATCAAGACAATCATCTATTTATAACGAAATAAGATTATTTATTAAATGTTGATACACCTTCTGAATCACAACGCCATTCCAAAGGAATACAACGCCCTAAAATTGCCAAAATTATTTATAACATTTCAGTAAAAACAACCGTTAGCGCATTGAAATTGAAGAGCAAGTTCATTTTTCTAAAATTACCATTTTCTCTATTAATTATAACTTGAAAATAGGGCAGCAACCCAACCCTTCGGGGTCGTGAGTGTCGGGGACGGGGTCAGTCGAGATATAGTCTTTGGAGAAAGAGACGGGGTTTCGGGTTGCTTCATCGTTTGGATTAACTTTGTACCCTATATGAAAACATGTCTGACCTGTGAACCGTTTCGAGGACAAAGAGGTTCAATCGGTTCAAGAATATCGCGAATACAAGCCAATTCATTGTTTGGATTAACCTTGTATCCTGTTAAAAATATTTTTCAAAAATTTTTTTTGAAATTATCCACCATGTTTACATCCACATTTTTTAGTCAAAGGCATTGAATGATCATCGCTAGGTAATGCAAAGCAAAAATGAGCGCAATTATGCTCCTGACAAGGATGTTTAAGATGGTCTTTAATTATGAAAAATAACGTTTTTTGTTATCTAACGTGCTTATAGACCTGGATATTTATGACTAGGATCGGAAGCAGGTTGATTCTGAGTAGAACAACCTTTAATTGAGAAAATACTCCTTTCCTCGCCACTGAAAATTGTAAAATAATTTAGGCTTATTTGTCCAATTCTTGCCTGAAGTCACGAACAATGCGTCCAACCCCTCCGAAATTCTTGGAGACACGGCGAATGGAGTAAGGTCTTTGATGAACATAATAAATTTGGTCTCCAAGGAAAGTTATAGCCACAGGGATGGGGTCTTCCACAGGCAAAACAGCCCAGTTTTGTCCATCAAAATCCATACATGCAAAGAATTTAAGTAAAGAATCCCCCAAACAAAGACGACTTTCTGCAAAGTCGATGGCTAGACCAGAAGGACGACCGATTGTTTGGTTCCGTAAAACGATACAGTTAGTAGCATCTAGGTTACAACGCCATACACGAGCCTTGGTTGAGAATATTAAGCATTAAAAAACATGGAAATAATCCTCACTGGCCTTTCTGCCTCCGCAAAGAAGACATATCCTCTCCATGGATGTACAACAACAGAAACTGGATCTCGAAGTTTCAAAAGCAGTTTACGGCGGACAAGTTGTTCAGGATTTACTAGACCCTGTATTAAATTTCTTTTCAGAATTTATTTTTCTTAATTCACCTGGTCGGTCACCTTTACAACCTCTAAGGAATTCCTTATGTTGTCACTTAATTTTGAAGCAATTATAACGGTATTCTTAAACATAAGACAAAACTACCCACATATAGTATAGTTGCCTGCTCATCCAATCAAATGACATGGATATTAGGCCATCATTGTGGGTCTTAAAAAATTTTTTAGATAAAAAATTTCCTTGAAATTTTAGAGAACCAACCACAAGTATTGGAGCCGATCCTTCTCCGTCTGGCTTCACACTAGAATTCATAATCGAATATATATCCAACCTTAACCTACCGATAAAGTGTATTATCCATAATATCAGCATAAAAGAAGCTTGAACTATGAACATCACATTCAACTGCAAAGTACATGCCTACTCTACGTTGAGATTGAGGAGAAATTGGCAAAACAGCTTCGGCTAGTGTATTTTGCAGGATTTCGGGGTAAATGCCACGAATCTTTTAGTAGAAGAAATTTATGAATTAACTATTAAACTCACAACTCTGTTGCTACTGAATAACAAATAATCTATTGAAGGCACACATCGTTTACCGTCAACCAATTTCTAGATAAGAATGCCTATTATTTATGCTAGTCCAGTCAGTCTACCTGGCCGATAGGACAAGCACAACGGTAGCCCACACCAAATCCGACATTATCTTTGGCTAGAAGACACATTCCCTCACAATCGGCCTTATCGCACGGATTTTCAATGTGTTGCTGGAAGCAATCACTGTGAGAAGGACCGGGCTGTGCCATTTGATGATATGCAGCAATCCCCATAGGAAAAACGTTCCCATCTTTATTAGACCAAATAACTTCAGAAGCCGCTCCAAACTTTTCAACACGCATAATTCCCAATCTTGTCCAGTCTGTCCAATACAGGTATTGATCGAATATAGCCAATCCGAAAGGATGGGGAGCAAAATTTCTAAGAAATTCAGAGTTAATACGATCCGGAAACAGGATCTTTTATGAAATTCAACCTTCCAGATGCAATCTGTCGTCGATCATTACCAGAATAGTCAACTGATTCAACTCGGTCGACTTTCGGGTCACACCAGTAAACTCGTTTAGCAGCGATATCAACAACAACACCGCTCACCTAAATGTTATAAAACTTGAGTTATAAAGGAACTCATACTCACTTGATGGGTGTGTGTTTCGACTATTACACGTCGACTTGTACCTTATCAAGAAATTTAAAGTAATTAAAAGTTGTAAATATCAAACCATCCATGTGGCAAGTCTCCAATTTTAACTGGTTAGAAAAGAACATTTCACCCCGAAGAGCTTAAATTTGACAATCCTTTAAACTTATCAAGGGTTAAGCTCACGATCCAAAGCAATATCGAGTGGAAGAGTAAGGCCATCTGCTAGCAAAACAGTTCGTTTATCGCCTTCATAGTTGAGCACATCAATGCGTCTTGAGCCACTTTCGATTACATAAATCTTTAAATTTTGAAAGAAATATCCACTCAATTGTGTAAAATTTACATTATTAGTAATCCAATCAACGGCTAAATTTCTCGGGTAAATCAGTGATTTTAGCTCAAATTTGTGCTAAAAATTTATTTTCAAACCGGACTACAACTAATAAACGTACAATATGTTCAATATCACCCCCAGAAGTGATATCAGCCCGGTAGAGAGAGTGGGCTAACCGATCAGTCCAGAATATTTTCCGTTTCTCGTAATCAAAATCTACTCCATAAATAAATTCTCCTGAAGCGATTTTAACGGCAGATTCTTCCTACAGATAAAAGGTTAGAGGTGAATTCTAAATTGAATTCCAACCTTATTTGCTGGATTCAACCGATAAAGTCCCTCACGACGAGCGACAAACAGACGCATTTGTTCAGGTTCACTGGATATGCAATATCCCCGAAGTGTTAAATTATTGCTTCCACCGAATGGCGATCCCGAATTTGCCCCTGTGCTTTGTACCATTTGAAGTCTTTAAAGAGCAAGAGGACATGTTAAATAAAATCATTAAAAGTCTACTTAAAGCAGGATCCTAGGCAACCACAAGTAAAACTAGGTCGGTGATTCTGGCAAGTTTGATCACAATATCCAAAATCGGCGCATTCATTAATGTCTTAAAAATTGTTTTTTTTTCACTATTTTCTCACTAAGTTTTCAAAATATTCTTTACCAATGCAAGACCGTTCGAAGCGCTCATCGAGTTTATAGCCCTGTGGACAAGTACAAATTCCACCGGTAGGGGAACTTGCACAACCGGACTGACATCCGAGCGTTTGGCAAAGATTACGAGCTGTAAATAAATTATTTATTTGACACTTTTAAATTTTAAACTAACAGCATGTTTTTTCATCCGCGCCACTATCACAATCCTGATAAAATAAAAATATTTTTAATAAGCCTTTTAGCCTTAAAGTCCTGTTTTGACCCTCAAAAATACCCACATTAACTCCATTACACAATTTTGAAAGATGAATGCAATGACCGGAATTTGGACAGGGCCACATATCCGGAGGGCATTTATAATGACCACATTCCTCCTCGTCTGAATTATCACCTGAACATTTTTAATTATTAGGTCAAATCAGTAAACATTTTAAATTATTTACCGCAGTCATCATAGTAATCACAACGGAATTTTTGGGGAACACAACGTTTATTTTTACATTTAAAATCGCCTGTCTGGCACGCTGGAAATTTGCATGTTGGTAGTTCATCCTTCAAAAATAAAATTCAAAAAAAACTTCCAAACAGATATTCAACCGATTTGTCAGCACAATCAGGTGTCCCATCACAAACCCATATTTTCTGTATGCATTGGGTTTTATCCGCGCATCGAAATTGGTAGGGAAAACAAGCCTAAATATTTCTGTCTAGGATATACTATAATTTAAATACTGTATGATTAGTGGAGCAAGAATCTTTCTCATCACTAAGATCACGACAATCATAGATTCCATCGCATTTGCGAGTGATTGGAAAACACTAAAACAGAAAATCTATTAAAATTATTTTCGGAATGATTCCAGATTGTACTAAGCTCTAAAACTAAGTTCTTAACTTAATTTTAGGAAACTTAAGACTTTGTTTTCCGGAAACTTAAGAACTTATTTTTAAGTAAATAAGTTTTAATTTTCCAGAAACGTTTTAATAAACTTAAGAAAGTGTTTAATTAACTTTTTCCGGAAACTTAAGAACTTAGTTTCGGTAAACTTAAGCTTATTAAGCCGGAAACTTAAGCCTAGTTTTAAATAAAATAAGTTTTAATTTTCCGGAAACTTAAAAACTAAGTTTTAAGTAAATAAGTTCTAATTTTCCGGAAACTTAAGAGCTAAGTTTTAAATAAGTTTTAATTTTCCGGAAACTTAAAATAAGTTCTAATTTTCCGGAAACTTAAGAGCTAAGTTTTAAATAAGTTTTAATTTTCAGGAAACTTAAAATAAGTTTTATTTTCCGGTAAGTTTTAAAATAAGTTTTAATTAAAACTTAAAATAAGTTTTAATTTTCCGGAAACTTAAAATAAGTTCTAATTTTCCGGAAACTTAAGAGCTAAGTTTTAAATAAGTTTTAATTTTCAGGAAACTTAAAATAAGTTTTATTTTCCGGTAAGTTTTAAAATAAGTTTTAATTTCCCGGAAACTTAAAATAAGTTTTAATTTTCCAGTAAGTTTAAAAATAAGTTTTAAAATAAGTTTTAATTAAAACTTAAAATAAGTTTTAATTAAAACTTAAAATAAGTTTTAATTAAAACTTAAAATAAGTTTTAATTTCCCGGAAACTTAAAATAAGTTTTAATTTTCCAGTAAGTTTAAAAATAAGTTTTAAAATAAGTTTTAATTAAAACTTAAAATAAGTTTAATTTTCTGGAAACTTAAAACTATGTTTTAAGTAAATAAGTTTTAATTTTAAGTATTAAAAAAGTTTTAATTTTCTGGTTTGGTAAGTACTGGTTTTTAAAACTTAACTGGCGTCCATCAAAACATTGAAAAACTGAACCATCGTTAACTTCGCAGTTTACTGGAGCTGCGGCTGAATTTTTTAAAATTAAAATAAATTTTTTCAGACATTTTGAAATTTAAAGTTGAGTAAAATTTAAAATTAAAAATCATTCTTACGGCAGTCTTTTTCATCAGAACCATCAACGCAATCGCTCTTTAATAAAAAAAATTTTAGTCCTAGTTTTTTTTGAAAATTGAAAGCTTACAATATTATCACAACGCTGATACTCTTGCTGCAAAGTAAATTGTTTTATTTTGATATTTTAAATTCAAAATTAATCTTACAATGCAGGAGACTGAGTGAATATCGTATTTATCGCCTGCAATATTAAAATAACAATATCTTGTAGAAATAAGTTAAGGGATTTAATAGGTGTATTAATTACCCTCCCTCAAATAATTACCCCAATCTATTGATTACCCTCTCCAGCGATAGGATGAAGCAATAATTACTCTCCATTAGGGTTGTCGGTTTCAAGCCGAACCGAAAAACCGAAGATTTTCGGTTCGGTTTATCTGTTCGGTTTCGGTTAACCGATGAATCTGGTGAAACCGACAACCCTACTCTCCATCAAAATCCCTGCTACACGTTCACATTTCAAACCTTGTCCTCACTCAATTACTTCCTCCAATAGGAGGTCTAAACAATAATTACCCAGGGTAGTTATTCAAGGAATACGGTAAATTATAAATTAGTAATTAAAACTCTCTCACATTGCCACTGTTCAGCTTTACATCCCGGGTGGGCTAAAAATTAAGATTTAAACAGATAATTCAGAACATTTCTTACGGCAATTATTTTCATCTTCGCCGTTGCGACAATCACCTGATAAAAAGCATCAAGTGTAATTTAAGTCCATCTACTCAGAACTAACCAGATCCATCACATTTCCATTCCAGCCTAATACAGTGTCCATCATCGCATCGAAACTCTGTCTCAGAACAAACTCCAGAAGAACTTCCAGAGGAACTTTGCTGTTGTAAATGAGAACGATGAGCACCTCTATGGCCTATACTGGGAGGTTCAGCATCAGTTGTAAAGACAGTACCAGAAATGAATCCAGGCCTGACGCCAGGCGGTCCTCGATGAAATGGATGTGGTGGTTCAACTCCAAGTAAAATTCCTTTTATTTATGAAGAATTTTGGAAAATTTTTATCCCAGCCGCCAGGAATTAGGGTAGAAGGGAAATAATTTTTTTTTCAAGCTTGGGTTTGATAATTAGGATAGGTTGAAATGAGGGATTTATTTGGATTGAGGGATTTAATGGGATTATGACAGAAGACGTAATCCTGAGTATTTGAACTTGGCCTCCTCCAGGATCAGATCCCCTTCAGGAAGTTGACCCCCAAGATCAGTTGACCTCTAGGGTGTTGATCTCCAGTATCATTTGACGGTAAAGGTGAAGAATACGTACCACTCACAAATATGGACAAATTATATGTCATTTGAAAGAGCTCGGCGAGAGGAGTCGAATGACATCAAAATCAACTGGCGGTCTCAACTCTGAGCTGAGATATAGGCCCCTGAAAATCGAAAAACCATAGGGGGGAGCAAGCTCAATTTTGGAGTGAAAATTTCGAATATGCAAATAATAGCTCATTCGAAAGAGCTCGTCGAGCTGAGTCGAATGACACCAAAATCAACGAAATCCGACTTGATTGGACAAAGTTATAATCTTTTCTTTTAGCTCCTTACCTATGTCATCTGTGGAGATTTTTGCTGCCACGGAGGCCCCAAATATGTCCAGAGCAAGGGAGATAGGAATAGGTTTATGTTACGAGCCCAGACCCAGCGCCCGTAGACTCCCCGCGAGGCGCGTGCCGCAAAACCCCGCGCGAAGCGCGGGGTTTTGCACAAGCGCCTCGCCGACGCCCCATAGGTTTATGTTGACCATTTTGAGCTTGTTTATCTTTTCTCAAAATTAAGATTTCGAGCTGATTTTGGCGTCATTCGACTCAGCTCGAGGAGCTCTTTCAAATGAGCTATCAGTTGTATAATATCATTTTTACAAGTATTTGATAGATATTTTTGACCGTTTTGAACCCCTGTATCTCAGCTCAGAGTTGAGACCGCCAGTTGATTTTGGTGTCATTCAACTCCTCTCGACGAGCTCTTTCAAATGACATATAATTTGCCTATATTTATGAGTGGTACGTATTCTTCACCTTTTCCCATTTGACTTCTAGAGTGTTGACCCCCCAATGTTAGCGACCTCTGGAGTGTTGATCTCCAGGATCAGTTAACCTCTAGAATGTTGACCCCAAGGTCAGTTGACCTCTAGGGTCGGTTGACCTCTTGGTAATTGACCTTCTGGGGCGGAAGAAATTTTCCATAGTTAAATATTGAGAAACAATATTTGCATAAATCTTAAAGTAAACCTACTTTGTATTGTATGTATAGGAAATTTTGTATCCAAATTAATACATAATTGTGGCAAGCAAAATAAATTGAGCAAAAATAAGGGTAACAAAAAATATTTAAACAACAAAAACAACATAATGAGTGTATGTATTTAATAAAAATACATTTTTAAATGCTAAAAATTAATAGAAAAATTTTATGATTAATAGAAAAAATGGATGAAAATTGGATGAAAATTGGGTGAAAAATTGAATCAATTTCCTTTAATAAATGACTATAATTAAATGACCTAAATGACCTATAATTTAGATTGGATTACGCTGTAGAAATAAAATAAAAGAGAAAAGATCTGACCCATTAACTCAACGTGTCTTCAAAATAAAAAAAAACTTAATTTCTCATAATTTGAGGGAATTTCAGCCCTGAAAGGCTGTGAAATGGCAGACGGGAAGGCGAAAACAAAAACAACCCTCAAGAATATCCTCTGCGCATGCGATAGGGGGTTGCGCTAGTTGTGTAGCAATATCGACCGATTGCTGATACTTTTTCGGCAGCTATTTGGCTGTCAATAAATCTTATAATCTTTATCCAATCAATTATGTTAAAACAAAGGATTATAAATAATAAAATGAATTGATTGTCAAATAGAATATCTCATAATCCAAAAATTATTTTAGATGGGATGATGGTTATTCGGTAGGGGACGGACATATCGGGATGGGGGGTGACAAAAATAACTTCTTGAGTGTTCACGTTGGTTCCTAAACACAAAAACGCTTTTCTTCAATGGAACAAGGTCCTATCCAAGACACTGTCCGTAGGTCCCGAAACCAGTAGAATAAAAATACATTGAAAAATCCCTATGTGCCTCCCGATCAGAGACGGGCAAAGATTTCGTTTTGTGGCCGTTTTTAATTTTTTCGCCCATATCTGGTCCCGATATTCTGGCTCCAGGTTATTTTAGCGGAAATATTATTAAATCCCTTGAACCTAAATTATTCCAGAATAAAAATCAAAATCTCAGACACTTGCCAATAAATTCTCGAAAACAAACTCAAAAATAAATTGAAGAAGATATGTATTTTGTGCCTGTTTTTTCTTCGCCCGCCTCAATGTTCATCGGCCTTCGCCAAATCTCCATGCAATATTAACGATCGCGCAGCGGCCGGTGGTGAGAGAATAAAGAGAAGGAAAAGGGGGAAAAGTAGATATGATTGGTGATTGGTATGAAAAAATATTATTTTTTGAATTTATGATTAATCGAAATTATTTATAAAATAATATGTATCAAAGAATATAAACAAAAATTGGTAACTGTGAAATTTGTATGCCTTCCTATTTTTCTCCAAATCTAAGGCGATTAGTACCTATCAGCTATGCGTGTTAGCCTATTATGGTTAGGGTTGCGCCCCGACTCCTTGAGGGCGCGTTTGTCGGGGTGCGTTGGAGTATAACTGAAAGAAAGCACTAACAAGTTGTTGTCTGTCATACTCAGCACACTCCAACAAACGTGCCCTCAAGGAGTCGGGCCCAACCCTAATTATGGTTGGTATTTTGCGTGTGTAGTCTTGGGGATTAACTTTGGGTCTACTTTGGAAGACCTCACTATTCCCAAAATATTTTATGATAATACAGTGAACCATAAATTTGTGAAGAAAAATTAATTAAAAGGTGTAGAATAATCTAGAATAATCTTCCACAAAAGGATGATAAGACAGTTAAAAATGAATATTTGGCGGTGAATTTTTTTGATGAAAGTAACGTCAACACAAAAATGATTACTATCGCATAATGAGCACAGCCAAAATAAACCGACATAATTTAAAAAATAAAATGTCAAAATTAAAAAATGAAGAAGAAAATGTGAAGAGGGGAGCAGGCCAGTGTACCGCCGAGCTATAACTTCGTCCAAAATTTTCGAATCCGTGGCGCCCTGGTATGGTTCGATGCGTCTCGACCAGCTGAATCGAACCATACCAGGGCGCCACGGATTCGGCAATTTTGAACAAAGTTATAGCTCGGCGGTACACTGGGCTCGCGGTACATCGGAGTGTACCCTGTGAAGAGTTCTATAAAAGTTCTGATCTAAAATTAAATAAGAGAAAAGGATCAAGAGTTGATAAAAAAATATTTTTTTTGTTCTTTCACATGCTGGTCATTTTTATTTTTATTTTCGGGAGTAATTGGAGATGGCCGGGGATAAAAAAATTTTGTGGAAATGTACAGTGCGCGGATTGTTGTTAAAAATGAGGAGAGCAAAACAGTAAAAATATTTTCTAAAACTCTCTCAACTAGCGGAAAAGATTTATTTTACAGACGGCGAAATAAAAACAAAACAACACCTCTAGCAAATTTACTCTACGGACAACCGGTCTAGCTAGGTAATTGTTTGACTAATTTTGATCGATTTGAGAAAAATATATGATCAATTTTAAATTTTGAAAATTTTGAATTAATTTTAAAAAATATTATTTAAAATTTAAATAGAGGCAAGCAATGTGAGAAAATAATAACGCAACTTTGAGGTGAAATTTTGAAAAAATTTATTGTCTGGTCAAATCCTGATTTGAACTAGAAGATACTAATTAATAGAGCTGTGATTTTTATGCAAATGCATATTTTTTTTGCAAACTTGGCATCATGTATAAAGCACAAAAAACACTGTTTTAGCTTGGTTTGAAAACTTTAAAGGGGGTTTCTATTTGCATATAATGCATATTTTTGCATATTTCAGACTTTGCTGCATAATGCATATTTTACTGCATATTTTGAGGTTTTTGGGGAAAATATAGCGAAAATTGCCTAAAATCCTGCCAAAAAGTGAAAATTTAGTAAAAATTTTGGAAAAAATTTGTAAAAATTAAGAATTTGAAAAAAATTTTTTTGATTATTGGGAGCGACCAAAAAATGTCCCAACCCAAAATGTCACGCCGCCAAAACGCCTCATCTCGAAATGTCCAACAGAGTAAAAATGCTCAATTTGTTGAACAATACATGTAAACTGTGAGTAATATTAATAAAAAATAGGTGTTTGAATGTTTTTGACTTAAAAAATGCTAAATTTCTAGGTATAAATTGTATTTTTATGCATATTTGCGTACATATTTGGTGTTTCTTGCATATTTTCGTGCATATTTCGGCAATTTTTTACGCATATTATAGTGCATATTTTGCATTTTTTAATGCATAAAATTCACAGCTCTACTAATTAAGAGCCAGAAAAGGTAGTATTTAGCCCGGAACAGAGTTATCTACCTAAATTGGGGCTGCCTAGGAGTCAAAAAAAGTGCGTGAACTTTTTCCGAGTTCTTCAGAAAATTCTTCAAAATCATCAGAATTGATTTTGGGTAACTGATTTTTTTATCATAGAAAATGTACTGACACTGAACAACATATAAAATAATAATAAAAATAAATGAAATTAAAAAATAAGTACAAAAGGTAATGATGAAAAATGAAAAATATTTTTCAAATTTATATTTAAAAACAAACTCGCAGTCAAACACCCTTTCTTTTTTCATTTCGGTGCTACCTGCCCCCTCTCAAAAAAAATTTTACTTTAAAAATATTTTTTCAATTATTATTTAACAGCAAAATATTTTTTTATTATTTTACTTTCATTTTTCATTATTTTAAAGTGAAAAAAGTTTGAAATTGGAAGGGTAAAGGTCCGATGACACAATCAATCATCTCCCATTTTTCATTCCAATTTTCATATTTTCTTCGGCAAAAATAAAATATCTCTCCAACGAGAATCAAGGCTACAAAACCAAGGCCAAATCAGGTAATGGATGGGTGAACAAGAAAATTGATGAGTGGATTATAATATTTTTTATTTTGCATTTAGAGTAGCCGCAGCATAGGAGAGGGGTTGTTGAACAAAATGCAAATAGGGGGGAAGGGGGGAGGAAAGGGTTTAAGGGGCGCGAAAGAGGGAAAAGGGGGGTCAATGTGTAACTAAAAGGGGGAAAAAGTCTACAATCTTATGATGAAAATAAAATTATTTAAAAAATAAAAGAGGGTCCAAATTAAGCTAAACTTGGAGAGAATAAAAGGATTAGAAACAAAATATTACCTTCCAAAGGCAATTTGTTTTCAAGGGATGTGCGCGAGTGAATTGTGCAGATATTTAGGTGGTAAAGGCCGCCAACGGCAATAATAAGCACTTGCGCACGCACATAAACTAAACAAATCGATCAAAAATTCATTCATTAATTCGGCCAGCTACAAATAAAGTTGCACATTTCACGTAGTGCCCTGAGCTGTTGATCTTCACCAAAATTTTTTGCACCAAACGAGTTAATGATTAGTAAAAACTGGTGTTTATTAATGGGAGGACAGAGGCTAAGAACTAATTGACAACCAGTTTTTTTGAAAATTAAAAGGAAAATTGATTTTTCTAAAAATATTTTTAATCAGTTAAATGCATTTTTTGCAAATAATTTAAATTTAATAACGTTAAAGTGAAAGACAAAGATTTTGAATTTTAATCTTGAGTCAATATTCACGTTTTGGTACTTTTTGGATATCCAGCACCCTAATTAGAATTTAGTAAAGCAGCTGGGCTATAGCTATTTCTCTACTTTAGCTAGTACAAAAGGTTAATCGGCTGCTGGAAACGAACCAGCATCTTCAGTAGACCGGACTGATGTGTTAGCCATTACACCTCGGCGTCTACTTTACAGCCTTAGGAAATACATAAATAGCTATATGCTTTACAATGGCTCAGCAATCACGTTTTGGTTCTTTTTGGATATCCAGCCCCCCCCCCCCCAGCTTGAGTATCAGAGATTTCCTTCCTTCACCAATTCCACTCCATTTCCCTGTGACCTATTCAAATGAGAGGCATCAGCAGAAGGAAGTTTGATCATTACATAGTACATTCTCCGAACTAGGGGGGGGGGAGATATCCAAAAAGTGCCCATGATTTATTTAAACTTGGAATCTTGATCTTCCAAATTCTGTGGACGAACAATAAATGTTTCTAGAATGTGGTTTTGGTATAGAAAAGCGGAAAGTGAATTAAATAATGTTCGAACAACAATATAAATTGCCAAAAATTGAATCCAAGCCCATTTTAGCATTTCCCACACATCCGTTCTGAAAATTGGAAGTAATATGGGGGAATAAAATACAAATCCACCTATAATAGAAAATTTGTTCATTAATTCTAAGCCTGTAATTGACGTGAAAGCTTCCAGATTCTGTATCATTTGGGGGTTCTGAACGAATATCCCATCGATGGGCGCTGCTACAAATCGAAGAGATTATTGCTTGTGAGAGAGGGAAAGGGTTACCTAACAAGTTCAAGTGTAAAATCCTGTTCTATTTGATAATTCTGAAGTGCCCAAATAGCCGAATCCATTTTTGTTTTCAAGTTGTCGTCGTTTAGGTCTAACAATAAATTAGTTTCGTCTGTTTTTAAGTAATAATTGCTGGAATTATTAGATAAATCTGTAGCATTCCTAATATTCAAAGTCGAAGATGCCCATTCAAAAGGAGATTGAGTTAGATTTCCCCAGCTGGGAAAAGGTCCACGTTGAGCCATTTGTAAAATACCGATCATGCTTAAAGCACAGAAATTTGCCGTAAAAATAGGCGCCATTTAGCCCCTTTCCCGTACCTCATATCATTATAAGCATTGCCTGGCCTGTTGATCTTCCCAATAACCGGGCACATTTGAAACTAGAACAAAATTTATATTGAAATTCGGGTTGAAAAACATTTTTATTAACCTCTAGCAATGCACGTCGATCAAGTTGAACATCAAAAAATAACACAAAAGTAATACCTTTGAATTTATCACTTGTTAAGTTGCCTTTTGGTGAACGAAATAGAATATTTATTGTTATCTGAATTATTAAATTTTGTTAAGCTTTTAAGCTTAGAAACTTCCTCTGGTCGCCCATCATCGTCTACATCTAAACTACTTGTTTCAAATGCAGGGAAAGTCAAATATTCACTCCAACGTTCATTCCAATCAGTTACAGGGCTCCAAAAGTGTTGAATCTGGCCATTCTCATCTTCGAATAAAATGAATAATTGTTCATTAAACTGTACACTAGGCCGTTCTAAATAAGTGTTGGTTCTACGCCACAGCCCCTGCAAGATAAAATTTAAACATGAGAAGTATTCTTGAGGAAATATCAGAAACCTGTGTAGCAAAAGTTAAAAACAATGCAATTATTGCTGATAAAGGGAAGCTGAAAAAATGCCAAATATTGGCAAATGAAAGCGTGGAAGCACGATATTCAAAAGAAATTGGCTTTAAAATTTTTCAAATATTTTTAAAAACAAATTTAAAATTATCTTACGGTGCTATAAACAGTTTTAAGTCGCAACATTATTTTGTTTTGTTGGAAATAAAGGAATTTAAATTTTCTTTTGAAATTATTAAACCAGTCCAAAGAGAGAATACCCAAGCAAGGGTAGCCAAAAATGCATAGAACAAATCAAGAATAAATTTTAAACGATTTGGAGAAATAATAACCATTTAGTTCTAGTTTATGGCCATTTTAATTGAAGAGGTAAAGAATGTTTTTTTATAAATATCACCCAAAAATGGTTGCTAAGGAACACATTTATTTCTCCATTGCATATTAGTCAATAATAACGAGAGTGCTGTAACTACAGCAAAAATTGTAGAGGAACCAAAGTGGGGAGAAACCAGGGTTTATAGCAGAGGACCCTCCCGCATTTTAAAAAGCTGACGCGGAAAGGAAAAAAAGCGGAATTCTGCGGAAGGTGGAAGACAGCACCTCCTGCTATATTTGCAGCAAAAATTGTGAGGATCCAAGGTTTATAATAGGGTAGCAAGCCGTCCCCCGGACGATTTTTTGTTAAAAACCCAGAACCAAACCCGAAGGCTCTATCACGTCGAGGCACGATCCCCTAAACTCCCGACTCCGAAGGAAGGTTTCTACCCTAGTTTAAAGTGTCTATAAGTCATCAATCCTTTTTTATTTGTCGTCATAGATAATAAACAAAAAAAAATGAAATATATTGATTATGGAATTTTTAATTTAAAAAATGAAGCCATTATTTATAAAAACACGCATATTTTTTGGATCATTTAAATACTGCTTTTATGTGTTGCTGCACATTGAATGTAAAATAGAGAGAGAGGAGTGTTTTTTAGAGATATAGTAGCTAATAGAGCTGGAGAAATTTTAAATAATGGCACATCTCCGCCTCCTTTTTGGCTTTTCCTTGTGCTTTTTAAATTAAATTTTAATAAAAATTTTTAATGAAAAATACCTTAAACTTTCTAATTTCACGCACAAGAGCCTAAAAAATTTTAATTAGTAAATTAATTTTGTAATTTATCTATTTCCATGATTAGGTAGAGAATAGAGATCGAACTGGACCTGGACCAAAGCTTGGGTTCTCCTGTACCCAGAGTTCAGGCCCAGGCATTTTTTGACCTTCCTGGATTTTTCCTGAGCCTGGGTTTTTCCCGGACTTCAGGCCCAGGATCCGGCCCAGGTCAATAAATCAAACCCAGAGTACAGAAACAGGCCCAGGCTTTTCAAAAATCTCGATCTCTAGAGACAATTAGAATAATAATTAAAATGTATGGGTAAGACGTGGAATAAAACATTAACAATCTACCCGATTTAAATCTAAAAAGATAATGTCAAATTTGATTAGGTTCTTTTATGGAGGATTTGTTCAAAACCTAAGGAATCTTAAACATTTGGAATTTTCGAAAATTTAAAAGATCAAAAAATCAAAATTAAAAAATAAATTTTAACAAACATGAAAAGCCTCGTCCACATGCTTGCGAGTTTTAGCACTTGTGTCAATAAATGGAATGCCAAAAGAACGTGCCAATTCTTGTACAGATCGCTGGTCAACTGCTCGCTGTTGGAGATCACATTTATTACCGACCAAAACCATTGGAACCTTTAAAAAATAAAAGAGGATTAGTAAAAATAATTGTATTCATTTATTTTTAATTAAAAAAATAATAAAAAGGAACCGATGCCATAAAAACTTATTGTTGATATTTAAGCTGACACCTCCCTTTTCCCTTATATTTTTTAAATTTTTCTCTTTTTATACAAGCGAAAAGCTAAAAATAGACAGAAAGATAGGAAAAAAGGAGGTAACAGGGTAATATTGAACCTGACAGACCGCATTTTTCCTTCCCAAGTTTTTTCTATATCTACAGAATAGTATCGAAAAATCTTCCTTCGTTCATTCTCTTCTTTTCGTTCATTCCAATTGCCGTTCTATATTTTGCTTACAAACAATCAAAAAGATTTAATTTTTATTCCCCCTTGAATGGAAGAGAGGAAAATTGAGACGAAAAAAAGAGGAAGTTGGCTATCCTGCAGATATATAGGAAAACACACGAGAAGGAAAAATTGTTGTCTGTCAGGTTCAATATTACCGGTAACAGTCAACGATTACCTACCAACTTATTAAAATAAAATTTTAAAATATTCAAAAAAAGAAAAACCTCGTCGTTGTCCTTTACCCGTCTGATCTGTTCACGATAAGCGTGGATATTCTCAAAAGACTTGTACTAAAAGTACCACGTTAATAAACATTCATAACATCAAAAAAAACCTCATTAAGCGCAAAAACCAAAAGAAAACCCTCGCCAGTACGCATATATTGGTCACGCATAGCAGAATACTCCTCCTAATTTAAAAAAGTAAAAAGAAATACATTTAAAAGAAAAACCTGTCCTGCCGTGTCTAGAATGTCAAGAAGACAGGTCTCGCCGTCAATAAGAACCTTAAATGACGAAATATGCAACGGAATTGAAAAATATTATGAAAAGATCAACCCGGACAAGTAGGGATGCCCTTGGAAAATCTGGGATATCCGGGACCAAACCGATAATTTTTCAGTTTGGTTCCGAACCAACAACCCTAGAACTGAGAAAGGAACTGGAATATTTTCATTTGACAAAGCCATAATCAAAAATTAAGTCAGAATTCTAAAACAATTTCAATTGTAAAAATCAAGATAAATCTGTTACCCCATCACGTAAGAAAACAAATACTAGATATCAAAAATAAAAAACATGACCTAGATTCTTGATTTTGGTTAAGGACATTATTCGTGACCTTGAGTTAAGGAAAGATCAAGGAACATTTAAAAATTCACTTAGTGTTAATATTGACTCTGGATACCGGAAAAATAAGTCTGGATCCAGATCCAGGCCGTTCTCTAATAAAACCAAAAAGTTAAGCGCCCTTACTGAAGCGACCATCAAAAACAAGGAAAAATTCCGTCATATGTCCCGGAAACCGATTCGGACAAATAATATGTCATTCGAAAGAGCTCAACGAGCTGAGTCGAATGACACCAAAATTAGCTGGGGGACTCACCTATGGGCCGAGATATAGGTCCCCGAAAATCGAAAAACCAAAGGGGGGAGTAAGCTCAATTTTGGGGTGAAAAAATCGATTTTTTGAATGATAGCTCATTCGAAAGAGCTCCTCGAGCTGAGTCGAATGACAACAAAATCAGCTCTAGATCTTGATTCTGAGCCAAGATAATCAGGCTCAAATTGGTCAACATAAACCTACGGGTCTTAGGCGAGGCGCTTGTGCAAAACTCCGCGCTTCGCGCGGAGTTTTGCGGCACGCGCCTCGTGGGGAGTCTACGGTCGCTGGGTTCTGGGCTCGTAACTTAATCCTATTCCTATCACGATGAGGTGGGCATGCCTGGCTTCCTCCGCAGCAGTAAAAATTTCACCGGAGACCATAGGTACGGAGCTAAAAAAACTGTCATAACTTTGTCAAACCATGTCGGATTTCGTTGATTTTGGTGTCGTTCGACTCAGCTCGTTGAGCTCTTTCGAATGAGCTATCATTCAAAAAATCGATTTTTTCACCCCAAAATTGAGCTTACTCCCCCCTTTGGTTTTTCGATTTTCGGGGACCTATATCTCGGCCCATAGGTGAGTCCCCCAGCTAATTTTGGTGTCATTCGACTCAACTCGTTGAGCTCTTTCGAATGACATATCATTTGTCCGAATCGGTTTCCGGGACAGATGACGGAATTTTACCAAAAACAAAAAATATGAAACAAACCTGCTTTCGATAACTGTCCTCAATGGTTGGGTCATACTCTTCAATAAACTGGCCTTGAATTAATTGAATAGTTAATGCCTACAAATTTAAAGTAAATTTAAAATTTTAAATAAAAATAACCGATTTTCCAACTCCTCCATCCCCAACAACAACCAACTTAAAATAAAATAAATTTCTAAAAAATAAAAGAAAAATCGAACCTTATATTCAGTCATTTGTCCAAAAAATAAATAGTTAATCAAATAAGTTGATATTCAGTAAAGGTCTTCAGAAAAAAATTAAGAATTAAATATAATTAAATAAGTAGGAAGAAAGCTGAATTTGTTAAACAAGTCTTGTAAAAAATTTAAAAAAAAAATTAGATTTGTAAAATAAATTCAAAGTAATGATCGACAAAATTTTGTTTCTAACAACTTGAAATCGAGATTTTTGAAAGCCTGGTCCTGTACTCTGGGTTTTGGGTTTGATTTATTGACCTGGGCTGGATCCTGGGCCTGTAGTCCAGGAAGAACCCAGGCCCAAAAAACCCAGAAAGGTCAAAGCATGCCTGGGCCTGGACTCTGGGTACAGGAAAAACGTAGGCCTTGGTCCAGACCCAGCTCGATTACTACTAAAACAAAAAAAAAAGTTTACGGACAACAAAAACCAAAACCAATAAATATTAGAGCTAGGAACGGGTCCGGGACCCGGACCCGTTTCCCGGTTTCCGGGTCCTTTTTCCCGGTTTTTTTGAAGCAACCGGGTTGAAACCGGGAACGGGTTTTCCCGGTTTCCCGGACCCGGAACCCGCCCGGTCCATTTTTCAGAACCCGTTTCCCGGACCCGGTCCCGGCTTTTTTTTTCACTGGGAAACCGGGAAAAATATTTAGTGTATTTGCGTACTTTGATATTAAATTTTTGAAGGAAAAAGCAAAGGAATATTTATAATTTCTCCATTTTGCATTTGTCGGTCGATAGTTGAGTGGTTAAGTTTACTTACTTCACTCATCTAGTTATTTTGATAGGGATGGGGTTCGAGTCCATGTATGGAAATGTGGCTGAGAAAATTTTCTTTTCAAAGATAAATAATTTTAAACTTTGATTTTGATTTTAAATTTGCAAACTTTTTTTGATGTTTCAAACTTGAAAAAATATAAGAAATTTTAATTATTTCATGAATTTTCCAAAATTTTCGCCTGTGGCGCAGAAGATTTAAGAGTTCTGGCTTCATTACCATCTAAACTTCGAAAAATTTTTTCGCCGGCAGCTCTGACAATTGAATTTTTTTCTCCTAAGGCCTTACAAAATTCTGTAAATTTTCGCCTACGGCGCAAAGAATTTTTAATTTAATATGATTAAAAAGAATCAAAAGGGATATCTAAGGATTCTGAAGGAATTAAGGGGAACTAACATTCTGAAGGAACTAACATAACAACCTCTCGGCCACCATATAAGGGCTATAGAAAGAAATTAAACATATGTAGTATGTCTTTGAATTTTCCATTAATCCCCAGTTGCCGACGAACTTATGTTTCAGACAAGGGAATTTGATCTTTAGTTAAATAATCGTGAATGACATTTACTTACATTAATAGAGGTTATTTAGAATAAGTATAGGAGGATAGTTGAAAAATACAGCCCTATGTGGAAAATAGACCATCATTTCAACAAATTAAAAATTTCCCGGTTTCCCGGCCGGGACCCGCCCATTTCTAGACCGGGTTGAAACCGGGAACGGGTTTTCCCGGTTTCCCGGACCCGGAACCCGCCCGGTCCATTTTTCAGAACCCGTTTCCCGGACCCGGTCCCGGTTTTTTCAAAATTCCTAGCTCTAATAAATATTTAATTTGCGTATTAAATGTCAACAATTTCACTGTTTACCCTTTCTAAATATTTTGAAAATTATTTTATTTGAAAATATATATTTTATTTTTTTTACACTTTGAAAACCATTGAAATTACATTTTGAAGCTCTACGGGAAATAGTGTGTTCTAGAGAAATAAATATTTTGAATCGTTCCCAGACAAAATGGTACATACAAAAATGGTATTAAGGCAAAAAGATTGCAAAATGTTATCTTTGGAAATCCTGACCCGTGCAGAAATTTTTAGAGAAATCCCGTTTCGGGTTCCCGGAATTTTGAGTTCAAGGATTTTTATCAAGAACGAAATTGTTCTTTGAGTTAACGAATTTTCCGTTTCAAAAACTTAAATAAATTGTCATCAATTTTTCTGGCATTAGCCTAAGTAAAATTTTTTAATTTCCTGTCGAATATTCGCGAAGCAATAATGAAATTTACGCCGTAAGCTATGCGCCGAATTTTAACATTTTTGCTTTTATTTTTCGTCGTGTTTATTAGACACTGGTCTGATTCTTAAAAGATTTAAGATAATATTTAGTTGTTGTTAAACGGTAAAATTGTCGTTTACGAGTCACCCTTTTCCTTCTCATAGTTTTTTCTTTGAAATGTACGTAATGTTCAGACCCCTTCAATTCCACTCTACTTCCCTATGGCATATTCATGAAATTTAAGGAAGAAAGCTCGACCAGTATGGTAATACATATTAAGGTAAAAAAACCTTGGAGAAGGAAGAGGCCCATAAATAGGATTGGGGGCAATCCCGGAGAATCGTGGTCCCTGCGGAAAAAAATCTTAAAATTAAGAAAAGAGTTTTTTCTGTGTAAAAAAATGTGCTGATTACGAATATGAGCTCGGATTTTGAAAAAGTCGTACCCGGACCCGAATATAGGTCCTACAAAATCGAAAAACCATAGGGGGGACCAAGCTGATTCTGGGGTGAAAAATTCGAATATGCAAATAATAGCTCATTCGAAAGAGCTCGACGAGCTGAGTCGAATGACACCAAAATCACCGTGATTGAAAAAGATCTGGCGAAGTTATGACACAAAAAACAAACAACGTAAACCTATGTTTTTTGTGTTGTAACTTTGTCTGTTCTTGTTCAATCACGATGATTTTGGTGTCATTCGACTCAGCTCGTCGAGCTCTTTCGAATGAGCTATTATTTGACCAATTTGCGCTCTGTTAAATTTTTCCCAAAATGTCGAATGTCCGACTTCGGGTTCGGGATTCGACTTTTTCAAAATCCGAGCTCATATTCGTAATCAGCACATTTTTTACCCTAGAAAAACCCTTTTTCTTAATTTTAAGATTTTTTTCCGCAGGGACCACGATTCTCCGGGATTGCCGGATTGGGGGCCCGGTCCGAAAGATCGAGTCGGGCTTCGAATTTTGGCCAGAAAAACATTCGGTTGGGCCGGTCCGATAAAAACGAAGCCTGAAAAAAATGACTCGAATGTCGGCCGACCCGTATACGACAAATTTACCTGCCAAAGCCTTAATATTTCTCTTTTTTATTTTAGAAAATTTATTCAAATTTATCGAAAAATAAACTATTATTGTATGACCGAGGACAAACAGCTTTTCCTATTTGGACATACGCTTCCGGGGAACGAGAATCTTTTGCTTGAAAGGTTTTTAATTTTGATTTTAATCATCTTATCTCGTTATTTTTAGGATTAAAGAATGCGCAGAGAAACGAAATAAAGGCTATTGCTCTACTTCGCCTGGATGTACTGTTCTTCGAAAAATTCCAGCTGAAGATGTTTTGCAAGTTACTGCTGGGCATAATTATGTTGCCTTTCTGCTCAAGGTTTTAATTTACAGTAGGGTTGTGGGTCAGGTTTTTGGTTCTGGGTATCCAAAATTTAAGGCCGGTTCGAATCCGGATTTCTTCGGTTTGGTTAAGAGTTTCCTAAGATTTTCTAAGAATCTAGTTCACACTATCCTTTAGTTTACAGTCCCCCTACCTCTATTCATACATTTTTAGGATCATCGAGTCGCTCGTCTTCGTTATGAGATTGTTGCTAACACTATTGAATCTGCCGCCCCAGCAGACAAAAGTATTTTTTTTATTAATCTTTAAATTTTTAAAATGATTCTTTATTTGAGATGAATCCGGCCCTGGTTCATCAACAGCTCCAGCTACCACCACTGCTGGTTCCTCTGATCCAGCGTCAGCTTCTGCAAATGCTGCTGCAAATGCCGCAAATCGAACTGCAAAAATTAGGGTTTATTTCTTTGCTTTTTTTACAAATTTTAATTTGTAGCGAATTATGATGACACGTCCAGGGACTCGTTCTGGCGGATTTTGCCGCACTGGAGTTGTGATTGATAGAAATCGTTCTCGACCAATGATTCCTGCCTCTTCCGTTCCAGAAGATTTGATCGTGCAATGCCAGGTTTTTTTCTATCTTTTTTCATGGCGTTATTAAAATATTTTTTAGGTTGTTTTACAAGGCAAATCTCGAGATGTAATTGTTCGTGAATTACAACGCACTAATTTAAATGTCAACGAGGCAGTCAATAATTTGCTTTCTCGCGATGATGATGAAATGGATGATTTGGATGACACAAGTGAGGCCTATTTACATGAAGAGTTGCTTTCCTTGCTTGATGCTGGGCTTCGTTCCGATGGAAGTGGTGCCGCAGCAGCAGCTTTACTTGATAGCGACAGCATTTATTCTGCTGGAGATGGCTACGAATACTTGATTTCGCGTGATTTGGCTAGACGCAAGGGTGAAGGTTTAATTTGAAAATTTTTTTATTTTTAACTTCTCAATTTAATAGACAAAACAAAAGACCAAAACAAGGAAAATGCTGACAGTTCCTCAACAATCCAGGAACATTTCTTTCTCGGTGAGCGCTATACTTACTGGGGCTTAACGAGCAATGATGTTGCTGATGGTTCAACAAAATTCCAATTTCCTGATGACGTTACAAAATTCGTTAAAATTGTTTCAATGCAATCTGAACTCATTGCGCTTGCTGATAATGGAAAGATTTATGGTTGGAGTTGGGAGATCGATTCGAAGCCAGACAATTCTCCACATGTTGCGAACGACATTCTTTTTTCATCCATAGGTATTTTATATTAATTTGCCTAATATATGTGAATCTTTTATAGATATAGAAGGAGAAGGCGAGGCTGACTCCATTTCAAATATCGAATCTTGTGGTCTTCGCGCAGCTGTGCTTTCCAAAAGTGGCCTTGTTGGATCATTTGTGGACATCTCTTGTGGCAGTAGACTGGGCCGTATACTTGCTGAAACGCCTATTGAGATGCCTGAGCCAGTGGACAAATTGCTCTGCTGCACGCTTTATAGTGCTGTGTTGACAAAAAATGGAAATATATTTTGGAGGTTGTTTCTTTAATAATTTACGTCTCAAAAATTTTTACTTTAAGAGGAATTTACCCATTTAATGAGCGTAGGAAGATTTGGGAAAAAATACGCGCCCGCAAAAAACAAGTCACTTTTGAATCGTGTGGTTCCGAGATTGTTGTTGGAAGCGAGGTTTCTATTCAATTTATTCTGTTCAATTTAATCTTTGCTTTTTTAAGGTACGCACAAAATCTACTCCAATTTATTCATTTGGTTCAATTGCTGTCAACTTTAGTCAAGGAATTCCAATGGTTTTTCTATGCTGTTTTTTGATTTAACTTATCTTTCAGATTGGCGTTTTGTACGAGGATGCATGGACTTTAAATGAGACTTGTCGTTTCCGTGTTTTTGGGTTATTCAAATTCAAATATTTTATAATTTTAATATTTTTTAGAAGTGCGAATGCTTATGACAACTATAATGGTGAGAAACTTCAACAACAAAAGGAGAAACGTGTTTCATTCAATTGTAAATTTTGCCATTTGTAGTCAATTTTTGGACGATTTCCTCTTACTTTTTCCCTTAGTCATTTAGAATTTTAACCTTTTTTTTTCAATTTTAGATATTTTATGGGTCTCCAACTTGAGTGGTTTTCTTCTGTCTTTTTGTTGCTCATTTTCGGAAATATTTTAGAAAAATTTTTGGGTTTAACTTTGGCAAAATTTTAAAATTCTGAAACATTATACGATAGTCACATGGTGTAGGTCCAAATATTTTAGTAGCTGGCAATCGTAAAAGAAATGCTCCTTCAGCGCAAGCCGAGAACGAACAACGACAATCATCAACAACTTCTCAACCCTTGACCGGTTCTGGTTCAACCTCTGCAAATAATAATTCTGATTTTGCTGGGAAAGAAAGTGCATGGAACCTGAAGGATTGTATATTTATTCATGAAGAGGCTGTTAATGATACAAGCATTGTTAAAATTGTAATTTTTTTAAATTTTTCTTAACAAACGTCCGGGAATGTCTTTAATCTGTATTTAGAGATTAAGCTGGGTCTAGATTTTGATTTTTCCTGGGTTTGGAATCAAGGCTTTTTTAGGATTCCTCAATTTTCCCTTGACTTCCTTGACTCATTTTCAAGGATTAGGGTTGCGGTTTTTAAAATCTCGATCTTTACTTACAATTATCCTTTTCTCACTCAGGTCGATGGTGCTTATTGTGGAATTGTTTTCAAATCTACAATGGAAAAACTTGAATCTGAACCATCCACAGATTTAAGCAAAATGGGCATTAGACTCATGCGCAAAGATGATTTAGTTCTAGTTTCTTCCTCATCGCGTGGTTCAAGATCTCCAGAAAATTTTCAAATGCAATTTAAACAAATTCGTCTACCTTCCTCTGTTAAACAAGTTTTATCTGTTGCGGTTGATTTGACAGGTTTTTAAAATAAATTTTAAAAATTCTTATTTAAAAAATTTTTTTAGGATTTCGTGTTTTGTGTGAAAAACAGTCACGTGTCCATTTACTTCGGATTAGTTGTGTTGGCAAACTTTTAAGTGATCATCCTATCCCAGTCAATTTTGGAGCATTAACACAAAATAAAAAAGATGACTCCTATGAATGTATGACTACAGTTCAAAACTTTGGGGATGTAAGTTTTGAGATTTTTTCACACGTTTATCATGCTTTATTTTAAGGAATCAATTTTACTGTTAAATGATGGCTTTGGTGGCGGCTTTCAACCTCTTTTACGGAACATATCTGGTGGATACAAACAATTATCTTATACTGGTCTAGGCCGAATTCTTCAATATGGAATGGGTATAAGATATTTTGCATCGTCTGGTGAAATAAAGAGTGCAAGTATATGTTCGGGTACTTTGAATAAAAAGCTGAATTTTTGGGTTTTTTAATTTTTCCAGAACAAATTAGCGTTGACAAGAAGAACAACAGCTTGAATAAAAACGCCAATCGTATTCTATTGATGGTTGCTTTAGTTTCTCCGAGCCCTGAATGTACACTTCCTGATCATGGATCGCTTATGCAGGCCATACTTTTCTGGTTTATTTTTTTCTTCTTTTATGATGATTTTTTTAATTTTTAGTCAATTGGACGTCGTTATTGCTATTCTCAAAAAGCTTTTAAATTCCCCAATTGAAAGTCAGCCTGCTATCGTTTGTGAACAAATTGAAGGGAATCGAAATATTTTCCATGTTGCCGTTCAAAATGCTTACAGCAGAACAAATGCTGACCAAGCTGATGTTGATGCTACTGATTCACGTTTATCAACAGCCTCTCAAAAATCTGACACTGTCGAGGCGGATGCTGTTAAGACACGGTTTCTTTAGTTTTTTGTTTCTGTATATGTGTTAATTATTTTAGTTATGAACGCAAATGGCAAGAAATGATAAGTTCAGCACCAACAACACGAGCAAAAGCGCATCAACAACAGCAACTTTTAAACGAACTAACTTCTGAAATTAAAAAAGGTTTTTCTAAATATTTTGAGTAACTTTATACTCTTATTTTTATGGTAGATTCTTCCCCTGAAACGGGCAAAGATGAGCCGGAAAGTGCTGAATCATCTGATCTTATCAATAAAAGGATTCCTATAGCTGCCAAGGAAAGACAAGGTTCTTAAATTATTTTTTGTCTTCACAAATATAATTTAAGCCAATTCAATTGAAATAATTCGTGAATTGTGCAAAAACTCCGTAGTACGTGAATATTTTATTGATTTAATGCGACAACGTGACATCAATGGGCATAGTCCATTTGAGACTGCGATATATCAGCGAGCGTATTCAGCTGCCCAATTGATGTGGCAAACTGCAATTGATGTTAAGGACTGGAGTCAAGGTTATTTTTGATAGTTTTATATTCTAGTCCTTTTCATCGGAGACTAGACGTCGTTGGCTCCAGGAGTTGAAACCTGCCCTTTGAGCGAGCTGATTGACCAATTAAAAGAAAGCTTTCTCTTTTCAAACTTTTATTTAACAAATATTAAAATATAGGGAGTAGGAACTTGTCAACTTTATTCAGAATCGAGACGAGTGAATTAATATAGTCATTCTGTCTCTCTCCTTTCTGAGTGCTAAAGATGGCCGTTTATTAATTTAACGTTGAAAATAGATTTATATGATCTTATAAAATTTCTAGATGTTGTTGATATATTAATGCCAAGCGTTGGATCTAACGATACAAATGAAGATTCTTCACTTTTTATTCTTTGTGCTAATGATACATGCAGTATATATTTTTTTTAATTATCTCTTATTTTTACTCACGTAATTTAAAGGTTACACTTGGACAGGCGAAGAGCATACACCTCAAAAAATTTATGAATGCAAAACATGTGGACTTGTAGGGACTCTTTGTTGTTGTACTGAATGCGGTAATATTTTCTCTATGTTTTTGTAAATATGTAAATTATTGTTTTTAGCCCTCCTTTGTCATAGAAATCATGACTGCAAGTGAGTATTTTTTACGGATTAATTTTTTTCATTTAAAACTTTATTTTTTTAGACTTAAGAAAACATCTCCAACTGCTTATTGTGACTGCTGGGAAAAATGTGAATGTAAAGCGTTGGTTACTGGAAATAATGCAAAAAGGGAACAATTGCTTTCTGGTTTTTTTAAATTTTTTTTTAAATTATTATCTAAATTTGATAGGAATGTTACAATGCCCTGCATTGATTGATGGCCTTAATTCTAAAGGAGAACACATTTTACTTTTTTTGGCTCGCACTGTTGGTCGTCAGGTTTTTAATAAATTTTTTTCATTTAAAATGTTTAATTTATTAAATAGCTGATTGAACAAGAGGGCTATACAAAGCGAAGTAAGCGCCCTGGACCTACTACCACAACTACAGCTTATGGCGTTCCTATCCCCGAACACGATCTTGAACCACCAAAATTTGCAAGAAAAGGTTTTTTAAATTTAATATGTTCAAATTTTAATATTTTTAATTTTTAGCCCTCGATTTGGCAATAGGGAATTGGGATGTTGTAAAAAGTTTGCTTGATGTTGGTATTAAGAAGCCGAATGCTCTCATTAATTCCAAAACTGAAGATGATCAACCAATTTTAGAAAATGTTTTTCATTTGCTTGAGCATAATGGTTCAACACATTTGGACAAATTTGTTTTAACTTTACTTGGCTGGTGTGAAGAATCGAGCCTTGACACTCTTCTTAATTTACTTGTGCGCCAAGCTAACAAACAACAAAAGAAATGGGATGAAGAAGTCCATTATTTAATTCAACGATTTGTCCGTTCAGTTATTCGTCTTTTTGTTATGGTCATTTTGCTTTCACCAGAGGCTAATGGAACTTTACTTGGTTTGAAAAAATTTTATTTTTTTTTTTAAATTTGAATACTTTTTTAGCAACAATTTTTGATGATATTAACAAAGCAATCCCAGCACCCGATGCTCCAAGCTTAATTTATCCACTTCCTAATCAGTCAAATGCTTCACAACCTGGCACTTCTACTTCTGCTGTTGCTGCAATACGTGATTCTTTGAACAATTACAGAGCTGCTGCCATCTCTGGTGTACTTTCACTAGTTCGTGCTAGTCTACCTGCCGCTCTTTCACTCAATTCATCACTTGAGAAAAAGGATCAAAAGAAGCATAAAGTTATTGCTTTTGTAGCAAAATGTCGACGAGTGTTTCAGGTTATTTTAAACTTTAATTTTCATTTTTTTCAAAAGAAATTTTCAGGCTTTAATTAGTTATTCGTTGCTGGAGTTGATTGGAATCACTGATGCATTAATTTCTCCAATTCGTCTTGGAATCGTTAAACCTTCAGCCAGCATTGTATCAAATGAAGATGTTTTGGAAGTTTTACAACAACATTTGACAAACGAGCAAGACTTGTCTTCATTAATTCGTATCTCAATGCAAAGTGGTGATCGCAATGAAACGTCTGCTGGTGTGGCCAACAATGCGCGTATTATACAGTTGGCTGATTTACGACGAGGTGATACTAGTCAAGCAACAGACATGGCATTGGAGCGTGCTAGCGATGATGATATGTCAAGTATATATTTTTTAGCAGGTTATCTTTTAATTATTTTCTCACACCAGATGAAGATGATGACGATGAAGAAGATTTGGATGCGCCAGCAACAATTTCTAGAACCCGTGAGAACAGCAATACTTCATTTAGTGCTCGTGAAAGGACAATCTCTGAGCAAAGTCGACGTCGTCAAGAAAATGCTACTGGTTTAGATGAGAGTTTGGATGAACATGAAGGGGTTTGTTTAGTCTCGAAAAATTTTTAAAAAATATTTTTTATTGTTAGGAAGATGCGTATGGAAGTGATCACGACGACATTGATGATGATGACGACGATGATGAAGTTGAGCCATATTTTGACATCCATGACGATGACGACGACGATGATGATGGCGAAGCTGAAGTGCACGGGGGTTCTGATGTAAATCCGCTAGATGGAGAAGGAGATTCGAACGATACTGCAACAGTGACTATTGGTGCCCCTGCAACAACATCATCAACCACTGCGGAAACAGCAAATAGTGTTGAGGGCAGCAATACTTCAGCTACAATTTCGATTGAACCAACAACTGCTCGTCAGGCTGACTCACAAACTCAGATAGCTGTTAGTGCTTCAGAACCTTCAGCTCGTGTTGGTGCGACCACCACTTCAACCACAACAAATCCTACATCTAATAATAATGGTACTGATGGTTCTCGTCGAGGTGGAATGGGATGGGGTGAAGTAATTATGGATGAAAATGCTTGGGGTCGTAGTAACAACAATAATGTGTTTGGCAGTGGAACATCTGCTACCCAGAGGTAAGATTTTAATGAGACAAATTAATATAATTCACTTCTTTCAGACCCAATGATCCTCGTTCAACTGTTCTTCGTTCTACCACGGCAACAACACCTTCAATTTCTGCTAATGATTCTGTGACTTTGGGAGGTTCTGGTGCTACATCATTACCTTTAGCTGCTCAATCAGTTGTCACTGCTGATAACACTGTTGTAGCAAATTTGGGGGATAATAGTGACTTTTCTTCAAGTAATACAAGTACACAATTATCTGCTTGTTTTTCGGTTTGTTTTTCATTTTTAATTTTTTCCTTATTTTCTTACTTTTTCTATTTTTAGACAATTGTCAAACTGATCGACGAATTACTCTTGCAATTATTTTTTTATGAAAATTGGAAACAACAAGGCAATAAGTCTAAAGGAGTTACCAACATACTTGAGTTGGATCCAAAGATTTTTGGCGTTTTTAAGGTTTGATTATTTTTTTCTATTTGAATATCTCATATGTTTTTTAAATCGTAGGATGCATTTGACGAATGTTTGGATCCAACATGGAATTGGTTCTTTTCGATTATGGACAAGTTAGTTTTCTTTTTTTTCTAAATATTTTTCTTTTTTTAAAGAACTGAAGCTCAGCTACGCTACTCAAATGCTTTAATGAACTCATCAGTTGGTCGTCTTCTAAACTTAAATCAAGCTGATCTCTCTGATCAAGCTGATGAACGACGTGATGACCAACCACGAACATTAGCAGCAGCCGCACAACGGAATCGAGCTGTTGCTGAACAGAAGAAGCCTTTAACTAAACGTGTTACAATGGGAGCAAAACGTGGCGGTGATGGAAATGGTGCACCTGGAGATTCTGATAGTCAAAATGTTGCTAGGGCAGAGAATATTTCTTATTTTCTTTCGCTTTTGAGAAGTTATTCGGCAGAAAATGGTTTTTATTTTTAAATTAATTTTACTTTTTTAATTTCTTTTAAGGTGATGATTTGCCTGTGCTTGAACTAAATGCACTCAGAGATTTGGCTTTCATCATTGAATCTTATCTTTTCCATATTTGCTTTATTGACCAATTGGACCAAGCCAAGACTATTGTCCCACCAGTCAAGATTAGTCGAGCAACAAGAGGAAATTCTGAAATACGACAACACGAGAATGAAGAGCAAAAGAAGAGTAAACTTCGTCGTTTTTTCAAGCGCTCCAATTCAATTTCTTATTCAACATTGAGGTTTTTGTTTTTTCATTTCATTGATATTATCTTCACATTTTTTAGCGATGCTGTCAAACATCATGCATTTACATATACAGCGGCAGATGTTTTGCCACTTTCTGTTCGTCCTTATTTACTCAGTTCTGATGCGGAACGTGATGTTTTGTTTGCTCTCCCTCCATCTTGTCGTACAAGATCTGTGCATCGGGTTTAATTTATAACTTCGAATTTTGTTTTATTTCCTTTTTCGTTTTCAGCGTATTGCATTGGAGCATGGTGTTAAATTCCCTGCTCATCATAGCCTTTCTCAGCCTCCATTGTCTTATGCTGATTTACAAAATCGTTTATTCGGTGATGATAGCTCTAAAACTCAACAAATCGAGTCGTCCTCCACTCAGGATGCTACTAATTCTGATGCTATGGAAATATGCACTGCTACAAATGATGGTGATTCGAAAAAACTGAGCCCTCCTGTTTTCAATGCATTTCAAAAATCTATTGGACGATGGAATCGAACAATTTCATTCGTTGCAAAGGTATTCTTTTTATTTAATATCAATCTTTAAAAAATTTTTTTAAAGAATTTCCACGACGATATCACTAAATGGTTTGGTGGTGATTCTTCTCATTCTGTTCTTATTCACAAAACTGGAGGTTTTTTAAATTTTTTTATACGCCTATTTCAATTCCTTATATTTAAGTGTGTTCCTTCAATGTCCGTTATTCTCAATTCCGAAAGCAGATGGATCGACTCAAAAGTACCCAAACAAAAGATTTAGTCTTTAGTGTATGTTTTAATTTTTTGGTGGATTCTATTTAATATATTTCAGCAAGTTCCACGTGAAAAGTATGTCCTTCTCCAACAAACCTTCCGACAATTAAATCACCACTATGTACGTCGAACGAGTGGGGCTAGTGGCACTTCATCATCCACAGCAACCCCAAGTCAAATTACCAATGCAAGAACAAGTTCTTCGAGTGGCCCTGGAAGGACACTACCTCTTGCTTCACATAAGGTTAAATTTATCTGTTTTATTTTTTTAACACTAATTCTTAAGGTAAAAGTAACTTTCCGTGATGAACCTGGTGAAGGTACTGGAGTTGCGCGTCATTTTTATGCTGCTGTGGCAGAGGTTGATTTTGATGTTTTTAGAAAATTTTTAATTTTATCATAAAGGCCCTAACATCTGTTAAACATTTGCCTCCGCTTGATAATGTTAATGAAGATGGTACGAATAAATCTGACACAAAAACTCCAGGGAAGTCAGCTTCTGTTGGTCCTGCAACGCCAAATATGCCTAAAGCTGACGATGCTGTTGCTGCTAGCGGTATATAATTTTAATTTTCATGATATAACTTTTGTTTTCTTTAAATTTTTAGGTCGAACTCTTCGAAGTAGCACTACTAGTGCCACTAGTACACCAGCTGCTGGTAATGAAGCTGCTTTAATGCCGGCTCCTTCAACTCCTGCACTCAGCACTAGTTCATTCATTCTTCCAACTGGTTCAGACACTCAAACACCTCTCTTCTATAAAGCTGCAGCAAAAACTTCTGGAGGATTTTATACTCCAATTACTGGTTTGAATTGTAGTTCACAACGTCTAAATGCTTTTCGCAATGTGGGAAGGTTAAGATCATTTTTTGAAATTTTTTAAAATTTCTTATTTTAAAGATTGATTGGAATTTGTCTTCAACATATGGAAATTTTCCCTTTGCCGTATTATTTTAAATTTTTTTCAAAATTTAATTTTTTTTTAAAGTCTTTCTCGTTATGTTCTTAAATATATTTTGGGACGTAATATTACTTGGTATGATCTAGCCTTCTTTGATTCATCTCTCTTTGATTCTCTACGTTCAATTGTTTACAATGAGAATGATGAAAGTTATCAGTCTCAAGAATTTTTTAATCAACTTGAAATGACATTTGCTGTTGATTTGCCTGCTGAAGAGGTTTAAGAGAACAATAAAAATTTTATAATTTTTATATAATAGTGTTGTTGGCGACCGGTTATTACTTTACTGTTGGTACCTTCGGTTTTCGGTTATGACTGGTTATTAAACTAGGGGAGCAACCTGACCCCCGAAACCCCGACCCCGACGCATTTTTGTCAAAAACCCCGACCCGAATCCCGAAGGCTCTACTCCGACAAACTCCGATTCCCGACACACCCGCCCTCGGCTTCGGCTAATTCTCCAAAGCACTTCTTTTCGGTTATGGTTAATCGATGGCCAACAATTCTATTATACTTTTAAATATTAATTTTTTTATATTTTTATTTTTAGGGTGGTGGTACACTCGAATTGAAGCCTGGTGGTGCTGATATTCCTGTAAACAATGAAAATGTTTTGGAATATATTTATCTTTTTGTTGAAAATCGCCTTATTGGACGAAATAAAGCTAGCCTTGATGGTATTTTTTTGGAAATATTTTTTATATTAAATTTTTTAAGCAATGCGTCGCGGTGTCTTTGACGTGTTACCAGCTGATGCATTAATTAATTTAACTGCTGAGGATATGAGATTAATTCTTTGTGGCAGTCAAGACATTAATCTGCAAATTTTGCAAAGCTTTACAAAATTCTTTGATGAAAGTTCAGCACCAGCTAATGTGCTCGCCAAATATAAAAAGAATTTTTGGATTGTTGTGAATAAATTTAGTAATGCAGAGAAGCAGGTTTTTTATAGAAATTTATTTTTTAAAATTTATTTTTAATTTTTAAAGGATCTTTGTTTCTTTTGGACTGGCTCTCCAAATTTGCCATCTACTGAGGAAGGATTCCAGCCATTACCTACAATAATGTATTTATTTTTTAATGCTTGTTTTTGGTATACTTTTCTGTTATATACCAACATTTTCTGGTTGTCTTTATCCTTTCGAAAGGTACAAAATTGTTATGAGACTTACTCTATGGGTGATAAATATACCCGGCTCTAAATTTTAGAACCTATGGTTCGGTATTGTGTTTGTTTACTACAACCCTTGATTTGTAGTCCCTGGGTCTATAACCCAGGGTGTGTAGAGTGCTCAATTTCCTTCCAATAAGTCCACTGTATTCACGTAAAATTTTTGCGGGATTCTGTTCGACCAGATCACAATAGGTCTAAAATATAGAGCCGTAAGTTTACGCTCATTTACGCTGATCACCATAAGCGTAAGTTTCTTGACAATTTTGTACCATTCTAAAATGATTGAGAAAAGGAATTAAAAGGGAATGTGGGGAGACAACGGAAAAGCCATCCTTTTTTAAGTCGAATAATAATATAATTCTACATACATTTTTAAGGATACGTCCAGCTGATGACTTGCATCTTCCTACCGCAAACACGTGATTTTTTTTTAAATATTCAGATTTTTAAAATTTTTAAAAATATTTTTTTAGTTGTATTTCGCGATTGTATGTTCCGCTTTACTCTTCAAAGAAAATTTTGGCATCAAAATTGCTTTTAGCGATCAAAGCGCACAATTTTGGATTTGTTTAAAAAATATCCCTTTTTTGATTATAAAAAAATGTTTTATGCTTATTTTATGTATAATTTTATTTTAAAAAATGTCTCAACTTTATGATTATTTTATATAAGACCTTTATTGCTTTGTTTTGTAGTTGACACACACAGCTTGGGTCCATACCGTTGATGCACGCGCCAAAACTAGCATTTTATACATTTTGGTTCATTTCCAGATGTTTTGGTTGCATCAACAACGTGGGCCAGCTGTGTTGACATAAATATAACTTTCGCTTTTTTATAAATTTTAAAAATAAAATTTATTTGTTGGCATTTTAGAAAGAAATATCATTTTTAGTCATACAAAAGCCTATACAATCCTTTACAAATCCTTTACATATGGCCCTTAATCAACAGAGTGGGCCAGCTGTGTTAACATAACTTTTGCTTTTCGATAAATTTTAAAAATAGAATTTAATTGTTGGCATTTTAGAAAAACTCTTTAGAAAATCACTTCTAGTCATCATACAAAGCCTGCCTTACAATCCTTTACTTATGGCCCTTAATATGTTATTCATTCTGATGCTTTCCTTCTATTTTAATAGGTACTATTCTCTTAAAGTGTAAACGAAAAATATAAATCCTTTAAGTTTGGCAATGAGTACATCTTCTAGTTCAAACAGTCCTATGACTCAATTCCAATTGCTTATTAATTCTTCTGAAGAGGATCTAATTCAACCATTGAACGCTTTCTTTGAGACATTTTTTGCTGAGAATGATAGTATTTGTATTGAACAGTGGGATATGGCCCTCCCGAGTGATTCTGAAAGGGAACGAATGAAAGAGGTCGTTTAACACTTTAAACAATTCTATGATCAAATTCTAGCTTATTTCTTTCCTTATGAACACTGATGATTTTGACAAAATCTCTTCTGATTCGACATTGCTTTCCCGAGTTGCTCCTCTTCTTGTTAAATCAATCCAATTAACTTTCATTAAGGTTGTACCTTTTAACTAGGGCAGCAACCCGAACCCCCAGAAACCCTGACGTTTTTGGTTAAACCCCGGCCTGACCCCCAAAGCCTCTACCCCGATCCCCAACGTAAACCTCTAGTTGGGGTAGGGGTAAAAATACCCCTAAGGATGTAATTGGTTCCGGAAAAACCAGATCTTCGACACTCCCTTCCCCGAAGGATCGAGTTGCTACCTTACTTTTAACTAATCTATACAAATTTAAATATTTTGAAGAATCGTTTCTGTGTTATCCACGAACTTTTGCCTCCCTCAACTGGCGAACGCTTTAAACGATTTTGGGGGTATTTGGTACTTTGCTCCACAGCCTACTGTAATTCGAGTAGAACGCGATTACATCACTCTTCCCCACACTTTCTGACTGACGGTAAAATTTTTTCGAAGATTCCAAAAACCTCGATTTAAAATGAAAGGAGATGTTTGTAATCAAACAGCTGCAATTTTTGAGCGGACTGGGTCACGTTCTCTAGTGGTTGCTGGTGCTACTCGTTACTCAGTCAGAGGAAACCTCACTTCGTCTTGCCAGCCAAGAAATGCAATAGCCGATGCAGCACATAATAACTTAACAATGTTTCATACAATGTGTGTTGGCGTTTATGAAGCTTCGAATGATGGGATTTTTATGCAATGGCATGGCCAACAAAGTTGGTGAGGAAAAAAATGAGTTTAAAATGCGAAAAAAGCTCATCCAGATTATGCGTTCAGTCGCACCTTTATACGTCCACTAGCTAGTTTATGCGTCCAATCAACTTACCCAGAGTATGACGACTTACCCAGAGTATGACGTATTAAGCTGTGAGTGGACTCATAAACTGGACAAGAGCCATAACAAATCCACTTTAAATATAAACAGCCCACAATCTGGAGCATTTATTAGTGCAGGAGCTAAAGGTTCACATCCAATATACAAAGAAAAAGGAGCATATGTAAACAAGGTAAATTAAGTTAAAACACCCATAACTGATGTTAAATTTGGTTTTAGTTGGCTTCCACAGTAAATAAACTCGTAGGAGAAGACATCGCAACTACGCCATTGCAGGATCGTAAATGCTCCTTGGTCGCTTCGACAAACGTTTTTGGTCGAATTGTAAATGGAGTGGAAGAGGAAAATGCTTGTGAAGGGAAAGCAGACCCAAAAGTAGCAAAATTTTTTGGTTGAAAATTTTTGAAAAATTAATTTTCTTTGTAGAATGTCACAGGAAATTTCATACATATTGAACAACAAAGAAAGTGGAGGGATGACTGGGCAAGTAACCTTTCCTATTTCCTTTAAAACTTGACATTTTAGATCCTCTGGATAAGGGCAATTAAAGAATTATTTTGAAGGACTGATTATGTGATTATGTAATACATAAGCTTTAAATTTAAAATAATATTGGATAAATAAATATTTATGTGGCATATTCCGTTTAACGATAAAACAGTCCAGACAAAACTCCGATGAAATACCGTACGACAAGATACTGTCCAGACAATACACCGACGTACTGGCAATTTTTGAAATTGACAATTTGTGCGTAAAATGGGTACAGCTGAGTCCGCACAGCCGAATCCATACCGGCCCTTTGTATATTCCTCATTCGGGTCCTAATAGTTGAATAAGATTAAGAAGGATTAAGTGGGATGACTACTCGCAAGACAAACAAAAAATTGGATAAAAGAACAATATAAAAATAGATAATTTAATTTTATACAATTAAATTTGTAAAATTTGACAATAAATCTATGTATAAATCCCTTAAAAAATCCACGTAGTATCTTACATTAATTTAAAAAATATTTTGGCGCGCTGCACTGAACTAACCAAAATTCTAAAAAACGGAACAGGCCATGTGAGTGCCGTAAGCTGAGAGCGGGCAACTGAGAGCCGACGTTTCAGAATAGAGCTAGGAATTTTGAAAAAACCGGGACCGGGTCCGGGAAACGGGTTCTGAAAAATGGACCGGGCGGGTTCCGGGTCCGGGAAACCGGGAAAACCCGTTCCCGGTTTCAACCCGGTCTAGAAATGGGCGGGTCCCGGCCGGGAAACCGGGAAATTTTTAATTTGTTGAAATGATGGTCTATTTTCCACATAGGGCTGTATTTTTCAACTATCCTCCTATACTTATTCTAAATAACCTCTATTAATGTAAGTAAATGTCATTCACGATTATTTAACTAAAGATCAAATTCCCTTGTCTGAAACATAAGTTCGTCGGCAACTGGGGATTAATGGAAAATTCAAAGACATACTACATATGTTTAATTTCTTTCTATAGCCCTTATATGGTGGCCGAGAGGTTGTTATGTTAGTTCCTTCAGAATGTTAGTTCCCCTTAATTCCTTCAGAATCCTTAGATATCCCTTTTGATTCTTTTTAATCATATTAAATTAAAAATTCTTTGCGCCGTAGGCGAAAATTTACAGAATTTTGTAAGGCCTTAGGAGAAAAAAATTCAATTGTCAGAGCTGCCGGCGAAAAAATTTTTCGAAGTTTAGATGGTAATGAAGCCAGAACTCTTAAATCTTCTGCGCCACAGGCGAAAATTTTGGAAAATTCATGAAATAATTAAAATTTCTTATATTTTTTCAAGTTTGAAACATCAAAAAAAGTTTGCAAATTTAAAATCAAAATCAAAGTTTAAAATTATTTATCTTTGAAAAGAAAATTTTCTCAGCCACATTTCCATACATGGACTCGAACCCCATCCCTATCAAAATAACTAGATGAGTGAAGTAAGTAAACTTAACCACTCAACTATCGACCGACAAATGCAAAATGGAGAAATTATAAATATTCCTTTGCTTTTTCCTTCAAAAATTTAATATCAAAGTACGCAAATACACTAAATATTTTTCCCGGTTTCCCAGTGAAAAAAAAGCCGGGACCGGGTCCGGGAAACGGGTTCTGAAAAATGGACCGGACGGGTTCCGGGTCCGGGAAACCGGGAAAACCCGTTCCCGGTTTCAACCCGGTTGCTTCAAAAAAACCGGGAAAAAGGACCCGGAAACCGGGAAACGGGTCCGGGTCCCGGACCCGTTCCTAGCTCTATTTCAGAATAGCCGTTTGAGTACGGCTATTTTTTGGCCATAACTTCTGTTGTAGTTCTCTTTCAGAAAATTTTTTTATTTTTCGTTAGGTCTCGAGGTCCTGCATCTTTTTTAAATTAGACTTATCTAATCTGATCACTACAAAAAATTATCAAACGGTTTTTCGTCTGTAACTCGTTTTGAGATGATCAGATTGATCCAATTATGAAAAAGATGCCGCATTATGAGACCTTTCGCTGATATGAAAATTATCAGAATCGGACAAATATCAAGAGAGTTATGGCCATAGACCGAAACGGCCAGTTCTCAAACGGCCATTCCCAAACGGGCTTTACCGCTCTAAAAAGGCTAACTGACTGACGACTCTTTATTTTCAACGCTCTTTCTGTTGTTATTGATTTTTTAGCGGCTATTGCTCAACAAGCAAAATCATGCATTGATTAGAGAAAAAGAATTAACTTTTCTCAAAATGCTTTTCTCTAACCGCTTCGTTTTTTGCATGCTGTTACTTCGCAGTTTTGGACAGGGAACACCCAAGTAGGCGCGCGGCCAAGTAGGCGCAAAGCCATAACTAGCTTGAAAATTTCTTGACCTTAACAATTTTGGTACCAATTTCTTTAGCTCGATGAGTAGAATCGTTTAATACTAAATTTTGAAAGATTCGGAAATCCTGAAGCAAGTTATGACCTTGCGCCTATATGGCCGCGCGCCTACTTGGGCTGTACCATTTTTAGAGAAAAGAAAAACGAAAAGAAAGTCTGCTGATGGGCGACAAGTCATTTTTTTTGTTTTTTAGTTTTTAAAAAAATTAAAAAAATTTTTTTCTTGTATTTCCTGTTAAAAAAATTCTCAATTTTCTTTCAAAAATGGAAAATTCAATTAATGGCGACGTCAAAAACATTTCTGGAAGGAAAACAACAAATTCTGCACAGACTAATGGACAAACACACATTCCAGCTTCAAATCATTCCTCACTGGCTAGAAATCCTTTAAATAGCAATTTGGGGGTTGCAAGGAGAAGACGAACTGTGATTAAACGAGGAAATGAACCTCCACTGCTACGAGGTTTTTTTTAATTTTTAAAAATTTTTTTATAATTGTGGGTGTGTTGGATTTTTGTGGGTTTCTCCAAAATATCCCTTTTTTCGAGTTTCCTTTAAAATTTTTTTCTTAACAAGTTTTGGAGTTTTCGGGCTTTTTGACTTTTTTTTAACTTTCTGGCGGTTATTTTTGAAATTTTTGTTGAAATTCTGGGCAAACTGGTCTGTCATATATTGTTAACTAGAGGTCGGCAAAATCGCATTTCCGGGATCCCGAGTCGGGATTTTTTCTTAACCGATGCCGGGACGGGATCCCGAGGGATAAATCCCGGATCCCGAAAATAAAAAAAATCTCCGGCGTTTTTGTTTTTTCCGTTAAAAATTTTTTCTGTATTCAAGAAAATATTTTAAAGCTTGAAATTTTAGGTCCTTTTTTCAAAATATTACCTTGATTTTCAAGCATTTAGAGTTTATTGTTAGGCCATTTTTTAAAATTTTTTAAGCCTTTCAAAATTTTATTCTTTGCCCTTTTTATTTTTTTCATCTTCTCTAGTTCTCTACTGGTAGCTGCGCTCCTTCACCAGCAGATACACTTGTTGTTACTCCCCCAACTGCAATACCTTCTCCAATTTTTCAACAGGTTTATTTCTAATTTTCACTTTTTTAATTTTCTTTAATTTTTAGTTTAATCTTGCAAAATTGAATGGGAGTGTCTTTGTGCGTATCAGTGACGACCGTTGGAGTACATTTCAAGACCGGCCTGCTAAACACCAATGTTCGCCTTCTAAGGCTTTTGACACTTTTCGATCTGATTTTGACATTCCTCGACATGATAAATCGGTATTTATTTTTTAATTTCCTTTGTCCCCAAAATTGTCATAAAAAAATTGGCACTCCTGCCATTTGAAAGGGTCGAAGTTCTCTTACCATTATGATACTAATGTAGATTTTTCTCATTTTTCTGTCTTAAGTCAACATCTTCAGAAATTGGAACCACTAGCTCTATTTACATTGGTCCAGTGTTGGGATAGAGATCTCTACTAACCCAGTACACACAAGGTTCCAACAATCGGGACAGGGTATCACCATTAGAGATCGGAACGGGTCCGGGACCCGAACCCGTTTCCCAGTTTTTTTGAAGAAACGGGTTGAAACCGTAACAGGAATTCCCGGTTTTCCCGATCCGGGTCCCTCCCGGTCAACCTTCAGAACCCGTTTCCCTGTTCCCGGACCCGGTTTTTCCAAAATTCCGATCCCTAATCACCATCGAGTAAGATTCGTGACTTACATCAACTTAATTCACAAAAATATAATGGTAAGAGAACGCGGCCCCCTCTTTCTCATTTTGAATAACGGATTTGGAGTTTGCCCGAATCTTAAAACCTTTAAAACTTGATAAATTTCTATTCCTTTTTCAGGATTCACATATTGAGATTTGTATCTGCTACACAGCAAATAATACTAAATATTGGGATTCTGATGATGGCCATAATTTTGTTCTCACTCCAGATGAACCAGCCAGCACCTTTGCTAATTTCTTCAGGGCAGCTCAAGTCCCCCTGCCTTCGTGCAGGGGGCAACTCAAGTCCCCCTGCCTTGTGCAGGGGGCAACTCAAGTCCCCCTGCCTTCGTGCAGGGGGCAACTCAAGTCCCCCTGCCTTGTGCAGGGGGCAACTCAAGTCCCCCTGCCTTCGTGCAGGGGGCAACTCAAGTCCCCCTGCCTTCGTGCAGGGGGCAACTCAAGTCCCCCTGCCTTGTGCAGGGGGCAACTCAAGTCCCCCTGCCTTGTGCAGGGGGCAACTCAAGTCCCCCTGCCTTGTGCAGGGGGCAACTCAAGTCCCCCTGCCTTCGTGCAGGGGGCAACTCAAGTCCCCCTGCCTTCGTGCAGGGGGCAACTCAAGTCCCCCTGCCTTCGTGCAGGGGGCAACTCAAGTCCCCCTGCCTTCGTGCAGGGGGCAACTCAAGTCCCCCTGCCTTCGTGCAGGGGGCAACTCAAGTCCCCCTGCCTTCGTGCAGGGGGCAACTCAAGTCCCCCTGCCTTCGTGCAGGGGGCAACTCAAGTCCCCCTGCCTTCGTGCAGGGGGCAACTCAAGTCCCCCTGCCTTCGTGCAGGGGGCAACTCAAGTCCCCCTGCCTTCGTGCAGGGGGCAACTCAAGTCCCCCTGCCTTCGTGCAGGGGGCAACTCAAGTCCCCCTGCCTTGT